CAGGAACCAAGAGGCCACCCAATCCCTGCAGGATTTCATCTGTAACCTCTGCCTTCCGCCTGGATCTAACTTCTGAATGACCAGCAAAGTTTTGCAAGTTAGGCACAAACCTAGAGGAATAAATGGGGCTTTGGGCTGAAATGGGAACCAATGAAATGAATGTTTCCTTTTGAACACTCATAAAGAACAAGGAGTCTCAATTTCTTTAAATGTCAACATAATGCAACCTGACTGCATTTTATTCCAGTGAAAGAATCTATTGTTCCTGTGCATGGTAAACAACTGGAAAGTAGTAGTTTCCTGCTAATTCTTCTCACTTTCCAGAAGCAGCTTCTCCTCCACTGATGCGTCCCCTGAACCCCATCAGTACTTAAAGCAACCTGCTCCTTAGACACACAGGCTCCAGCAAAGACAGGAGAAGAATGGAGAGGCTCCAGGGAGACGCCAAAGTGAAATGCATGCAGAGTCAGCTGTGCAGGGACCAGTGCAAGCCTAAGAATGCAGCAGGGGCTACTTGGAAACAATTTGCTGATCTTCAATAATCTGTTGCTTTGCAAAGCACCTAATTCCTTCAAATACTGGAAATGATGCCAGTAGCCAGCAAAAGAAGAAGAATGGAAGGAATAATGCAGCATTCTATAAATGAAATATTATGCAGCTGTTAAAACTTGTAGTTCTGTTTTCAAAAACGTTTAAACTGGAAATCTCTCATTACATCGTAAGAAATTTGGAAAAAAAGCAGTACACAGAGCCATAGCACCATGAGGTGCGAGTCCAACATTAGTGATGGACTAACAGCAGCAACAGCAAAAGGCACATATACATTTTATTTGAAAGCTTTAAAGGAAATATACTAACAGTGTATAACATAGGGGTACTGGTTTTATTTTCTTCTGCAGGTTTTCATGTACTTTATAATTTTCTTTAGTGAATATTACTTTCACCATGTTAACAAATAAAAGTTACAAAATATATGATCAGCTTGTGGTGGACTTCAATCCTGATTGTTTTAACATTGTTCCTTTGTAACATTATATGGTATTGGTAAAAATGATAAGGCCCAGTTTAGTCCTGGAGAGGATCCCAAGAGTCATTTATGTGGCCCTCCTCCCGCCTCAGGCAGCTACAGTATTATCATCACTATTCTAAAAAAGGTGCACCCAAGTGAGGTTAAGGCACCTGCCCAAGGTCCTACCAGCAAGAAATAGACTGGGAGACTAGGACTCAGATTTTCTTATTACGATAATAGTGTTCTGTTTTATGTTATGCTGTTATGTTAGTACTCCCCATGACTTATTAAAGCTAAAATTTATATTCTCCCTGGGCTCATGCAATATCGAAAAGGAGAAAACTGCAAGTCTTTTGACAATTTATTAAAATGGGCGGTTCATTGTCAATATTACAAAGAACACTGAATCCTGAATTTCCAGGTCTCTGAACACCTGTTGTGACTTCACTTCTGCTTGCTTTATACCATTCTCTGATTTGTGATCCCAAGCTGGTTCAGCTGCATTCTAGCCTCCCCTCCCCTCCCCTGCCCCGCCCCCCAGCCCAGCCCCAGGAGGGCATTTAGAATGCAGGCACCAGGGTGGTCCAGGCCGCATCTGCTCCATTGCTCATCCCTCATATTGAGAAGGTTCTCTCCGCCCTCTTATACAAATATCTCTGCTCCAGTGTTACCTTCTCAAGGAGGCTGCTTGGATCACCCAGCTTGATTGTTCTCCAAGCACAAAGATACCAAAGACACGCTGCATATTCACTTGGTTTTTATTCTCCATCTTGGCCAACTAGAACACATGCTCCCTAGGGACAGGGGCCATGTTCTGTTTTGTTCCCTGATACATCCCCGGGCCTAGAATGGGGTCTGGCATATAGCTGGTGCTCAGTAGGTATTTACTGAAGTGAAGAAAGGAGGAAGGTGTGAGTAGGACTCCCCCACCTTACCTCTATTACCCCAGCAATAAATAAATAGTAGCATGTCTGCATTACTGTTCACTGCTCACCCTTGCCGTCTTAGAGCCACTTCCGGGAAATTTGCTGAGCCTTCCCACAGGGCCATGGAAGGTGCATCCTTCCTGCGCTTCTCTAAGTCTGTGCTTTCCTAGGTTAACTTCGGAGAAACCAGGCCAATCCAGCAGACAACAGCAGTGCCATGAATCTAGATACTGCATTTGCAGGCAGATGTCAGCTGAGTGCCATGAGGGTTTCTGAAGGGAAGGCTGCCTGCCTTTCACAGCAGCCCATTTGAAACTGGGTCTTAATAAAACAATCGACTGCTCTTCACAGTATGTGAATATTCAGGGTGGTAGAATCCCACCTCTAATAAGCTTTTGTTCTAATCCAAGTTTTCCAAGATGCTAATATTAGTGGTTGAAATGTCCAAGACTCAGGTCACTTTACTATTTATACAATTCAACTTGTCAGTACTTACTACAATAAAGATACCTCCAATCTCTTGCACACATGTCTCCAGTAGTTTTATATCAACTGTATGGGAAGGGAGGGGCAATGGTTTTTAACAATAACAATTAGGAGCAGCACCTGTTATTTATGTACCAGGCTTTCTACTGGGCAGTCTTCATACATATTCTTGATTAGCTACAACAACCCTGTGGGATCCATATCTATTCCTGCCTGAGAGAGCAAAGGTGCCATGAGCTGAAACAGTACAGCTAGGAGAAACTCCAATCAGCCTCTACTCTGGCATCAAAGCTCAGTCCATTTCACCAGCAGGGGAGTTTCTGAGTGAAAGATTCATCTGCTCCGTTGAATGATGAGACAATATTGTGAAGTATCCATCTATGGTCTTTCTCTTACCTCCCTCTGCCGCCCCCCATTGCTCCCAGGAGCAATGGCACTAGAAAGTAAAAAATGTCATGTTATTGACATTTTAGTCAAAAGATGTAAATTAGGGAATATCTGGAAGAAGCTGCACTCCATTAAAAGTCCTCTAAAGTCTCAAGGGGACAGAAGTGAAGCAGGAGGTTGCTGGTGGGTCTCTGATGCCCATAGGACAACAGAATGCTCAGATAATCTGGGGGGTGGTGGGATCTGAAAAAAGAGATTTACATCCCTCCCATCCTCTGGGAGGTGAGAGGAGGGAGGGCTGGGTGGCTTGTCAAAGACAAAAGGCTAAAGACAGTCCCTGGAGTGGCTCATCTCCCCGAAAGTGTTGCCAAGTTTAGAAGAGAGAGGAGGACGCTGGGAGCTGGGAATAATGCTGAGCAAACCAGCGAGGACCCTGCAACCTGAGACCAGATAGAGCCACTGACACCTCACCAAGTACCAGAATGAAGGGACGACTGTGTCTGAGGATGCAACAAAGCTGGCATCTATCTCAGAGGAATGGCAGCATGAATGGAAGCCAATACCCAGGAACCAGGATTCCCACCAAGGGCCACAACGTGCTTTATGCTATTAGGCACAAGGAGGAAAGGGAACATGTGGATATACCAAAAATAAACCTGAAAATGCCTGGGACTCATTTTGGCTTGTCATTCTATAGTCCGCCTCTAGCAGAATGGGATCTCTAAGGAAAGGTTAAGTTATGGGAAAATAAATATTCACTTTGGTCTGTGAGATGTTATATAAGCTAGTTATTTTTGTCTGTGTAATACCCTTTCTCTTTCTATGCCTTTTTTTTCCTACCTTGGCTAAATTTGGCTGAATTTATTTTATAACTTAATATTGGGACTGTCAGGAAAGCTCCAAACCTCTGTTATAAAGATATCTATTGAGACATCCTCTTGCTTGTATAATATATAATCTCTTATATATGCCTAATTTTATTTTCCCAGGAACCCATTAGAGTAAGCAGAGCAGATAGTATTATCTCACTTTTTGTGAGGAAACTAAGTCTCAGTGAAGCTAAACGATTGCCCCAAATCACAATGGAATGAAGAAGATGTAGGTCCTTCAAACCCAAGCCCCAACTCTCACCCCTCTCTACTTTACCCATGACTCTATATTTGCCATCATGACCAACTGTGGATTTGTCCAATCTGTGATCTTCCACACAGAAGAGACGCCTGGAAGCCATTCCTGCTGGATATAGTGAGCAACACATTGGAGTTACCCAAATTGCCAAGTGGTCCTGATAGGTACAATTAGAGTGTTAGAACCCACTGGGGTCTAAAAAAACCTTCTTGTCATTTTGTTTCATTCACAGGGATACGGAGTTAGATGTATGCTAGAGAAGATGGGTTCCTCTATTAGAAGCCTGAGAATTATTTCAGATTATGGGATATTTTGTTACATAAAACAATAATCTTTTTCAGATTATGGGATATTTTATTACATAAAACAATAAAAGCTAATGATCCTAACACCCAGACACATAAAGAGATTTAGACTCAACGAGACAGAAAATTGATGAGGACGACCAGGACTTGAACTCAGATCCAGAACAAGCAAACTTAATAAATATTTATAGAGCTCTCCATTTTAAATACACAAAATATACATTCTCCACTTTAAATACACAAAATATTGATAGGCCATTATTCATCCCCATTTTTAGAATAAAGCAATATTCCCGTTCTCTCTCCCTCTTTCTTCCTCTCCATCAAAAAAAAAAATTACATCTAAGTTAAGAGAAAAATATGTTTTAGGGAAGTAATTTGCCGGACATCAGATATCCCCGTGCAAAGCTCAATTCAACAAAGATTTAAGTAGAAGGCATCACACTAAGCCTGCCATAAGTAAGCAATATTAGAAGTAAGGCTATAAACAATACAACGAGAAGTTCTGCCCTCAACGTTTACAGGATAATGGAGGAAACCAGACTAAAGCACTAGTAATGACAGTCAAGGCAGCATTTATGGAGTGTGATTAAGAATGTATTCAGGTATTAATTACAATCAAGGCAGAACGTAAAAGCTGTGCCAAGTGGACGTCATAGAATTAGAGAAGGGCACAAACACATGTGGTTGGGAAATAAGAGGAAAACAAGACAGGAGGAAAGGCAGTGTGTGGGCATTGAAAGACGAGCAGAATTTCAGCAGCATCTCCTGGGAGCAGCCGCCTGCAAGAAGAGGTGATGCTCTCCATGAGATTGAGGACTCCTGGTGACCTCTTTCCCAGGAAAGAAGTGTCAGGAGGGCCCCATCTGCTTAGCCAGGTATCAGCACATAGTTTGACTTTTCTTCTCTATGATTTTACCTTTCAACTGTTCATGGAATGCCTCTCACAGGTAGACTTACCCTTTCTCCCATAGCAAATACACACAATATACCAAAGCAAATGAGTCTGCTGGTCTGAGTGCCTGCCAATCCATGCCTGAGAATAGCATCAAGTTGCATTGACCCACCTCCAGCAGGAGAACTTGGAGACTATATAAAGCTGAAACCCAGATTTTGCTGTAGCTGGAAGCTCTCCCATCATGGGCTGCCAAGCCCTCCTCCTTTGGCTGCTGTTCTTCCATGCCATTATTCTACCTGAAGCAGGTACTGCAGCTGATGTACAGGTTCATTTTACTCATGCCTTGTTACAAGCTTGAAAGTATGGTTATTTGCACATAAGCCACCAACACAACAAGCTTAAAATTAAATGCAGATAGAGCTTTTACTCTGCTTGATTAATCCAGCCACTGATGAGATATTGTTGTGATGATCGCTGAATGTATAACCATAACTGATTTTAGGAAACTTCGGCTGAATAGTTTCTGTAAGATTTGTTTTCTGTGAACAAAGCATTAACCAATTTATTGCTCTTTAAAATCATAGCTCTATTTGTGGGATTCTGGATAGAAATGGACAAAGAAAGAATACTTGGCTATAGTATGATCTAATAAGCATTCTTAAAATGTTCTTTGGCTTATGAATTGATATTTAGCAGTAGAAGTACCGAATCACAGCCATGATTTCTGAATGGAGCTATGAAATATACAGTAAGAAAAGCCTGAAGTACTGGACATGACATAAAATTATCTGGACTTGATTCATGATGCCTTCTAACCTGAAAACCTGTACCTTTCTATAAAAATACATTTGTCAATTTGATATTCTTGGTTTTAATGTGTCTTCCATATCTGGTCCTCTTAAGGAAAATTTAAATTTAATTTGAAGCTAAACTAATCAAAAATATCCACATAACTTCAATTATTTGTATCATTATTTTGCGGCTTTGGGGGAAAACATTAATGTCCCACTTGTCCCAACAAATGAAAATCTGGAAATACCTTTGACCAACAAGTCGTTTGAATATAATTTTTATTAATTATGAAGGAAAAACATAACTCACCAACCGCAGAATAACAATTGACTTGAAAGTTTACAATCTGCTCAAACTCTTCTTTTGTTCTGCATGGAATTGTATGTTTATATCCAATATTCAAACATTGATTACAATATACTAGGCTATTAGGAAGGATTTCAATAATTTTTTTAATCCTTTGAGTTTCTGGGCCTCGTTTCCTATCCGTTTGTCCAATGAGGTTTCAGCTTGGGAATATGGGCTTTAGGGCAGAAAGATACGGATTATTCAAGTGCTACCTGGGCACTTTTTGGCCCAGTGAACTTGGACAAGTTTGAAATCTCTCTGTGCTGCTATTTTTAACAACTGTAAAAGAACATAGTTCACAGGATTGTTTGGGGGATTTAATGAAATGTTTGTAAAATACTTGGAAGAGTGCTTCAGACATAGAAAATGTTCAGTCAATGTTAACTGTTATTATAGACACTGTAAATTATAAACTATAGATATTTTAAACTGAGAAGAGATGAAAATACAGATTATCAGATTCAGAATATAACATTTTACCATGGTACATCCATTTCCCAGGAAACCAAGGTATTCTCTCCTTTCAATATTTCGGTAATAGGTTTGAGTAGCTGATTCAATATTTAAGAAATATATAGCTGGAAAGGAGTTTTTTTTTTCCAGTTATCAACACTATGCAGGTTGGTACTCGGGGTTTACAAGCTCTACCAAACGTGTATGGAAAGTTTTCTGAAGCAGAGCGAAAATTTGAAAATTTCTGAGAAAATTCAAAATTCATATTCATCATGTTTGTGCAAAGATGATTCTGAGTTTGATGGTGCTCAAAGTGACAAAGTATCAGCTGTGGGGATGTAATTTTAGGCATGGCCCTGGACCCATTCAGAATGAATCTCGGTGATCTCTGCCCAGCTCTCCCGGGCTCCTTGCCTTACTCAAAATGTGTTGCTACTCTTAAGAAATGGAATCAGTCTATGATTTAATCTCTTTAGAATCAAGTGCCCAAAGGATTTTAGACAGATGTAAGGATGCAAAATAGACAATTCTCAATCTACAATAAGTTTGATGATTTCTGGGAGCTGGAAAAAACACCTCAAAATTCTACGTGTTTCTCTTAAGACTACATCCTGATAACTACTAATCTATTGGGAACAGTGGAGAAGGGGTCCCTTGAAGAAAAATCAGCCTCATTCTGGTCCCAACCGTCCTGAATCCCTCCTCCTCCTCACATCAAGGTGAAAAACCAAGTCCCACTGGGAAAAGCAGCCCAAATGAGACTATGGGGCATTTTATAATCCAGTTACAACAATATTCAACTCTCCTCTGCCTCACTCAGCTTTCTTGGAAATTTGCTAGCTTACCACCAAATCCCAGAGCATTTCCCAGGCTGAGGGCACATGCTGTTCTGCTCTGCGCCCATTTCTTAGCACAATGGCTGGCACAGTAGAGAACGCTCCATCACTCATTTTAAAAAAATGAGCAAAACACAATGAGCAAGGACATCACACCCTTGACTGATCTCCACTTATGAGATCTTTCCCAAAATAAAACCAACAGGATTATGAGGCTGTTTCCCCTGAGTGGCTGCAAATCTAAGGATATTTGAGAGGCTCAGCTAATCTTACAGAGACCATTTGCAAGTCTTATCAATGGGGCCATTTTCTTGCCAGCTTCCTGGTGCCTCCCTCATCTTTGCCCCTTTGCCAACCCTTTTGTGCCCACCTGTACTGCCGCTGCACCTCTCCCCCGAGATGTGGATGTCGCCCCAGAGCTTATGGAGGGGTTGCTCTTGGGCTTCCAGGAACAAGCGGATTAGTGATCCGATATGGCCCAACAGGCTTTTCTAGGCTCCTAGTGCTGATTGCACAAGAGTCTTACAGACAATGGGGCCAGTGAGACCGTCTGGGAACAGCCACCCAGGGACACCACTGCAGTTCCCTGCAGGTCACTTTGATAGTAGAAGAGATTTGGGGAACTTTCAAACCATTGGAGCGCAATTGATATTAGGGTGATTCACATGAAATGTGAGGACAAAGGGGAACTTGTTGACCACCAGAGAGAAACGCTGTTTCTGATCATGCAGTTGTTGCCTGGCACAGAATTTGTCTAATCAACACGATCCAGGTGAAAGTATTAAAAAGTCTCTATAAACCCCATTATGATCAACTTACAATCCATTCAGCTGTGTGCACTGCTCCGCCTGGGCCCCACACTGACCACAACCCCTCCTTCCCTCACCCCCACAGACCCCGCCCACGCTCTCAGCCCTGCCGCTGCATCCTCAGACAGGGAGGCCCAGCCCTGGCACCATGGTCAGCTGGAAATTCCCGGTGCAAGATCACAACTGGACCACACAGCTGCCCTGTGGTCCCAAGCACCTCTGGCCATATGCTCAGCAGAAAGCACACTGCCTTGCCTAACTTGCAAGGCCTGCAACTCTGAGAGCCAGTTTGTACACAAGCACACTCACACCCACCACTCACATTCATTCACATACACACACACACCACTCACATTCATTCACACACATGCACTCTCATACTCCCCACTCTCATTCACACACATACACACACACACATCCTTCACTTACACTCACCATTCACATCTTTCACATACATACACTCACAGCACGCACACACACCACTCAAATTATTTCACATACACATACACACACCCACACACACACCACTCAAATTATTTCACATACACATACACACACCCACACACACACTCTCACACATTCATTCACAATGTCTCACACACACACATGCTCACCACATACAACCAACCTTTTTCATTCACTCTGCCTCTGATCCTATCCCAAAGTGCTGCCATCCTTGTCCCCTGCCCACAGTGCCACCCTCCTCAACCGAGCTACCAGTTATCACCTCACCTAGTTATGAATCGTCCCTCATTCCTGGCTCTTCATCTCTTATTGTAAATATTCCCCCAAATACTCCAAAACAGACCAAGCACTTCCTGAGACCACCTGCCCAATGTCTGGCTCCACCTCCCCCACCTGAGGCCACCCAGCCCTTCTGCAGGGTGCACTGCAGCAGCCTGGGAGGGATAGTGGCTTCAGCCCTTGGGGGATGCCTGGGTGCTGTGTCTGTACCTCACCTCACTCCAGATTGAGAATAGGTTGACTTTCCACATCAAAGACCAGGAGTTGGGTTTCAGCCATCCTGCCAAGTCCCTCTTGGAAATTCCCCTTGCTTCACATCCAAGACTTCTTGCTGAGTTGGTCCAGACATCTTATTTTCACTCTCATTTCCTAAGCCAGTCACCCTGGCTTCACCTCGACTCCTTTCTGAAGCTATTCTTTTAAAGAGACAATAATACTGGCCTTTAACTGCCAATCCAGTGGCATCAGGGTCCTCTGTCTGATCAGCTCGTCTGCAGCAGGTCCCTGTGCACAGACCCTCACTCTTCCTTGGCTCTGTAGCAGTGACAATGATCAGATGAAAGCTCTGGGGATCTGAATGGTCAACAGTCCGTGGGATTCTGTTGTGCAGCGAGCTTGGGAACCCCTGTCCTGGCATCACTTCTTCTTAAGCTCTTGCCTTGGTGTGTAGTTGGTTTTATGACTCTTCCTTTTAATCAAGTATATGTTTATACCAGTTATTCTGATTTTCTGTCAGCCAGTATACTTTATTACACATCTTTAGCAATCTGTAGTTAAGCCCGGCATTTGAGTTAAGTAAGCTACAATGTACACATAAAGCATGCTTTTTAGCTCATCTCATCTGTTCTACTATCTCATGAGTTTGTCCTGTTTTAGCCATTTTTTCCCTTTTTGTGTTTTTTTCTGTTTATATTTTTGTTATGTATATTTTTCTGTTTGGGAAGTTATTTAAGTAAAATTAATTCATTCATTTTTGGATTTTGTGCTTTAGAGGTATTTGTCTACACAGCAGTCCTTTTAAAAACTGGTTTCTAACTCTTTCTGGTCAGATGAAAGCTCTTGTACCTAACCAGCTGCTTTTTGGATTTTGTGCTTTAGGGGTAACTTTGGTAAGAGAGGAGGTTTTTGTCTACTGCACATAAACACAGCAGTCCTTTTAAAAACTGGTTTTCAACTCTTTCTCGTTAGGTTGAAAATTAATTCAATCCAAAGATGAATGAATGAGTTTTACTTAAATAACCCCCCGATAGAAAAAATATATGATAAAAATATAAACAGAAAAAAAAACACGAAAAGGGGAAAATGGCTAAAAAAGAACAAACTCATGAGATAGTAGAACAGATCAGATGAAGTAAAAAGCATGCTTTATGTGTACATTGTAGCTTACTTAACTCGAATGCCGGGCTTAACTACAGATTGCTAAAGATGTGTAATAAAGTATACTGGCTGACAGAAAGTCGGAATAACTGGTATAAACATATACTTGATTAAAAGGAAGAGTCATAAAACCAACTACACACCAAGGCAAGAGCTTCAGAAGTGATGCCAGGACAGGGGTTCCCAAGCTCGCTGCACAACAGAATCCCACAGACTGTTGACCATTCACATTCCCAGGCCCCATCTGCTGCAGCTATGAGCCAGCATGTTTGCAGTGGGGCCCATGAGGCCACTGTCTTAGGCCATGCTCAGGATCCCTGCTGGGTTTTAATGTGTCTGTTGCATCTCAGTTTGTTATAGGAGGGACGTGGGAGGATCCAGAGGAAGGCTATGGCACAGACACGCTGAGAGAAGCACTGTCCGAGATACATCTGTGACTGAGCAAGAAGGTGAGTCACAGCCAGACAATCCCCTTGGCCTTGAGGAAGAGAGGCTGAGGACAGGTGGGATCTGCAGGGACTGTGTCCAGGAATGGGCAGTCCCCACATAGTCAGGCAAGCTGCATATCTCCACAAATAAAGACATCCAGTTTTATTTCTGCTTAACAAGACAAGGAGGCCCTCAGATCTCTGTTTAACTTCTTGGTTCTTATACATTAAAGACTGACTTTGGCCAGGCATTGTGACTCACGTCTCAGCACTTTGGGAGGCCAAGGCAGGTGAATCACTTGAGGTCAGGAGTTTAAGAGCAGCCTGGCCAACATGGTGAAACCCCGTCTCTACAAAAAAAAAAAAAAAAAAGAAAGAAATTCACCTGGTGTGGTGGCGCATGCCTACAATCCCCAGCTGCTTGGGAGTCTGAGGCAGGAAAATCACTTGAACCCAGAAGGTAATAGTTGCAGTGAGCCAAGACTGCACCACTACACTCCAGCCTGGGTAATAGAGTGAGTGAGATTCCATCTCTAAAAAAAAACAAAACACTGACTTAAGGGTCTGTATTTCAAGAGTTGTTAAATGATGGAGTGTTTGATAATCGTCCCAAGAGCAAGAGTTCACTGAATATGCAAAATCCTGACCCCATTCCCAGACATGGGGTGCACTTCAGGAATCTGCATATTTAACAAGCCCCCCCTAGAGACTCAAATGACTTCGGCAGGTTATATGAGAGCCACACTTTGAGAAACACTGCCCTGTGGCCACTGGGAAGAGAGAGACAGCAGGAGACCCACCAGCTAGCCCCTTGCTGTCCCTCTGCAGCAAGTCTTGGGCATTTGCATCTGTCTCTCTTATTTCTGGCTCTTAACATGGAGGTAATAAAATTTGCCAGCTCCTAAGTGTTCCCTCTGCACCAGGCATTTTACCTATATTTGTTTCTTGAATCCCCTTTGAGGCAGGTACAATTATCACTGACAGATAAGGAAAGCCAGAAAATAAGCGGCCCACATGAATTGCATAGCTAGTGTGTGGCAGAGCTGAGAAGCAAACCCAGAGGCTGGCTGTGGCCCTCGCACTCTGAAGCCAACCATCTTAGGTTCCTTGCTGTCCCTGGAGACTCCTGTGGGGAGCCCGGTGGATCATGACCAGCAAAGTACTAGGAGTGGGGAAATGCAGGTGCCAGGTGACAGGAGCGGGCAACAGCATCTTTGGGAAAAAGTACAGTGCTAGTATTTGCTGTGCACTCACATTTCACCCCACTCAACACTCAACACTGACAATGACATGGCAGAAATTATCCAAAAATCCAAGAGAGATTTTCTAAGCTAAAATATCAAGAAGCCCAGAGCCTGAGAGCTTCTGTCTTCTTAGATGCAGATATTCTTGCCAGGGTGGACACTTCTCAAAAGAGCAAAGCAAAGCTTGATATCTCATCACAGGCAGGGCAAACCTAACACGGTCCCATGGATGACCCCACCCAGAACAGGAAGGCCCTAAGGAATCCGACAGTGTTCCCCTTCTGTCCCCTCACTAACACCGTGACCTGCAGGAAGCTGCTGCCATTGTAGTATCCGATCTTCCTGGTAACAGGAAGACAATAACACCCTACATGGGAGTCATGAGCCTTACAGAGATGTCAGCTCTACAGGGCTCAGCCCAGTGTCAGAAGCACAGATAGATGGTGCTCAGTAAATAGCAGTTGTTATTGTGACCACAGGAGACGGTGGGGAAAATGACTCCCTTTGCCAACACTTAAATAGGCATTGGGGGACTGCCTTTCTTCCAAAGACTGGCTTGCTGTGCAACTCATGGAAGGTTCTGGAAGGTGCTCAGGATAAGTCAAGGTGTATTTTGAAGGTGTGTGGGGCACAGTGTGCGATGACCTGTGGGACAAGAAGGAAGTGCAGGTAGTGTGCCCGCCGCTGGGCTGTGGGGCAGCTGTCTCTGCTCCTGGAGAGGCCCACTTTGGCCAAGGCTCTGGCCCCATTCTTCCGGATGACGTGCAGTGTTCTGGGACCGAGGCCTACTTGGGGCAGTGCTCCCACCCTGAATGGTTTACCCACAACTGTGGGCACGGGGAAGACGCTGGTGTCATCTACTCGGGTAAATTTCTATCTTTTCTGAAAGTTGATTTCTCATTTTTTTCTGAGCAGTCCCTGAGGCTCTTTGTTTCTCCCCGATATGAGAGAATGCCTTCGTAACAAATCATTTCATTGTTATAAAACTCCCTGTCCACGCAGGTCTTCAGCCACTTTTACCAAGAAAGACACTGACTCTGAAGCCTACTCCTCTCTGATATTTATAAAGCAGCTGAACTCTCTAACTCTAACCCCAGTCCTTTGTGTCTATTTGAAAAGTCAAAGGTAATCATATTGGGAAGAAAGCTAGATTTGAGACGAAAAGCCTTAGTCCAGCTGCAGGATTTGTGGATCCTGGTGCAAAACAAAAATGTGGTCCCCCTTTTCAAAAAGTGTTAAGAATATCAAGAGTGTAACAGAAGAGCATCAACGGAAGGGCAGGGTCCATGGGACTTAGGTAAGGCTCACCCCAGTGAATATTCCTCTATGATTCCTTCTCCCCAAATCCCCTGCCCCCTTGAACTTAATGTGGCCTTTGCCATCATTTTGCCCTTACCTAACAAATTGAGAATGGTCATCACGACAGTCACAATCATGCCTTTCACTGTATTGCTGTGAGGACGAAGCGCCTGTCAGTTCTGATCCACTGTCTTATCATTCCACAGCCTGAAAAGTAGATTGCCCATAAGGCTGTGTTGATACTTCTGCTTTTTGGGAAAATCAGCCCTCTAGAGAGTGAGCAGCTGTGTCTCTGATAATCTGGCTTCGGGTGATAGGGAAAAGTGTAGAATCAGGAGGAGGAGGAAGAGGAAGGCTCTTCCTTGCTCCTTAGCTGCAGACGACCGAGAGTCAAAGAGGGTGTCTTTCTCCCCCACTCCCCTGCTAATTCCTCCCAAACCCAACATGCTAGGAAGCAGGATTAGGTCCATTATCAAGTGTCCAGAAGCTGAGTATTCAGCATATTTACTGCAAGGCTGTAGAGATGCAGCAGTGAAGACAACGTCTCCATTCTGCAGGACGGACTTACAGGTGACTGCCAGCAAGCACACGCCTCGCCTCCCTGCCAACTGGACTGGGAGGCCTGCTGTGGCTGGGACTTTTCCCAGTGCAGCCAGCTCCATCTCAACTGCAGTTAAGGGGGCAGAGGAGAGCTCCAGTCCATTAAACCATCATTCCCAAGGCCTCTCACCAGCCTGCAAGGCAAAGGGAGCCCCAGCCCCTCCCACCTTCTGGACCCTGGGGTCTTACCTTATTATTGAACCAAACAGAACACTGTCCAAAGCCCTTCCTGTGAGTCCTCAGCAGGCATGTGTGGAATTTACCTTTGTCTCATGGGGGTGCTCCAGGAAACCTGGGCGGGCAGAAAGAAGACTCTGCCACTCTCAGGCAGCAAGTCCTGCACCAGGTGTCTTGGGAGGGAAGGTGGAAGAGAGGGGCTGAGAACAACCTAGTTAGCAAAATATCGTAAGTATAAATCTTGCTTCAGGCGATTTAAAAACACTTTCCATGATTTTGCCCTCCAGGGGACATTGGGCAACGTCTAGAGACATTCTTGATTGTTGCAATTGGGGTGTTACTAGCCTGTGTGGTCAAAAGCCAGAGATGCTGCTAAATATCCTACAATGCACAGAACAGCTCCCACCACGGAACTTTCCAGCCCAAATGTCAGCAGTGCTGAGGTTCAGAATCGCTGCTTCAGAATCAAACATGCGCAGTTGAATTTACTGATTGTAATAACTATTTGTTAATAATGAACTGATTGTTGATTAATTAATAGTTGTATCAGTAACGAAAGTAAAGTTGACTATAGCTTGTTCCCCAAGTCTTAGCCTTGGTCTAGTTTATTTTCCAGTCATTTCCTCTGATTGTCCCCTCTACTAATTACAGTTAATTAAATTTATCCTGTCATTTTTGAGGGGGATAATCTCATCTCTTTCACATATGGCATTTTGGCAGATTCACTGAATCATGTCATGTGCTCCACATCCAAATGTAACAGAGCTCTGAGTGGTCTTGCCTAAGAGACTGCCTCAAAGCATAACCCCAGCATCAGTCACTGAGTGCTCTCCAGTTTCCTGAGCACCTCCTGTTCACCATCCCATTCCACCCTTCAGGAGAGCTTGTTTTATGAGCTTTGTGTTGCAAATAGGGAAACCGGGGTTCAGAGACTAGGGTAAGCAAGGTCAAAGTTAAATGCCTTGATCAAAGTCCCACAGCAAATATTTATGTCTCTGGACTCCACATCCAGTGCTGTCTCCTGCACCAAATGTCTACATGCTGGAAAAATTGCCCTGCACCTCGGCAAAAATTTTCAAATGTTCAGAGTTGTCTTCGATGCTCTACGTGTAGCCTCCCTCTCCTCACCTACTTCAGGCCTTCCCAACACACTCACACCCCTGAAATCCTGGCAGGCTCCCCAGGTGCAGGGAACCCTGTGCTGATCTGCCCTAATTTACTTAAACAGGAGCTGAGACCCACCTTCTTCCATCCTTGAGGATCACACTTCCCCCAGTTCCATTTCCTCAAGTGCTCTTCCCCTCCACCTCCAGTGACCGTGACATTGAGAGAAAGAAGAAGGTTAATTGGGGAAATATGTAATTGACTACTTGAGTGAGAGGACTGGATATAAATGGATTAGTCAGTTCTGCTGTTTTTCAAATAGCCCCAAAGAACATGACCCAGGTTTCCATGCCCTAAGCTCACTCTCCTTGAAATCCTTTATTTACTTTAAAAAGTCACCCAGTTTTTCTTACAAGTCACAATGAAGCCATATTTACTTTAATATAAAAACAAAGTCGTAAAAACTCAACAACATTAGGTGACTTCATTCTCTTAGGAAGATGTGCCTATTAATCCTGTGGGGTCTTCTACCCCATCTCATGGTGAAAAACTTAGAAACCCGAGCCTAGTTGCTCAGGAAGCACATAGGCTTCCTGAGCCTGGAGTTGACACTAAAATGTTTGCATTTCAATGAATATTGAAAATAGTCTAAAGGTCTTTCCTTCCCAGATATGCCCGAAGTCTTTTTGAAGTGATGGTGTATAAGACAAATTCCACGGTGAAGTTTTTCACTGGGGTCTTAGCAATGGGGCAACAGCAGATCCTTCTAGCAAGTACAGGGCATTCCAGAATTTTTATTATCTCTAATAGACTCAGTTTGCATATAACTTTCTTTTCTCCTCATAGAGTATGAAAATGAACCCTTGCAAACTTTCGGTAAGCATCACACTTTACTATATCTTTAACAGAACATCCACTAATGCCCCTAGTTCTTGGATTGTATTTACCAACATAATGCATTGCATGAAGTTGAGGATAACAGAAAAAAAAAAAACTGAATTTAATCAACAGGACACAACAAAGGAAAGAGAAAACACAGGTGGCTTCCTTGCCTTTAACCATGAGGCAATCTTTGATCCCCAAACGGTTGTCTAAATGTATTTCAGAAAATCATGGAGTGGGAGCATGAATATGGTGTAGTAAATTATCATGCAAAAGTGTTATTAAACTCAGACTAAAGAAAGTGCTAACTGTGGACACCCAAATCATGCCTCTAAGGCTGGAAAGGCAGTGACTATGGCCTCAGAAGAGATCCCTCTCCATCTCTGTTTCGCAAATTCAGAGATTATTGAGAAAAGCACAGCCTATTGTTAACCTGAGCCCTCCAGCATTCTCCTTTATGAGTGCCTTAGGAATATAGTTCTATGAACATTTTGCCTTTTTGGTAGAAGGTGCATTTGCACAAATAATGCATCTTAAAAGATCAATCTGTACATGACTCTGAGATGCATGATACATTTCTCACTTGCCACTGATCAGAAGCTACTGGATCTGTTTCTCAAAGCATGCCGTTAGCTTAACATCTGCTCCAGGAGGCCATCACATACATGCTGATGCTTGCCCAGTAAACTTGGGTAGACTATTTTGCATGACAATAACACCTCATTTATTTCTCTCTGCTCTCAGATCCTGAGATCCTAACACCATTTCCTGGTGGTAAGTCAAGATTTTCTAACTTCCTGGCTGATACAGATTGATGGGTCATTTGCCGCTAATGTGATGGGTATATCTCCAACCCTACAAACACTGCCAAACAGAATGGTTTCATCTGAGGATCCCAATGCTTTCACTTCACTCATAAATCTGTATAGGCGTTTGGTTTTGTATTTTGTGTTAATGCACAGAGAAAGGCTCTGTCCTCCTCCCCATCCTTCTTTGTCTTTGTAACTTCTTCCTGCTCCTCTTTCAAGCCTAAAATCCATTGTCATATTTTAGGAAAGATATCCCCAAATCCCACCCCCACCCTGTTATATACTCTCAGAATATCATGAGAGTATACTGCTTCCTAGCACTTAGCATAGTTGCGAATCTCCATGTCATTTTAGATTAATATGACTGCTTCCCCCAGACTTGCAAACTAGACCCCAAACTCCGTGGCAGCCAGAGTTGGATCTGTCAGTTTAACCGCAGTATCCACGGTGCTATCTATTCTGCCCTGGTGTGTGCTCAGTAAATGCTTATTGCAAGGTGAAACGAATATGTTAATGCAGAATATGTTCCTTCTGCTAACACGCAGTATTTTTGGATTTCCCCCAAAGACTGGCCACAGTTGCAGCTAACGAATGGGTCAGGCAGGTGTTCTGGGCATGTGAAGTTTTCTACCATGGCCAGTGGGACAGGTTTTGCAATGACCAGTGGGAGAATGAAGCGGAGGCGGTGTGCTGGCAGCTGCACTATGGGTGTGCCCTTGCGGCACCTGCTGAGGCCCAATTTGGTGAAGGCAGAGGCAAATTTCTGCTGGATGATGTGGACTGTACTGGGAAAGAAAGTTTTTTGGGACCATGTCCACATGCCAGCTGGGGCCTGCATAACTGGGGTCCCAGAGAAGATGCTAGCATCATCTGTGCAGGTAATGGTTACCTCTCCCTCCATAGATGCCCCTCACGTGATCGAGACTGCATCTCCACTCACCCCACTGGCAGTGCTTGCACCTATGTAATTGACTATCTCTGCCACTTGGGTGAGCCAAAAGTAAAGACACAGTGGTAATGTGAGAACTTCAACTTGAGCTCAGGAACTTATTAGCCACAAAATGTTGAGGTGGATTTTCCACAGAGAAAAATAGTGGAAGATATTGATGGTACCATTACAAAGACTAGATTTCAAAATGAATGGCGGAAGACAGCATGAGTCAACAGTGATGTGAATCACTGCCTGGGTGGGTTCTTTCTTCAGGTCACTGTGATGTACTAAGAGACGAAGGCTTTTCCCACTAAAAATTCGCAGTCAACTGAAGGTGGCAAAACGAGGAGTTTGTAAACTAGAGTAGCAATAGCTAGTCTCGATTGTGACTTCAGGTTATGATTGCTAATCACAAGACTTTACCCAAATAGTCATCATCGTGCTCAGTCTAGGACAGGCTTGAGACCAGTCTGTTGAAGCTGTGCTCTCCTGTGCATTGTAGGCTGTTATGCAGCACTCCTGACCTCTTCCCAGTAATGACAGTAGCACGCCTACTCCTCACACTCTTGCTAAGTGTCCTTTGCGGGAATAAATTGACCCTGAGGACCATTGGCCTAGATATACAAACAAATTTCCACCAAACATGTGACTAACTTAGCATACTACCAGTGTTAACGGCATACATTTGTGTGCCAGTGGGGACACAAAAGCAAATAATTTAGCAGGAAACTTGGTCACTTGCCAAAATTTCTAATTGTATTAAACCAGAAAGACTATCTAAATGATACTAATAGTATTAACTAGCTTTTTAAGTCCATTCAAACAGCTCAAATTGTGTGTGTGTGTGTGTGTGTGTGTGTGAATGCTTATTGCAAGGTGAAACAAGTGTGTGTGTGTGTGTGTGAGAGAGAGAGAGAGAGAGAGACAGAGAGAGAGAGAGAGAGTTTTGGTTTGTTTTTTCATTTAGCTTTTGCTTTTTTTCCAACCCTTTAATTTTTTTGAATTATTTGGAGTTTTGGCAGATAATTCCATCAAAACAGTCTAGTCTATAAAGCTCCTGCATTCCACCTAACAGTTTCGTGTGTATAATTGGTGTTTTCTCCTCTTTGGAGGCATTATACGGTTTGCACAGTGGACATAGCAGAACCAACATTGAATTGAACATGTGTTGTTAGACACACTATGCTAAATAAAAATACATTTCATAGTTAATTAAATCACCTGAACCAAGGCAGTGAGGGTCAATGCTTTTATTACTTGGAGTCATATTCTTTCATTTTAAAATTAATTTTTATTTAAAGCATCTCTAGAGGCAGCTGCCCTTTTCTAAGGTAGATTTTTTTTTTCTTTTCCTATATGTTAACAGAGGCTGAGTACTTACAGCTTACCTCAGGTAAGTTCATGCTTTTGCTTTACTGACTTGATACTTTTTCATTCTAGAAGCTACCTGGGCAGGTAATGGGCAGATAATAAAGAGATAAATGGAATAAATGGTGGGATCAGTTTGCTATATATTGGCAGTCATTATTTTTCATTTCTACATTCCTGGGCTGTTAAGATAATCCTTCTGTTAAGTCGAAAATGCCACTGGACTGCTTTGTTCCACAAGAATTAGCTTTCTTTTCACTTCAATCATGAGGGTTTTGGTTATTCCATAGTATTGCTATTTTCATTTTTCCAGTGGAATAACTGTTAAAAGCATGATTCTTATCACCAAGATTTTTAAGGAAAATTGGTAAATTGTTTGTGTTGCTTATGTTACCATCTAGCGTATATTCTTTCCTGTTATGTGGGGCTCAATGTGGCTGGGAAGGGAAGTATCTGCCTGTACTTCACTGTTAAGTTCTAATGCTACCAAATTCCCAACCTGTCTCCCTGCAGAGAATGCTGAAGACTCACTGCAAATGCTCACTGGCAGTAGGAGGTATTTTCATGTTGCATTTGCAGTTAGTCCTTATTGGATGCAGTTTTTGTTTGGTTTAAAAACCAAAAAAAACTAATTTCATTGCAGCTGCTGAGCTGAATTTGGAGAGGAGAATATACTACATATTCTGTACATACCGTGTCTGGATCAATTTCCTAGTGTATTAGGAAACTGGTGTGTCCTACAGTTAGTAAATGCAATGGGAGCATGTTCAAGACAGGCCTGTGTACTAGCTGAGGCTGAGCTTGGGGATGAGGGAAAGGCATGGGTCTGGCAGCAGAAGGTCTGAGTGTAAGTTCCATCTCAGTCACTTATTGAATGTAACCTTGCACGATTCACTAACAGCTTTATAAAAGGGGGATAACAACACCAACTTTACAGTGCTCCATTTACGTTAAATGAGATTGTATACATGGAAAGGTAACAAGAGCCAACTTTCATAGAGTGTTCACCATGACCCAGGCACTTTCCGAAGAAGTTTACCTGCATAATTACCCACTATTTAATAAGTTATTTAATTAATAAGTTAAATAGTTAAATAATGGGTAATTATGCAGGTAAGCCCCTTAAGGAGTGGCAAACTTGTTCTGTAAAGTGCCACATAATAAGCATTTTAGGCTACAGAGGCCAGATGGTCTTGACTGCATTTATTAAACTCTGTTTCGGTAGCATGAAAGCAGCCACAGACAATTCATAAACTAATGACCGTGTGTATGGTTCAAGGAAATTTTATTAACAAAAACAGGCAGTCAGCTAGAGTTGAATCAAAAGACTTAGTTTCTTGACCCCTGCTCTAATGAAGTAATTAATTCTGAACACTGCATGAATCACATTTAATTTTTACAGCAACCTGATTAGGTAGGTACTACTGTAGTCCCCATTTTACCAGCCTGAGGATGAAACTGAAGCATAGAAAAGTCAGTCAACTTTTATTATGACACCTTGCTTGACTTCTATGGAGAGTTGATGTTAAAAATAGATATATTTCTCCTGTTTGGTTTCTCAAATCGGAAAAAAAAAATAGAGCAAATCTTATTCCTCCTCTCTCTGCTCCCTTCACACAACCAATGCATCAGAAAATTCTGTGTTGACTTCTAACATACATGCTAAACCCATTAGCATCTCCCAACTCCACTAATACAGCAGTCATCCAAAGCCCCATCGTCCTTCTTGTCACTATAGCAACAATTTGCTAAATAGTCCTCTACCACTTCTCTGTCCTCCCCCAACGTATACACGATCTATTCTCATCACGGAAACTAGAGCAGGCTGGTAATTATAAATTAGATCATTCCTTTTCACTCAAAACCCTCTAAAACTTTCCTTGTATCTAGAATAACATCCAAATCTAGTACCATGGTCTTTCAGACCCTGCATGACCTACACCTTGCTCATGTCTTTGTTCCTCGAGAACACGTCTCCTCTTGCACTGTGTTCCCCAAAACAGTTCATCCCTTGAACTGACAAGATAGTTCCCACCTTAAGGACTTCTTAGAGGGCACTTTCCTCTGTCTGGAATGCTCTTCTTCGAGACTTTTCTTCAGTTCATTCCTTGTAATCAGGTTTCAGGATATTTCAATGTCAGTTCCTCAGAGAGGATTCCCCTAAATATACAATCTGAAAAGACTTCCTCTCAGTTGCATTCTATTTGATCAGCCTGTTGTTTTCTCTTCATGGCACTCACACCATTCAAGATAGTCTTTTTTTTTTTTTTTTTTTTTCTGAGACAGAGTCTCACTCTGTCACCCAGGCTGGAGTGCAGTGGTACGATCTCGGCTCACTGCAACCTCCGCCTCCCAGGTTCAAGCAATTCTCCTGCCTCAGCCTCCCGAGTAACTGGATTACAGGCATGCACCACCACACCTGGCTATTGTTTTCGTATTTTTAATAGAGATGGGGTTTCACCATGTAGGCCATGCTGGTCTCAACTCCTGACCTCAAGTGATCTGCCCACCTCAGCCTCCCAAAGTGCCGGGGTTACAGGCATGAGCCACAGTGCCCGGCCCAAGATAGTCTTTGTAGTCCTTTTCCATTGTCCTGCTCATCTGTGTCCTCCTGCACCACTCCCCAGAGTGTGCCTTTTGTGAGAGTAGGAACTTTGGTGATCTTGTTTATCTCAGAGTCAGAGTTCCTGGTATATAATAGGTTTTAAATAAATATTAGAGTGAAAAAAATAGACACGTATGTAACATTCTGCCACTTCCATGAATTGCTGTTGAAACATTACACTAGGTATTAAGATACTCAATGAACAAAGGCACTGACTCTTTTTTTAGAAGGATACCACTTATCAGGCAGTAAGAATTCCATTATGCGTCATGATTTCCTTCTGCCTTCAAATCCCAGGAAGTTCAGAGCTTAATTGAATGATTGATACTAGCAATAGCCAAGGGTGTTTTTGGTTGGTTGGTAATTTTTCTACTTGTTTTCCTTTCATTCATACATGTGTTAATCTTATATTTCTATTGTTTTGGTCTTGCTATGCAGATATATATATATTTTACTGTCATTTAAAATTTGTAGCAGAACATGTACATATATGTTATAATTATATATTATAATGATTACATATTAAATTATATCAGATAAATTATAACAATATTAAATATAATAAAATAATATATAATTGTGATATAGTATATAATTATATTATAATATAGTATATATTGAATATTATATGCAATATATAATAGTATACATAATAATAACATATATAAGATTAATAGAAATGTCTGCAGAGTGTTCAGGAGGAGACAGATGATGGCCACTGGGCTCTGCAGGAGGCATAAGCTGAGAAGACAGTTCATATATGGACATTCCATGGTCATCTCACTTTGTTGCCAGTTGGGAACCACTGCCCAGGATAGGCAGGTGGCCCAGAGCACCACAGGTGACTGGCTTGCTTTCAGTGTGTGGCATTCGAAAGAGCCAGTATTATATGTTAAGGCACTTCTTTCTGGTCTATGTTAAAAACAATCGAATCAGCAAATACGAGACCTCTGAGAGCCTGTTAAGTCCCAGGGGCTGTATTTCACCAGGAATCCACAATATTTTACATTTTGTATTTTAGACCTGTCACGTTAAAGATTTGTTGAAAACCAATAAGTAGGTCAAGCAAAAGTTATTCAATTTACTAGAATGAGAACTATTTCAATTTGTTCGTACCAATAGGTGATGGAAATTCAGCAATCATATTATCAGGTAAGAGAACTTGTTTGTGCTGTTTTCCCTGGGACATTTCTGTTTTCCCACCCAAACAGGAGGGAGCACATGGACGAGTGGTTATTGAGTTATTTTACTCAGTGACTTATTACAACCTGCCCCGTATAACTGAGTTTGGGTGCTGATGATTTTCAGAACGTCACTTTAAAAGATTCACTAACCCCTTAAAAAAAGAGAGCTAACAATACTATTTTTTAAAAATATTGGAAACCATTTGGAACATAGGGTTTTGTAATTATTTAATTTTCAGTTTGGCCAGCTTCTCTGGGAATATCCAAACTCTTTTGATTTTTATAAAGGAAATGTTTCTTTCTTTTTTTTTTTTTTTTGAGAAAGAATCATCTGATTGCAGGTAATGTTTACTTATTGTATAATTTCTCATGGCTGCTATAATGAAGCGCCGTAACTTAGCGGCTTCAACAACACAAATTTATGATCTTGGGGGTCAGATGTCCAAAATGGGTCTTAGCTAAGAGCAATGTCAGTCAGGCTGCGTTCATTCTAGAAGCTCTGGAAAAAGAGGATCCATTTTCTGCCTTTTCCAGTTTTTAGAGGTGACCTGCATTCCTTGGCTAGTGGCCAGGTCTCCATCTTTAAAGCCAGCAGAGAGATTAGCATTTTCCAATCTCTCTTTGACTCTCTTCTGCCTTCTTTTTTTTTTTTTTTTTTTTTGAGATGGAGTTTCGCTCTTGTTACCCAGGCTGGAGTGCAATGGTGAGATCTGAGCTCACAGCAACCTCCGCCTCCGGGGTTCAGGCAATTCTCCTCCCTCTGCCTCCTGAGTAGCTGGGATTACAGGCACATGCCACCATGCCCAGCTAATTTTTTTGTATTTCTAGTAGAGACGGGGTTTCACCATGTTGACCAGGATGGTCTCGCTCTCTTGACCTCGTGATCCACCCGCCTCGGCTTTCCAAAGTGCTGGAATTACAGGCTTGAGCCACTGCGCCTGGCCCTCTCTTCTGCCTTCTGCTTCCACTTTTAAGGACACTTGGATGCCATTGGGCCCACCTGATGTTGCAGGATAATCTCCTAATTTTAAGGCAGCTGATTAGCAACTGTAGTTCCACCAGCAATCTTAATTCACACCTTTGCTGTGTGATCTAACATACGCTCAGGGCCCTGGGATTAGGACATGGATATCTTTGGGGAGGCCAGTACTCAGCCTTCGGCACTTGTTCATAAAATACATTTTGTAGTTACTTTTCCTTCGTGGAGCAGAAATGGACATGTTATTCAGGACATACATTGAAATATGGTGACCAGCAGTAAGTAGAGAGAAGAAAGGTGTGACAGAAGAGGGGGAGCATCTACCCAAGCCAATCCAAGAAGAGAAGCAATTGTTCTCTATCTCCTGCAGCTGCCTCTGTCAATGTTCCTATGGACATTGTAGATGATTCCTGTGGCCAGACATGGCATGAATTAGGTCTGGAGAGCAGGAGAGACTGTGGGACTGTGGAGCCATAGAGAGTTTTTTTGCTAGTACAACAGCAACACACATGTTGGGAACAAAACAGGCTTAGGAATAAAACATGCAGCACCCGCGAATACAAGTACCAGAGGGTCCTCATGATCTAGACCAGCCGGCCAACTCTTAGGAAGCATGTTAAGACCCAAAACACAGAACTCTTATCACAGAACACCAAATACCTGCACATGGACACAGAATCTGGCAGAGAGAAAGGCCAGGGATGATTGAGTCTAACAGGATTGAGGATCAGGTGGCTAGGAGGTGATTTAGCATTTCTGTCACTGACTCAGGGGTCCCTTCAGGACTGAGGCAAAACCGCATCTTGTGAAATCACAGGGAGCCCCTGGCCAAACACCCCTCCCTCAAGTTACTTACTGTTCGCACTTGCTTCTTTATTACAGTTCTACCTGCTGCCATCTCAACACAACTCCCTCCTGCAGCTGCTGCACATTCAACATCGTCAGGTAGGACCCTGCCACCAAATGCATCGTAGCTTCTAAGTTGCACTGAATGATAGTCAGTGGTTCTGCACCGTCTCTAGGTACTGCTGACAGACCACTTGAGATCAAACGATTTGAGAGGAAAGGGACAAGGGGACCCTGAGATGGTCTGAATTTCACTCTGTGTTTGATCACCTATAATTTTAGTATCAAAGAACATAACACAAGTCTTCTCGTTTCACATGCTTTCACAAATGCAGAGTAAGAGGAAAAGAGATGGGGGAACTGTGTGTTAGAGAAAAAGATTATTAGAGAGTCTCCTTATATCTTTTGATTTTAAGAAATAAACTAGAGCACCTGGCTTTATGTCTGGGAAGTATCCAACTTAGAGACATCTAAATTACATCTCAGTGACCACCATTGCAATCTATTTTCTTTTTTTTTTTTTCTTAATTTTCTATTGCTTTTTAGGTTTTGGGGTACATGTGCAGAACATGCAAGACAGTTGCATAGGTACACACATGGCAGTGTGTTTTGCTTCCTTTCTCCCCTTCACCCACATTTGGCATTTCTCCCCAGACTATCCCTCCCCACCTCCCCCTCTCACTGGCCCTCCCCTTTTCCCCCCAATAGTCCCCAGTGTTTAGTACTCCCCTCCCTGTGTCCATGTGTAGCCACAATGATAGTGCAGGCTTAAGGACTTACTGAAGATGATTATTAGCATTGTCAGAATATGAATTATATGATGGTGTCATTGAAATGTCAGCAGTTACACGTGATGGAGAAGTGGAAATAGAATCAACTACCATGGTCGAATGAAAATAGATTGCAAATGGCAGTTCGTTCTTGATTTGGCTTTCTCAATCTATCTGCCATTTATGAGACTCTCATGATGTTTATTTACCCCTTTGTGCTTGTGTTAACTTATCTGAGGAATGGGAACAATAGCCACTGATTTCAAGGAGTTCTGAGGATTAAGTCACTGAATCCGTGTAAAGCACTTAGCAGGCAGCCTGGAGCATGGTAGCTGCACAGGGAGTGTGACCTCCTTCCGTGCCGGCAGGAATGTCCTGTGGTATGCTGCTTTTCACAAAGAGGGGCTTCTGCCCCATAGAGGCTAAGCCAGGTGAAGGGGGCATGGCATTTCTGCTCACTGCTACAGCTGGACCATTTTATCACAGTTCCTCCTCCAGCCCCTGGCAACCACCAGTCTTCTGTCTGTCACTACAGATTTACCTATTCTGGATATTTCACATAAATGGTGTCATACCACCCGTGGCCTTTTCTGCCTAGTGTAATGTTTTTAAGGCTTCTGGTTCCTTTTAAAATTCTCCATTTTGAATGAGCTTGTATAAAGGTAGTTGAAATAAAGGGTCCCTCTTTCTATTCAGCATTAAATATCGGAGGTCATTTTCTTTATTTTTTAATTTTTATTTTCTTTTTTTGAGAAGGAATCTCACTCTGTTACCCAGGCTGAAGTGCAGTGCTGTGATCTCAGCTCACTGCAACCTCTGCCTCCTGGCTTCAAGCGATTCTCCTGCTTTAGCCTCCTGAGTAGCTGGGATCACAGGTGCATGCCACCATGCCTAGGTAATTTTTGTATTTTTTTTCTTTTAGTAGAGATGGGGTTTCACCATGTTGGCCAGGCTGGTGTCGAACACCTGACCTCAAGTGATCTGCCTGCCTTGGCCTCCTAAAGTGCTGGGATTGCAGGCATAAGCCACCAGGCCTGACCTGGTCATTTTTTTTTCTTTTGGTATTGTTTTTTCCAACAGTCCTCTCAGCTTCCACTACCCCAGAAAATGTTGGCCACCCAACGATATCGCCAAGTAGGTCAATGAGCTGCTAGTTAAATAAAAAATGAGTATGATGCGTTGTTTATGCTACTTCCAGCATTTTAAGCAAGCTCATGGAAAGGTTGAGTTGTTGTTTAAGGCCAGGAGAAATGTACTACCAAGGAATCTAAGGACCACGTGTGATGCCCAATGTCACTTGCAGCACCGGATTTGAAGCTCCATGAGGCTTTTATCTGTCTTGCTTGTCACTGTATCCCTAGCCCCTATCCCAGTGCTTGACACATGATAGACATACAATAAATGTTTATTGGAAGAATAAACAAATGTGCAGGTATTGCATGTTTGGCAGGCTGTTGGTCCCCTCTTGAGGCAGCTTTGGCCTCAGCCAAGAGCAATCCTGGTAGACAGTGTATAGTGGAGGCAAATCTCTCTACTCAAAGAAACAGGTATCATTCTAAAAAAACACACCAGCAGCCCCTATTTGTACAAATATCCTGCCTCAAAGAGAAGTTAGTGTTAGAGCAAACTAGTGAAGCCAGATCTAACAGATATTTATGTTTTTCACTGTCAGCAGATAATGAAAAGTTACCAACTACCCTAGCAGGTAAGCAATGATTCTATCATTCATCCTATAGTTGGGAGGCCTTACCATCCAGAGGAAAAGTCCAGGCAGGTGGATCACTAGGTTGTATGATGTCTTCCATGGGGTCATCTAAGATAATAGCATCTTTATGAATGCAATGATTTTTACAACCTTTTCCCAATTCATCAATGACTTATTTTACTACTGCCGAGTGCCTCCTGCAGAACCCGGGGCTGATGCAGAGTTAAAGGGGGAAGCATATGGGCATTTGGGGGCAGCAGGGTCACACTGAGGAGCTTAATTTGAATTTGACTCCAATCTCATCAGAAGAAATCTTGCAGCTCATTGGGAGCGTGTGGCCAGTCCGAATGCTTTCGTTAAGGTGTGGCATGGCTGGGGACACTTCACCAGCTGCCAGTTGCATTCTTGTCTGATCTATTCTGTGTTTAGCGGTCCTAATCCCCATTTCCATGTGTTCCAGAGCTACCTGTGGCCAACTCAGCATCTGCCAGCCGCAGGGCCAGTGTGCCTGGGCCCAGTCCTTCAGGTGAGCAACCTTCCCGAGGACACCCTTTTGCTCTCCAAACCACAGGGTGGAGGTGGGGACATCCCAACGAGGGAGGGGCCTGGGAGAGCAGCACCATTTGCAGCCCCTGTGGTTCAAAGGGGAAGCACCATCCTGAGAGGACCTCAGCCTCCAGGACTGCAGCCGATTCACTGGGCCTCCCACACAGCATCCTCACTCGCTGCTCCTCCAGGGAAACATTTTACAAATTCAGCAAATACAGAGAATAAGAAAGTGAATAACCATGTCTGTCTTATCTAAATAGGACAAATTAGGTTATATTGGTTTTCCTGTCCTATCAATCAAGAAATAAAACACGGTTAAATCTGAAGCTCCCAATAGTCCTCAATCTCAGGCTTTTCTCTCTCCTTCCTCATAAACACCATTAAATTTCGTATATATCCTAACCCATGTGCGTGTGCCCCAAGCAATACTGAGCACCCACCTTACAAATTAGATATTATTTTGTTGTAACCTTTTTTTAACCTGTTAAAGGTAGCTCTTTATCAATGTTGAGTGTGTTTCCTTTGACACCAGCTATTGAGTTAGTATTTTCAACATCCATATCCATATAATGATAATAAATCTAAAAGTAAACATCTATGAGACTTGTCTTTATATCTTACATATTTTTATGTTTAAATATACTAAAAATAAGAGCTACAAGAAAAGTATAATAATCTGCTTTATGAGTTAATTAGGTGACCATATTCAACAATCTTTATTCTAGGAGAGGGCTGTTAAGTAATATTAATGTTCCCCTTGTGTGTGCTTTGTTATGTTCACAGATGTTTTACACACACTCAAACATGGCAGGACTTATCAGAGCCCTTGCTCTACTAGTGGACACCAGGATTCTCTAAGAGGGGACTATGTTATGCCAAGTGTACCTGACTGCAAACCTCCTTCTGCTCACTGAGATTGGGACTAGTGTCTACAAAAATGAGTTTAAGTATTGCTGAATTCCAAGTGCTTAGAGCACGCCATTAATGGTTGTTAAATCCCTAATCAAATTGTTTTAAATGATCTCACCCCCTTGAGTAATTAAGTTTCCCTTTGACCTTTGGGTCCTGACTCTCATCCTGATGATTCTGTAAAACAATACATCCTAAGAGTAAGAACTTTGTTTTCTCCCTCCTGAAATTTCTGCCTGAAATGCCCCCATTTCCATCATGTCCGGATTGCTCTTCCCTGTGAAATCCTATGCTTGCTTCTGAGCCCGGTTATAGAAGGAACTTCTTGAGCTCCACCATCAGTGGAGTCTTTTCTCTGCCTCAGAGTATCATTTCCATACTTTTCTAGCATTCTTACCTATTCTGTTTTTAATAGCAGAGCTATCCGGGTGTTTCTCCTAGTCCCCAACTTAATTACAGATGAGATGATGAGACTTAATTACAGAAGAAATCATGCAAACCTATTGCTTGCAAGGACTCTTATTTTAGTAACAAATTATGTATTTTTTAAAATTGCATTTTAGGTTTGGGGGTACATGTGAAGAACATGAAAGATTGTTGCATAGGTACACACATGGCAGTGTGATTTGCTGCCTTCCTCCCCATCACCTATATTGGGCATTTCTTCCCATGCTATCTCTCCCCAACTCCCCACCCCCTAATGCCCCTCCCCTGGTCCCCCCAACAGGCCCCAGTGTGTGATGTTCCCCTCCCTGTGTCCATCTGTTCTCATTGTTAAGCACCCACCTATGAGTGAGAACATGCAGTGTTTGATTTTCTGTTCTTGTTGTCAGTTTGCTGAGAATGATGGTTTCCAGGTTCATCCATGTCCCTACAAAGGATACAAACTCATCGTTTTTGATTGCTGCATAATATTCCATGGTGTATGTGTGCCATATTTTCCCTTGCCCAGTCTATCATCAGTGGGCATTTGGGTTGGTTCCAGGTCTTTGCTATTGTAAACAGGGCTGGAATGAACATTTGTGTGCATGTGTCCTTATAGTAGAACGATTTATAGTCCTTTGGATATATACCCAGTAATGAGATTGCTGGGTCAAATGGAATTTCTATTTCTAGGTCCTTGAGAAATCGCCACACTGTCTTCCACAATGGTTGAACTAATTTACATTCTCACCAACAGTGTAAGAGTGTTCCTATTTCTCCACATCCTCTCCAGCATCTGTTGTCTCCAGATTTTTTAATGATCGCCATTCTAACTGGTGTGAGATGGTATCTCAATGTGGTTTTGATTTGCATTTCTCTAATGACTAGTGATGATGAGCATTTTTTCATATGTTTGTTGGCCTTATGTATGTCTTCTTTTGTAAAGTGTCTGTTCATATCCTTTGTCCACTTTTGAATGGGCTTGTTTGTTTTTTTCTTGTAAATCTGTTTTAGTTCTTTGTAGATTCTGGATATCAGCCCTTTGTAAGAAATGTTTTCCCATTCTGTTGGTTGCCGATTCACTCTAATGACTGTTTCTTTTGCCGTGCAGAAGCTGTGGAGTTTGATTAGGTCCCATTTGTCTATTTTGGCTTTTGTTGCCAATGCTTTTGTTGTTTTGGTTATGAAGTCCTTGCCTACTCCTATGTCCTGAATGGTTTTGCCTATATTTTCTCCTAGGGTTTTTGTGGTGTTAGGTCTTATGTTTAAGCCTTTAATCCATCTGGAGTTAATTTCAGTGTAAGGTGTCAGGAAGGAGTCCAGTTTCTGCTTTCTGAACATGGCTAGCCAGTTTTCCCAACACCATTTATTAAACAGGGACTCCTTTCCCCATTGCTTGTTTTTCTCAGCTTTGTCAAAGATTGGATGGTTATAGATGTGTTGTGTTTCCTCTGAGGCCTCTGTTCTGTTCCATTGGTCTATATCTCTGTTTTGGTACCAGTACCATGCTGTTTTGATTACTGTAGCCTTGTAGTATAGTTTGAAGCCTGGTAGTGTGATGCCTCCCGCTATGTTCTTTTTGCTTAGAATTGACTTGGCTATGCATGCTCTCTTTTGGTTCCACATGAAGTTTAAGGTGGTTTTTTCCAGTTCTGTAAAGAAGGTCATTGGTAGCTTGATGGGGATAGCATTGAATCTGCTAATTACTTCGGGCAGTATGGCCATTTTCATGATATTGATTCTTCCTAACCATGAAATGGAATGTTTCTCCATCTGTTTGTGTCCTCTCTTACTTCGTTGAGCAGTGGTTTGTAGTTCTTGAAAAGGTCCTTTACGTTTCTTGTTAATTGTCTTCCTAGGTATTTTATTCTCTTTGTAGCAATTGCGAATGGCAATTGCTTGCCATTCTTGATTTGGCTCTCTTTCAGTCTGTTATTGGTGTATAGGAATGCTTGTGATTTTTGCACATTGATTTTATATCCTGAGACTTTGCTGAAGTTGCTTATCAGTTTCAGGAGATTTTGGGCTGAGACGATGGGGTCTTCTAGGTATACTATCATGTCGTCTGCAAATAGAGACAATTTGGCTTCCTCCTTTCATGCTTGAATACCCTTCATTTCTTTTTCTTGCCTGATTGCTCTGCCTAGAGCTTCCAATACTATATTGAATAGAAGTGGTGAGAGAGGACATCCTCGCCTAGTGACAGATTTCAAAGGGAATGCTTCCAGTTTTTTTCCATTCAATATCCAACAGATAATGGCTGTTGGTTTGTCATAAATAGCTTTTATTATTTTGAGATACGTTCCATCAATACAAAGAGCTGTTGAATTTTGTCAAAGGCCTTCTCTGCATCAATTGAGATAATCATGTGGTTTTTGTCTTTGGTTCTGTTTATGTGGTGAATTAGATTTAAAGACTTGCATATGTTGAACCAGCCTTGCATCCCCAGGATGAATCCTACTTGATCATGGTAGATAAGCTTTTTGATGTGCTGTTGCAATTGGTTTGCCAGTATTTTATTGAAGATTTTTGCATCTGTGTTCGTCATGGATATTGGCCTGAAGTTTTCTTTTCTTGCTGAGTCTCTGCCAGGTTTTGGTATCAGGATGATGATGGTCTCATAAAATGATTTGGAAGGATTCCCTCTTTTTGGATTGTTTGGAATAGTCTCAGAAGGAATGGTACCAGCTCCTCTTTGTGTGTCTGGTAGAATTCGGCTGTGAACCCATCTGGACCTGGGCTTTTTTTGGTCGGTAGGCTATTAATTGCTGCCTCAACTTCAGCAGGAAAGATCTAAAATTGACACCATATCATCAAAATTGAAAGAGCTAGAGGAGCAAGATCAAAAAATCTCAAAACCTAGCAGAAGACAAGAAATAACTAAGATCAGAGCAGAACTGAAGGAGATAGAGACACAAAAAAACCCTTCAAAAAAATCAATAAATCCAGGAACTGGTTTTTTGAAAAGATCAACAGAATAGACCACTAGCCATATTAATAAAAAAGAAAAGAGAGAATAATCAAAAAGATGCAATAAAAAATGATAAAGTACATGTCACCACAGATTCCACGGAAATACAAAGCAGCATCAGAGATTATTACAACCTGTGTATTCTGCAGGTACTATTTGACTGACTAAACATCCCTACTAATAGCACTGATGCAAGACATTATTAATGTTAGGTAGATAGCTTACTACACAGTAGTACGTTTGAGAAACTTTGTTTTGTTTTTTAAAGTCTTGTTTGATAACAATTCAACATAACATTAGCTGGTTGGTGCAAGGGTTCTTGACTCTGGAAGCTGAAAGAAGACTCAGCCCCCACAGCAGTCCCAGCTCTACCACTTGCATTCCTAGGTCTAGCGCAATGAGATGGAGCACTTGCACAAGTCAACTGAGCAACTTGATTACTCATAGACGGGCAACAAGGAGCCCCAGAAACCTAGGATCATGGGGAGGTGGTCGCCCAAGGATAAGGAAAGCTTCCCAGGGAGGATGGAGTCTCATCTGCATGTGCTCCATTTCACAGCACAGCTGAGGGACCCCAAAAGCACTCCACTCAGGGTATGGTACCACTGGGGGCTACTTGGCTCATGTTGCACAGCACCCTATTCTAGGAGGAACAGCCTGTTCCAGGACGCAGACAAAGCCCAAGCTATTCCCGACAGTTCCTTCTTGTCTTAGAATATTGTATTCTCAGCACATTCTGCAGTTATTCTGAAAACTATAGCAGGAGGGGTGTAGACCTGGGCTGGCCAAGACCATTAGGGACCTGTTCTTCTGCAGCTGGCCCTGGCCTGAAATCAGGACAGCTCCGTAAGGCCGGCTTCTTTTATGGCAAGAAACGGCCTGAACGCAGAATCCTCAATGTAACTGGAATGATGCAGACCTTGTTAGATGAAAACATAATCCTCCAGATAAGGCGGCTCTTAAGCTTTACGTTGAATTCTTAAAGAAATTCTCATTCGTTATTTCTTTTTTTATGTTATATTGTTATTGATAATGACTTTAACGTTCCACATAGTTGAGATCACCTCGGAGACTTCACTGACCACAACCCCTGCATCCTCCACACCTTCATCAACAGGTATGAAAACACTTGCCTGGGAAACCAGGAGATATGGATGCTGAGGTCCCCAGCATTAGCCCAAGCTCGGTGGAAAGGCGTCGGGTCACTTTGGGAGGTAGCTCTGCATAGTAGAAAGAGCCGTAAATTGTTTCACTTTCGAAGTATATGATCTTGAGCAATTTAGGTGTTCTACTTGAGGCAGTTTTCTTTTCTAAATCTGGTGCAACATTCCTTTTCAGCATGGTGGTTGAATACCTTAAAAATGAGAGAACTAATTAATATACAAGAAGTGAATGGTTGAATTCTAGATACATGTTTATATTTAGCTTTCTCCAATATCATAAATTCACAAAGTATAGTTGTGAGAGTCGATGTATTAGAAAATCTTAAGGCCAATGTGATTATGAACATTCTGGATATTAGGACATAACTATTGTCTGTAAACATGCAGTTAAACCTCTTATGTGTTGCCATAAATCTATTGGCATTTTACATACCTCCATCCTTGAGTTTCATACAATAAAATTAATTTACGAGGCCAGATGTGGTGGCTCAGGCCTGTAATCCCACCACTTTGGGAGGCCAAGGCAGGCGGATCACAAGGTCAGAAGTTTGTAACCAGCCTGAGCAACATGGTGAAACTCTGTCTCTATTAAAATACAAAAAAAATTACCTGGGCATCATGGCACACACCTGTAATCCCAGCAACTCAAGAGGCTGAGGCAGGAAAATCGCTTGAACCCGGGAGGCAGAGGTTGCAGTGAGCCGAGATTGCACCATTTCATTCCAGCCTAGACAACAGAGAGAGACTCCATCTCAAACAAACAAACAAACAAACAAACAAACAAACAAACTTTATGAATAATATGGCCTTGTATGGGATCCTTCCAGAAACTTCTAATGTAGAATAGATCTTTCTAAACACCATGGATCCTTTCAGAAACTTCTAATATAGAATTCAAGAGAAAACTACCTTTTTCTGAGGGGAGGTTTATAACAAAGATTGGTCATTCGCAATTGAAGGTGACTGTGCTTGCTGGCCTGGCCACATATGCAACACAAGTTTATGTGACAAACAGACAAATCCAAAGAGGATGAGAGAAATATCTCTGCTACCAGAGGCCAGCCCCAGTACTTCTCCTGTTTGTGCCTCTCCAGGAGCCTGGATGGAGGTGAGGCTGCTGAATGGCACAGGAAGGTGCTCAGGCCGCGTGGAGGTTCTTGTCCAGGGCACATGGAAGACCATGTGTGATAACCTCTGGGACCTGGCCGAGGCCACAGTTGTGTGCCGCCAGCTACGGTGTGGACAGGCTGTGGCAGCCCCAACAGGGTCTCACTTTGGGGCAGGCTCTGGGAGTATCATACTGGATGATGTGCAGTGTGTGGGCAGTGAGAGTCACCTGGGGCAGTGCGTGCACAGGGGCCAGGCTGGGCACAACTGTGGGCATCTGGAGGATGCCAGTGTCATCTGTGCAGGTGAGGGCTGTTACCTCCCAGGACTTCACTATTGTCACAGGCATCCGCCAACACTAACAGAAGCCACTGGACAATACATTATAAATAACCTCATAGACTTTGATCTCTTGATTAGGTGCTGATGGTTCTCCAGCCCCCGCCCCCACCCCAGGGGCTGAAGTGGCTTCTACATTGGACATGCTCCCAGGTGGGTCTAATCTTTGGGTAGTTTGCTTTGAGTATACTTTTCTTTCCACAAGTCATTTTGTTAAGTCTTGGTAGAGCTCCTTCAGGGCTAGAGAAAAAGTCCTCTAGTCCTCTTCCATTTCACAGTCAGAGAGTTCTGTTCGTGACAAGTCTGGAGATAAGAATAAACGAAACATGGAGATGGTTGGGCAATGGAATATTTGTTGCATCAAATAAATCCCATTAGAATGTCTCAATGTTTTTTTGCCAAGAGTCATTGTTAGAAAATACCAATTGTTTCCAAATCATTCATGAGCTGTAATCTAATTCATGAAACCCTAGGACTGTCTGCACTGGTGTGAGGCTGTTACCTCTCCTGGATGTCACTCCTTTGAAAGCTTTTCAGAAATATTCAACTCATATTCTCAGAAGTCATTGAGCATAATATTGTAATAGCCCGTAGACCACAGCATGTTGATTTCTTTGATCATCAGGTTCTGTTAGTTCACTGGGTCCCACTCCAACCACAGAACCTGAAGCTGCCACCCCATCATACACACCATCAGGTTGGGCCAATCTTTTCTTGGTTCTTTTGCATTGTTGGCTTTTCCTCCGTAGAATGTCTCTTTCTTAAGCCAAGACGGCAGGGCCTTTGCACCACATAACTTCCAGGGTTCCACCTTGCTAGAATGTATTGTGCATTGCATCCTCGTGTGCATGAGGGAATGGTGGTCCCTGGAGTCATATAGCTAGGTGATCCTACATTGTTGAGTCACTCTAGGATTAAGAGAGTTAACAATCATTCCATATTACAGCACACCATACAGAGAGACACGGAGCAGAAGGGAAACAAGTTTCTCATTCATTCCATCATCTTGATTTCTTAAATAATTCCTGAACTTGCCCAAACTATGCCTGCACACTGGAAATTTTAGTTGTCTCCAAATGGTTTAGGAGCTCAGTCAATTGAAACAAAATCAGTTAGGATTGAATTGATATCACCCAAGGTATATATATAGTGATCAGAATAGGTATAAAAACTGCTTACAGATTCCCAAATTGGTAAATATCTGCATTGTTATTAGGTAGCATCCTCTTAATTTTGAGATTCTGAAAAAAGCAGAAATAAGTAGTTGGAAGAGGATGCAGGAAACATAAAAAACACTTTTCCTCCCTCTGCAGATATTTGATAGGAGAGCAATGAAGCCCATTCCCTTCAGTACATGATAACATGGACAACAGAACAGAACAATGATCAGTGAAATTCTCACGGTGGGGGCCACACACTCACAGTAGCACCTTCTTTGCCCAGACTGGAGCTGACCGCCAGCTGCTTCACTTTAGGAAAAAAACTCTCTATGTTCTTTTCTTTTTTCTTTTTTTTTTTTTTTTTGAGACAGAGTCTCACCCTGTCACCCAGGCTGGAGTGCAATGGTGTGATCTTGGCTCACTGCAACCTCCGCCTCCCAGGTTCAAGCGATTATCCTGCCTCAGCTTCTCAAGTAGCTGGGATTACAGGCACCTGCCGCCATGCCTGGATAATTTTTGTATTTTTAGTAGAGGCAAGGTTTCATCATGTTGGCCAGGCTGGTCTCAAACTCCTGACCTCAGGTGATCTGCCTGCCTCTGCCTCCCATAGTGCTGGGATTACAGGCATGACCCACTAAGCCCTGCCAACTCTGTACATTTCTGACATATTAAGATTGATTTTACATTGTATTATATGACCAACTGAAAAAAAGAAATGATATGGTTATTTTTGATGATTTAACTACTTTTGGAGGCCTGCTCCCAAACTATTTTAAATAATCACCGTAAGGAAGAGAATATTCAGTAGTTCTGATTTACATACATATATAAAGACTATTATGAAAAGTATCAAACTCCCTGACAAACGCTAAGAATAGTATAATGAGCCCAGGGTACCAACTATCGAGTTTTGTGAAATTCTAATATTTGCCCTATTGTTTGAGAGCCTTTTTAAAAGCAAACAACACAATACCTGATTGCTATTTAGGAGTTAATATGACGAAAAGGGCTGCCTTAATGCCCCATGTGGCTTAGCTGCTCAGAGCCCAGATACAGCCACCAAAGATCCAGACGGAAAGCAAAACATTCAGTCATTTCATTGCCTGCCATGTCCATGTATTGCTGCAAAAAGGAAACGAGGAAACCATCCACAGATGGTTTTGTGAGCACTTCACAAGCTAGAGTGTACAACCCAACGGTGTGTCCTCAAAGTATTAGCACTTTTCATTTCACTGTGGCATCTGATATCTAACGTTGAATGAGGTGGCAGGGAAGGAGATATGGGAGCCACCAAAACCCTGACAGACGCATTTCGAACCAGCAGTTCTCTTGGGTTTATAGTCAGAAGTTCACACTCCCCTGTGCAGCCAGGAGGTATCTAGCAGTGAAGGAGGCCTCTCTTTGTCTTTCACAGGACAAGTACTGTCATTAACTGTGCCTACCTCAGAGCCCACTGTGCTTCCCCCAACTCCTCCTCCAACAGGTCAGTTGGCATTTGTTTTATGGGGAAAGGGAACCATGTGCCCAGCACTGGGCCAGTGCCCTCCCAGACCTGAAGCCACGCTAAGTGCTAACCATACTCCTGCAGATTCTCCTTGCCTCTGGAGGAGATGAGTCAGAAATTGATGCTGCATATTTGACTGTGACCTTCAGGTCATGTCTATTTTCAAACTTTTATCTTTCTCAGGTTGGGTTTAGGGGATGTCCTAACTATTAGGACTGTCTCTCTTTGTCCCTGTGACAGGTGCTGGGTTATCTGCAACCATAGCCATAACAGAGCCTGCAGCCCTGCCATCCACACCCAAGCCTCTGGCAGGTAAGTGCTTGGGAGCCACCACTGGAAGGAGCTCACATTTATGATACAACCATAATGTGATAAGCAGAGAATCAGATGCTGTCACTAATCTATGCTCACAACCACCTACAAGTGTTATCCTTCCCCTCCCCCAACCTCACTGTTTCATAAAATGAGAGACACAAAATTTTCCTAGCATCACCCAACTAGAATGTGCCGGAGCCAAGATTTGGGCACAAATGTTGGACTCCAAACTCATGTGACTCTGCTTAGCTATCTGCCTTTGATGGTGGGACAGTATTCTCCAAAGCTACCTTTGGGCTATTGGGAAGAGAACATGCTTACAAGCCTAATTGCTATGTCCCAGGTACATCAAGACTACAACCAAGAAATCAGGGAGTCAGCTGTGAGTGGTCACCTACTCTATAGCTTTTAATATAAAATTCCTAATTTATATTTTCTCCTATTACAGTTAGGCAAGATTTATCCTTTTAGTTTACCTGATACTGTATATCAGGTATGAACCCAAATCGCAGTATCTTCCTTTCTTACCTGGGTGGAACTGCCCGTAAGTCTGCTTTACAAAGAAAGAAAGCTCACTGTAGCATTCTGACACTTTAATACTGGTTCTGCAGTAAGTCACATCAGTAGTGACTCAATGTGTCCAGGCCAAGCCTAATGGTGTGCGTGCCTGTCTGTGTTTTGAATAAATACTATGGTGGATGTTGAAGGCTGTGTAGATGCGCTAAACTAGACATACAGTCATTCTGCTCCCTCCTCAAAAAGCACCACACAGCAGGCAGAGGTCTCTCATCTGTTTCAGGCCTCCACTTGGGCCACTTTTTGACATTCTGAGCCCCTAGAAACTTTTGCCTACAGGGACCCCTGCCTCCATAAAAAAGTAAATTTATATATACACAGATATGTATGTATATTTTCTATTTTATGGTTGTGTTTATATAAAGACTATATTATAGTCATTTCTTCTGATTTTAAAACAAATGAAGACATGTTTGGGGGCCCTTAAAGGTCACATGGACCCCAGGCACTGTGCCTGCCATGTCTGATGGAGGTGTCTCTATCCTGCTCTTCTGAATTCTTCCAAGTAATGAACATGGGCAGACCCACTGGACTTCAGCACCACCAGGACTTTTCAGGAGAAAGAACACAATGCATTTGCCCACCATGAGACTGCTTCAAATCATGCCCAGCCAATTTTTGTATTTTCAGTAGAGACTAGGTTTCACCATCTTGGCCAGGATGGTCTCAAACTCCTGACCTCGTGATCCACCTGCCTCGGCCTCCCAAAGTGCTGGGATTGCAGGCGTGAGCCACCGCGCCCTGCCAAGAGGTTCATCTTTTATGCATAGTTCCTGACGGGGTTGAGTTGAGAACAGTAGGTCATGGTCATGCTAAATAATGTGAGTAGGAGGGAGTTGTTTATGAAATGGAGGCTGCCAGCCCAGAACAATTTGAGCCTTTAAAGGGGTGATTGACCTAGAATCCCAGGAAATTTTCCTCACCTTCTCTTCTGAGCATAATCTACTTACAATTACCATCACGACTCACGTTTCCACTACATTTTTCCTCACATATATTTTCTAACAACCCACATGTTAGATATGAGAAATATTTCTGCATTGGATAATTGACGTTAGGAGATAGTGTATTGTATTTCACTGCTGCTCCTATTTTGTAAGCTAGAGCACTATTAATATAATGAGACACAGACTCTCAAACTTTTTGTTTAAGAAATCTAATAGAGTAGTAGGTCTATATTTTACTCCTCCTGTTGGCTTAAGAAAGAAACCTCACCAGTGTTTCTAGAAAATTCTAAAACACATAATGTCAATATAAGTATTGTGATCAGGGCAACAAAACACTAAATGAAGCAACCATCATTATTCCAGATTATTTAGAGGTTTAATGATTACTTTCACTAGACAGAGAAATAATTCTCCTTTGTTTTCTCCATCCTATCACTGATTAAAGCCCTTAAGGTATAAACTCTTTTTTATAGAGCCTTGCACATAATAGCCATTACGTGAATATTCCGTGGTTTAAAGTATAACTGTGTTGGCAGCAAAGAAAAGCATGTCTTTAATGCTAGAAAGAATGCTCTATTATCTCCAGTCTGTCATGGGACACTCCCCCATACCAAGGCGACTTCCACAGAAAGGCTAGCCAGCGTCCACTGGGACATTGCTGGTAGGACCCCCCAGGTCAGGGGTCCTCTGGAGTTACTGTGCCACGTGTGGGCTGAAGGGACATGTGTAAGTCGGGAGCCCAGGGATCTGGCGTTATCTCTCTAGAAGTCTGATGCAGCTGCTCACCAGGGTCTTCTGGCCTCCTTGAGGTACTTCCAGGAAGTAGGAGTTCTAACTCACATTTTCCAAGACCCATGGAAACTTCTACTGCCTAACCCAGAGGAAATACCTTTTTAGTTACACATAAAGTTGCAATAAGTACTTCTCTCCCTCAATCCTTCTTCTCTTCCTTGATCTCAGGTCTTTGAAAACTAAAGCCAGACCATCCCACAGTCTCTATCAGCTCCCTACTCTGCACGTAACCTGACCCAGGCAAGAGGCACAGGGCTCAGCTTGAGAGAGGGAAGGAGAAGGGTAACTTCAGGGTGTAAAATACAGACAACAGAGTTCACTGGCCTTAGAAAGTCATATGGAATACTAACCAATCTACCCAGTTCCAATTCACATTGCCACTTTGACCCTGAAAAAGTTAACCTGGACTTTCTGAGTCTCACTTGCTTCATGTGCAAACCAGCGGTAATAATAGACCCAACAAGAGAGATGTAATGGTCAAATAAGATCAAGCTTGTAAAGTGTTTAGGATGGGACCTGCTTTTGGTGATGACCACGGAACGTGAGTGGTAGCATTTATTATTATTGTTGTTACTATTATTCTTCTTATGAAATAATATCATATGGAAGATATAAGTATTATGACATCAGCAATATATCAGCCCAACATAATAAGGCTAAGGCAATGTCCTGACACCGAAGGCCACTCCCCAGTGTCCCTCCTTCTTGTGCTTCCCTAGGAGCCTGGATGGAGGTGAGGCTGCTGAATGGCACAGGGAGGTGCTCAGGCCGCGTGGAGGTTCTCATCCAGGGCACATGGGGGACTGTGTGTGATGACCTCTGGGACCTGGCCGAGGCTGCCGTTGTGTGCCGCCAGCTGCAGTGTGGCCAGGCCGTGGCAGCCCCCGTGGGGGCCCACTTTGGGGCAGGCTCTGGGAAGATCTTACTGGATGACATGCAGTGTATGGGCAGTGAGAGCCACCTGGGGCAGTGTATGCACGGGGACCAGGCCAGGCACAACTGTGGGCACCTGGAGGATGCCAGTGTCATCTGTACAGGTAAGGGGCTGTTTCCTTAAAAAGAAGTAATTTCTTGGTTTTCCCTTTGAATAATACTCAGTGATTGATTTTACTAAGTATATATTATAAATAGTACTGTAAATGTTAGCATGTTGATTTCTTTTGATCATCAGGTGCTGGCAATTCACCAGGTCCCACTCCATCTACAGAACCTGAAGCTGTCACTTCATCATACACAGCATCAGGTTGGTTCAATCTTTGCTTGGTTCTTTGGCTTTGTAGCTTTTCCTCCACAGAATGTCTCTTGCATAAGCCAAGATAGCAATGACTTTCCATTGCACAATTCCCAGGACCCTATCTTCCTAGAATGCATTGTGCATTTCATCCACATGCAGGTGGTCACATGTCATATGCAAATGGTGGTCTCTGAGTTCTTGCAGCTTGGTGGTCCTACGTGGTTGAGTCACTCCAGGGTTGGAAGATCGAACAATTATTTCACCTCACACTACACCATACAGAGGGGCACAGAGCAAAAGGGAAAGAAGACTTAACGGGGAAGGGAAGTATGAGAAATAGATTCACATCTGTCACCTAGACTTCAAAATTCCTGAACTTGCCTTACAATAGATACATTGGAAATGCTTAGTCATCTCTAAATGGTTCAGGGGCTTAGTCAGTTGAAATAATGTCAGTTAAACTTGAATCCATATCTCTCTAATGGCACACATGCTGGTCCAAACAAGTTTGTTTGATAGATTTGCTAGTCAATAGACACTCATATTCTCATTATGATTCATATTCTTAATTTCAAGAGTCTAAAAATGGAGTGATTCTCTAATATATCATTGGAAGAGAACACAGAGCTTGAAAGAACAGACTATTTCTCCTTCTCTATATATAGATAGGGGAGTGGTAAGACCAGTCCTCATGCAAGATGGAAACAGAAAGAAGATGAGAGAAATCTCATTGATGAGGTGGCACACAAACTCACATATGAAACACAGAAAAAGGAGTTGATTCTTTAGTAGAAATTGTATCTAGGACATTGCAACCCTAAATGTTTATTCATCTTAAAACACAACTTCAAAATACATGAAGCATAGACTAATAGAATGACAAGGGGGCATAAATGATTTTTTATTCTTGACAATAGAATCCACTTTTTCTTATATTAGCAGACATATCACATTTTGATTACTGCTAGCATGGTGTTACTTTTAACCTATCTGGGTCTGTTTATTTATTTATTGAGATGGAGTCTTGCTCTGTTACCCAGACTAGAGTGTAGTGGTGCGATCTCAACTCACTGCAGCCTCTGCCTCTTGGATTCAAGCAATTCTTCTGCTTCAGCCTCCTGAGTAGCTGGGACTACAGGTGCACACCACCACACCTGGCTAATTTTTTGTATTTTTAGTAGAGATGGGGTTTTGCCATGTTGGCCAGGCTGATCTTGAACTCCTGGCCTCAAGTGGTCTACATACTTCAGGCTCCTAAAGTGCTGTGATTACAGGCACAAGCCACTGTGCCCAGCCGTGTGTTTAAATCTAAAGTGGAGTTCTTTTAGGTAGCATATACTTGGGTTTTGCTTTTCTAAAATCCTATTTGAAAATCTCTGCCTTTTACTTGAGGTGTTTAGACCATTTGTATTTAATATGATGACAGACAAATACATTTTACTAGTTATCCATTGCTGTATAACAAATTACCCAAAATTTTGCATTTTAAAATGACAGATATTTATTAGCTCAGTTTCTGTAAGTCACATACCTTATTAGCTTAGCTGGGTGGTCCTGACTCAGGGTCTTTCATGACGTTATAGTCAAGCAGTCAACCAGGGGTACAGTCAAGAATCACACAGGGCTTTTTTCCAAGTTCACTTACATGATTTATTGGTGTCTTTTATTCCTCATGTGCTCTTTTACTTAGGACTTGAGTTTTTTGATGGCTTCTAACTGTAGGCTTCCCTCAATTCCTTGCCTCTTCCACCATAGCAAGTGATGAGAGAGAGACAGAGAGAGTGCTCAAGACAGAACCCACATTCTTTCATAATTCAATCTCAAAAGGGACATATCATTACTTTTGCTGTATACTATCAATGAAAAGTGAGTTCTTAAGTCCAATCCAAAACACAGGGAGGGAAATCAAACCCTACCTTTCAAAGGAAGAAGTATCAAATAATTTGTGAGTATACTTTAAAAATCACCACTGTTAAGTTTAAATCTACCATTTTGATAATTATTTAAATTTACCATTTTGCTAATTGTTTTCTATTCATTCCACCTGTTCTTTTTTACCATGTTTTTGTCTTCTCTTTATCTGGAATTTACTGTTCCATCATGTCTACCTTCTTTTGTCTACTAGGTATAACTGTATTTTAAGTGGTTACTTTAGGATTTATAATAAACATCTTTTCTATGCAGCATCCTTTTTCTTCTAAGCAAAAGACTACCTTTAACACATCCTATAGTGAAGGTCTATTGATGACAAGTTATTTCACCTTTTCTGTGCCTGAAAGCATCTTTATGTCATCATCATTTTTAAAAGATAATTTTCCTGGGAATAGAAATCTAGGTTGACCTTTTTGTTTCAATATTTTAAAGATGTTATTTTGCTGTTGTCAGAATTTCATTCTTTCTGTCAAGAAAGATATTGTCATTATCACCTTTTCCCTCTATATACAATGTTTCATTTCCAGCTGCTTTTAAGATATGCTATTTATCATGAATTCTAATGTATTTGATTATATCATACCTTGGGATAGTTTTCTTCATGTTTCTTCTGGTTGAAGTTCATTGAGTTTCATGAATATGTGGTTCACAGTTTTTACAAATTTAGGAGTTTATCTCTTCAAATATTTTGTTTCCATCTTTTCTCCTCTCCCTTATGGACTCCAATTAAATATAGGTGACTTGAAGTTGTCTCACAATTTACTGATGCTCTGCTCATTTTTTTAAGTCGTTTTCCCCCATGGCATTTGGCTTTGGGTATGTCTTCAAGTTCACTTATTTTTTCCTTTGCAACATCTAATCTGCTGTTAATCATATCCAGTGTATCTTTCATCTCAGGCATTATTGTTTTCTTCTTGAAAAGTTTAATTTTGGTCTTTTTTATATCTTATATATCTCTACTTTTCATGTTCCATCTTTCCTCTGCCTTCTTGATTGTATGATATTATGGTTTTTTGCCCTAGTGTACAAATTATATTATTTTTACCATTTATTTGTCTCTGTCCACAAATTTATTTTTCCCATTATGAACCATAGTTTCCTGCTTCTTTACATCCTTGGCAATTTTCTAGTGGATGCCGGATGTTGCCATTTACCATTTTGAGTATGAGTTATTGTTTATTCTCAATCTTACTTTAAATCACTCAAGTTACTTGGAAACAGTTTGATCCTTTTAAGCCTTGTGATTAACTTTTGTTAGGCAGGAATAGAAAGATATTTAGTATGGAGCTAACTTTCCCCACTACTCGGCAATACCCTTCTGATTACCATACCTAATGCCTCATGGATTACCTTGTTTCACTTTGGCTAGTAGGAACAGGAACTATTCCCATCCCTGTGCAATCACCAAAGATTGTTCCCTCTCCTCTCTTTAGGCAGTTCTTATCTTGGTCTTGGGCATTTGCTCCACATACATCTGCTGATTAGTACTCAGATAAAACTTGAGAGAGACTCTCTGAAAAATCTTTGGAGCTCTCTCTGTGGGCAACCTCCAGTACTTCCCAGTGAACTGCAGCCACTTTGTTGTCCCTTAATTTTCAGATCCACCTTTTGAAGGAGTCTGCCAGGATCCACCTGGGTTCCCCTTCCCTCTGTTGTACACTGGAACTCTAGTTGATAACCTAGGGTAATTACAGGATTCCCCATGTTCATTTTCTCTTTCTTAGTGATTACTGTCCTGTGCTGCCTGTTGTTCAAGATCAGAAAGCCATAATTTAATGTATTTTGTCTAGTTTCTTAGTTTTTCATGTAAGATGGTAAGTCTGTACCCAATTATGGTAGTTTTCTATTGCTGCCATAACAAACTGCCATAAACTTAGCAGCTCTAAACACCATCAATGTGTCATTTTTATAGTTCTGTAAGTCATAAGCCCAGTGGGCTTGGCTGGTCTGTTTCAAGTCTTAAAAGGCAAAATCATGATGCCAGTAGAAATCTGAAGGAGAATCTATTTCCAGGCTCATTGGAGTTGTTGACATCATTCAGTTACAGGCAGTTGTGCAACTCTGGTCCCTGATTCCCTGCTGACTGCTGGGTAGGAGTTGCTCTCAGATTTTAGAAGCCACTCACATTCCCTAGCTCATAACCCCTTCATCTTAAAGCTTGTACCAATGAGCCAAGTCATCCCCATGCTTTAAATGTCTCCTGCCTCTTCTCCTGCCATACCTCTTTGATTTCAGTGAGAAAAGATTCTCTGCGTTTAAGAGCTCACGTGATTAGATTGGATGCACCCAGATAATCCAAGATAATCTCCCATTTTGTGATCTGTAACCTTAATCACATCTGTAAAGTCTCTTCTGCCTTATCGTGTAACCTATTTGCAGATTCCAGTGATTAAAACTTAGACATCTTAAGGAAGTCAATATTTAACCTCCCTTAAGTTACCAGTTACCGCATCCGAGATGGAAGTCAAAGTTAGATTATTTTATTATAAAATGTATTAAAAACAATGAGAAATGTCAAGAGTAGTACACTGAACACTTGAGAACTCACTAGCAGATTCTATCAAATATTAATATTGTGTTATAATTATTTTGGGTTTTTAGTAAAACAGTACAGTAATTGAAGGATATTTTATGAGTTAATAGGATAGAAATGGAGACTTTCTTACTTTGTTATGTGAGCCTCCTGCGGTTTAAGCAACTACGAGTCCAAATATATTCAGCAAAAACCTAGAAATAAGCCAAAAGCTCCAGTCATTTAACTAAATATATCTGGTTTGTTGCTAAAAGAAATAGAAAATCCAAAATTTATTTTGTGTGTGTTTAAAGGGTTAGAACGTACTAACTGGAAGTTCTAAAAGTGCTGGATTTTCCATCCCATTATGCCCTAAGTAGTGATAGATAAGTGTGGTAGAGAAGAGAGAGTAGATGATCCTCCCTACTTGAATCTGCCTCTTGGGAAGCCAACCAAAACACTGACAGGACATATTTGAACCCAGACACTGCTTCTGGGCTTGTGGTCAGAGGTTTTTTCTTCCATGTGTAGCTAGGAGGTATCTAGCAGTGAACAAGGCCTCTCTTTGTTTTATACTTACAGGTCAAGCACTGTTGTTAGCTGTGCCCACCACAAAGCCTGCTGTGCTTCTCTCAACCCTCTCTCTAACTGGTCAGTTGGCATTTGTTCTATGGGGGATGGGGAAAGGGAACTATGTTTCAAGCCCTGGGCTTGTTCCTTCCCATACCTAAAGCCACACTGAATGCTGACCAGACTCCTGCTCTGAGAAGCTAAGTCAGGAGCTGATGCTGCATATTTGACTGTGACCTTTAGGCTGTGTCTATTTTCAAAACTTGGTCTTTCCAAAGTTGGGTTTAGAGGATGTTCTATTAGGGATGCCTCTGTTTGTCCCTATGACAGGTGATGAATTATCTGCAACCATAGCCACAACAGAGGCTGTGACCCTGACATCTGCACCTATGCCCCCAGCAGGTAAGTCTTTGGGAAAATGGGGGAAGGAAACATTATGAAACAACCATGTGCTCATAAGCAGAGAAATAGATGCTTTCATGTAGCCAGCATCTCATTTTATGCTCACACAAATCTGCAAGAAAAGTCACCTCTGCTCCACCCTCATTTTTTACACAGAAAGACAGAGAAAATTAATTTACCTAGAAGTAATTGACTAGAAAGCGGTAGAATAAGGATTTGAGCACATACTCTTAGGTCTCAATCCCATGTACCTCTACTTGGCCAAATGCTTCTGAGGGAGACAATATTAGAGGGAGAGAAACTTCTGGCAGACCTGATTGCTAAGACCCAGACACATTAAGACCTAAATTTAGGAATTTTAAAGCCTGATGTCTTTCAGATTGTCTGTGTGTTGTCTTTTGTTTTCTCTGAAACCTTTTAGGACCTTTCCCTGTGCCTTGTGTTTTGAGCTTCCATGATGTTTCACCTTGGTCTGAGTCTTTTTTCCCACATTACTCTACACACTCCCTTTGAGCTTTTAGTTTAGAGATGCATATTCTTCCATTCTTGCAAATTTTCTTGAATTATTTGTTGGTAACAATAGGAAGTTGGTAGAACCAACTTTCCTTCGTTTGTTAACCAGATGAAACACTTGTGGATATTTTCCACTGATCTTAACCAAGAGCCAAAGATCACCTCTTACTTCACCTTATAAGTCTTCTTTCTAGTTCATCCTGCAAGAGGTCTAGACGCCCTCCCTGAGGAAAGAATGTACTCTCTGATTGCCTCCCCAGAGCCTTCTTAACCAGTAGGCTCAAACTGCAGGGACTGGCATGCACAGCTTGTTACCAGCAAAGAGCAGCATCCAAGCTCCCCAAGTGGTGCAAGCCTGCAGGAACTTCTGTACACCAGGAAAGAAAATAAAACTCACCCTAAGTATGCTAGTCCCCATCTGTATTAGGACTAGTTCCATTTTCTTGCCTTTTACTGCATATGTGGGTTGAAGGTATAGAAGAATGATCAATGTCACCTTTGTATGGCATCTGTAACACCTGAATTGCTAGCTTCCAATCCGTGTAACCACACACAATTGAACCTAGTCAATTTAACAAAACGATACTCTGTGATTCAGGACACTTGATATTGACAAATTGTCTCCATACACATGATTTAATTTGATCCTAATAATATCCAGTGAAGTTGCCAACACAGAGACTATCTCCGTTTCTCAGTTGATGAAACTGAGGCTCAAAGAAGCAAAAGAGCTTTATTTTTCTTACATCTTGCCTGCTGCGCTCCTTAAGAAAACATATTGACACATAGTAGGTGTTCAGTAAATGGGGCCAATGTTTACCCCAGTATTTCAAACATCCAGCTACCTGACATGGAATTGAAAAATGGGAAGTCGATACAAACCATCCAACATTTATGCTTGCTAATTAATCATCAGGCTGATTGCTGCCAGATTCTAAACCACATGTTCAAATAAGTGTGATATCAGGCTTCTGAGAACTGCCACACAGATAATGAAGTCGGTACTTCCTTTCATGTCCTCTGTGTGATTGACAGGTCACCCATTAGCTGCCCTGGCAAGGACAGTGGGCACAGGTGGGACTTTTGTGTCCTTTGCTACCTTGATCATCATCTTCTAGCTCTAGCCCTGATGTGATCCTCCAAGGAAATTGAGCCAAAGTACTACTGCCCTGTCTGGGTCTCCCCTCTCAACCTGTGTTCTGGGAGACAAGTTGAGTAACAAATGCCAGTAAATTTATGGTTCTAATTCCATTTCTGTCTAGTAAAAGAAAAAAGTCCAGATAATCAAGTGATGCTCCCTGTCTGGCCTCCCAGCATGGACACCATGAGTGAAGGGCAGGCAGGCAGCCATTAATAGAGCAATGTTGCCAGGGTGGTACCCAAGGCCATGATTTGAGAGGGCTCCCACCATGAGCACATTTTTCTTCTTCACCTTTTCCCCTTCTCTGATAATCTCCATCCTTCTCTATTCTTTCTTTTTCATCTGCCATTTTTTCCTCTGGTCTTGCCTATGTCTTGGGCCTTCAGAAGCTCCACTGAATTTTTCTAGCACCACTTGGGGATAAAGGGCTAAAATACCACTGTTGCAAGGACAGCCTGGCTAGATGACCACGGCCGATGGAGTTTAGGTCTGGTTCTTATACATCCTGATAATCTGATGGAGCCAGCTGTTTCCATTGCCACCAGCATCACCTTTAATTCGGGACTGAATGTTGGACAGATGGATAGACAGAAGCAGAACAGACAGACAGTGGGTGGATAAACAAATTGTCAAATGGACAGACAGGTAGATACAAAATCTTATCAATATTAGGGGGTATTCCGGGGGTGGATGACTAAGGACAACTTCTTTGTACTTAATAGTGAGTTTTTAAGAATGCAATTTGAGGCCAGGCGCAGTGGCTCACGCCTGTAATCCCAGCACTTTGGGAGGCCGAGGCAGGTGGATCACAAAGTCAAGAGATCGAGACCATCCTGGCCAACATGGTGAAACCCCATCTCTACTAAAAATACAAAAAATTAGCTGGGCATGGTGGCGCGTGCCTGTAATCCCAGCTACTCAGGAGGCTGAGGCAAGAGAATTGCCTGAACCCAGGAGGCGCAGGTTGCGGTGAGCTGAGATCGCGCCATTGCACTCCAGCCTGGGTAACAAGAGCGAAACTCCGTCTAAAAAAAAAAAAAAAACAAGAATGCAATTTGAATAAATTATAACTGAGAGTGGAAGGACCCTGTCTTCCTCAGAGGCTCCACACTGGCTCAGGTCAATTGGGAAATGGAAGGTACTTTACTCATTACTACTAGTGACTGTACAAAAGTCAAAGCTGCAGAGCCCACAACCAGGAGGTAACCGGAGAAAAACATTCTGGCTGATATTGCATAGTAGCTCTTTCCAGCAAGCCCATGTGGATGGCAGAATTCTTAAAAGAGATGAGAGTTGTTTTAAAATTCAGATGCACTTATCCTCTGATTTCTAAGTCTGCAAGACTTTTTAGACTGGTCAATACTTCTGATGCATCCTAAGACATACTCACACAGTAATACCAAATAAAATCTTCTTTGGAAATAGTTTTATTTTTAAGAAAAGATGTGAATTAAGAAACAATTGAAATTCTAAAATATATTTCTGCATTTAGAAAAATCTCGGTGTGGTGGCATTATTACTAACTCATCTGGAGCGATTAGGAATCCCCCACAGAATGAGATGCATGACAACATCACTTGTGTGTGGGAAATTAAGGCGAATGCATCTGATCATATACTGCTGGCATTTCCACATCTTGAGTAAGTCCTAAGCTGTTATGTATGTACTTAGCTACTTTGTGTCGTTTTTTGGCTCTGCTGTCTTGGACCGCTTCCAGGAGCACATCTCGTGCCAGCCTCCTGTTTCCTCTTCCGTTTAAAATCCCGTCCCCTTAAAGCAATGGCTCTCAGAGGGAAAAAGTAGGATCAAAGGAACCCATGCTGTGTTTAAATGACTGACAGGCTTTTACTTGTATCTCCAACACCTTTAGAGTAACAAAATGAAGCGTTTGCCTCACAGCAGGCCTCTAAGGTCTTCTGATGAGGAAACTGAGAGGCATCCATGGTGTTTGCTTCCCCAGTCTCGACTGCACCAATGAATATTTTGAAATCCTGGACGGTCCTCCATCCTCAACAAAGTCATTGGGAAAGACCTGCTCTGGCTTCCGCCCCACCTACGTCTCCTCCTCCAGCTCAATGACCCTCGTGTATTTCCGAAGCTTCAACAACCTAGGAAAAAACTTCATTGCTTATTATTATTCTGCAACCAAAGGTGAGAATAACGGTAAAGAGCAACAATTCTAGAGCTGGACTCTCTGCCTGGGTGCGAATCACCGTCCTGTTACTTACTCTGTGACCTTGGGCAAGCAGCTTGACCTCTCCCAGCCTCCCTTCCTTTCCTATATAATGGGGACAACAAGAAACCCTGACTTTCTAGGTTTATTGTGAGGGTTGCATGCAATGAGGTAGTAAAAAACTTCGCAAAGTGATGGCACATCATAAATGCTTGATAACGGGCTGCTTTATTGTGAGCTTTTTCATGCTACATGAACATCTTGTTACAGTCAGCCCATTAGAAGGTTCTTTCTGAAGTTACTCTGAATCCAGTACTACGTAGGTGTTTTAGGACCTGCAGAAGAAGTTGTAGTCCCAGCCTACAGAGTACAGAGCGGCTCATGTACAACCAAGAGGATGTTTAAGGCAAATACATGGGGTATGAGTAGAGGACAAATAGAAACACTAGATGAAGGCAAGCAATGGAACAGATAAATGTACTAGAATATTCTAAATTGACATATGCATGCACCTCTGCAAAAGACATTAGGAAAGACAGAAAGTGCAATATAGGTTAAAAGTCTTAAGGAAACGTTGAGGGGAAATGGCCTCTAAAGCTGGCTGAGTTAAAGGTAGAGAAGGTGAGATAGCACATCAGGTGAGGGAGCAGCATGACCTAGAGATAGCAAATATGAAGTGTGTGGCAAGAAGGCCAGACCAAGCCAAGGTTCCCTGCTGAAGTGCAAGGTACTCAGGGTTAGGCACTAATAACAACAACAGTGATCAAAATGCTCAAAATAGCAGCTAACGTTTACTGAATCCCTATTGTATGCCAGGCAGCATTTCAAGCACTTCATGTGTGTTATCCTCACACAGACCCATGGTTCTTTCCTCAGATGAGGAAACTGAGGCTTAGGAGGTTCAGTAATTATCTGAGTCCTGCATTATTCACCACTAAGAGAAAACAGGCAGAGCTCATGAAACTGCAGGTAACTAGTCTCCACTTTTTCCAAAACATTGTTCAAAACAGTCTCTTGTATTTTGCCAAGTGCCAGGGTGACTCACTGAGCAAGCTTTGGAAATGTGCTATAAAACACAATGGAGACGCTCTCTGTACCACAGCAGATAATGAGCCATCACCGTAATTGGCATCAAACAGCTATTGACAATGTATTTCCTTGTATTTGCAGAGGCAGTGTCGCAGACCCCACATCTAATCAGTGAGTCATGTTCATGCTATTACTCAAATTTCACCCCCTGATTTCTTCTTGTGTCCCCCTCCAGGTGCTTTTACCATCATTGTTTGCTCTGTCTCTCATAGATGATTCCTAGTTCCCTGGATAAATCTTCTGTAGATGAGAGATTCCATCTGCACAGTTTGTGCACAAGTATGATGCCCATTTACACTCACACCAAGTTATGCCTACCAAGAGTTGAGTCTCTGTATATTGATAATTGTTGGTTTTATTCCCTTTTTTGTTTCTATCAAAGCCAATGACTCACCTAATTAGATACTCCACTTTTAGAAAATGTTAAAGCAGAAGCAACAGAAGAAACACCTGTTTTCCCCCGAAGGACACTGATCGTGAAGTGTGCATGTTTGCATCGAATGCCACAATTTAAATACTTTTACATTTATGGTAACTGAGCAGAAAAAGAGAATATTATTTTAGTCAAATCACCACCTGTTTTCCCCCGAAGGACACTGATCGTGAAGTGTGCATGTTTGCATCGAATGCCACAATTTAAATACTTTTACATTTATGGTAACTGAGCAGAAAAAGAGAATATTATTTTAGTCAAATCACATATACCTGAGAAACATAAAGATGCACATGAAAGCAGAGTTTGAGTTGGAAGGTCACATGTTACCAAGATTGCAGGGAAAAAGAATCAGCCAGAATCTTGGCATTTACTGAAGACTGATCTCAGAATGCTGCCTCTTGACTTGCCCAAGTCGTCCCTTCTTAATTAAAGAAGTCTTTTTGTATCCACAGCTATCCCAACAGCAACACCCAGGACAGTAACAGCAAGAACAGGTAAGCTCTGAAATGCATTCATTCATTTACCGAGTGTCCTTTCAGCTTGGCGCCTGATTTGTGTCTGCGCCTGTATCTGCTTCATGCACAGAAATTGGACCAACTGCAAATGCTCCATCTATTTGCAAATGGGACACTTGACTCTGCCCAAACTTTTAGAGCCATTTGAAACTTTTGGGATCTTTTGGCTCTAGCATCCCAGGATGAGTAAAGTTTATTTTTTGGTACCTTTCAGAGTCATCAAAGCCTGAGCAGCTTACAAATTCTCTCTAGTGGGGTTCTATCTTTCCTCCTTATAACCAGTACTGAGCATAGTTAGCTCCCCATCTGCATCACCAATAGACTTTTGCAAAGTAAGTGGAGCGTCAGAGTCATTCCAGAGAGAGTGAGATAGAATAGCAGAGAAAAAATTGTGAACTTTGGAATCAGGTTACCTGATGTTAGATCGGCTGCTTACCAGATGTGGGATTTGGGGTGAATCACTTTGCTTCTCCAACTTTCAGTTTCCTCACAGATAAAATCGGCATACCAGTACTCCTCTACTTACCTTCCCGAGTTATGATAAAGGTGGGAGTGAACACATACACACACACACACACACACACACACACACTTTGTAAAAATCACAAATCACTGTGCCAATTATTTGGTTTTCTGCATTTAGCCAAAACAAATCGGCACATACCTCTGGAAAAATAAATACTCAATTAGTGGACTTTTTAGTGCTATAGATAATCCTAGTGACTTTGCAACTTCCAACTAAGAGGTTGACTAGTTGACCAAATACAAAGTTCTCCACTCGTGGAAGTAGTATGGGGTGGGAAGCTCAACACCCATGGGAAGGGTGCAGTGCCCCCAGGGAACAACAGTCACCAGATCTCTCCCTGCAGGGGACTGGTCAGAGCTGCGGCTGGTGGGTGGCTCTGGCCAGTGCTCAGGACGCGTGGAGATTCTCCACCAGGGCGCCTGGGGCACTGTGTGCGACGACCTGTGGGACCTGAATGAAGCTGAGGTTGTGTGCCGGCAGCTTGGGTGTGGTCGAGCCATGTCTGCCCTTGGGAAGGCCCACTTCGGTCCCGGCTCAGGAGACATCATCCTGGACAACCTCCAGTGCGCTGGTGTGGAGCGCCACCTGGGCCAGTGCGCCCACTCGGGCTGGTCAGAGCACAACTGTGGCCACCACGAGGATGCCAGTGTCATCTGCTCAGGTATCCTCTCCCCTCTACTATGGGCACAGCCAGTCCCAGCATGCTTCAAAACCTCCCTGCGAGGGTTCAGAGTAAGCCTAGAGCAAATACAGGATACTCAAACATGTAGCATTCGATTTTTGCTGTAGCTTTTCTAACTTGGTTAAATAGATGAGGTTTTATCTGCTAGCCTTCAGTATAAAACCTAATTTTCTAATTTGGTAGTATTACCAAAGGTATGTATGCTTTACTGAAACATGCAAATAACACGTTTAATGGTGAGAATTTTTTAAAGATGGGAATAAGGAGCTCATTGAAAGAGGCAGCTGCAGTAGCAAGGCTAGGGGAGAACTCAGAGCCAGGAAGGCTTGAGTCTGGCTTCCACAGCAGGTGCTGACACACAGACTGTATGTGAGCAACACTTCAGCTCTCCCTTAAACATATTGGTAATACTTACTACCGTTTCCTCACTCAATCACAACACCAAGGAAATCTGTGCACTAACCTGACTGACTTCAATTGGCTTGTGACAACTTTTAAAATATATTCTGGATTTTCTTGTGTATCAACAGGTAGCTATCAGTAAGTTAGCCACCTCTGTAATGTCTATTAATCATCCTTTCTGATCATGAGATGCCTTTTGGTAAACAGCTGTGATACCTGATATGACTTGAAAAAATTGGTAATCATAACTCAAATTAGGAGGGCTAAGAGTTGCATAGAGTTGCCCATGTGAGAAGCAGCTCAATTGCATGTCAGTACCTGCTAACCATGACCTTTAATTTCAGGTGCTAACCATGACCTTTAATTTCAGGTGCATACTTAAAAACATTGTCTTACGTGTTGGTGCCTTCGTATGTCTGTTTGCTTTGTGACATCTTATCATGGTTGGCAGGTAACCTAGTGACAAGCTCATGGGTACATGTTATTCCCGCATCTCAATCTTTCAGAGGATGATTGTCTAAATCTGAGGTCCCCCCAAAGACACCCAAAGTGAAACTCACCCGCTGCAAAATTGATGGTTTAAGTCAGATCATCCCAAATGTACCTTTGCATTTGGCCATTTTTTCATAACTCAGTACAAACCAACAACCAGAGAGAAACTTATTTTCATTATCTACAGATAAATCTGCTTCTTCCAGTACTACGTTTTTTTAAAAGGACTAATTTTTCCCACATCAGATGAATAAACACATATAGTGATGGAACTAAAACTTTCATCTTCAGTTGTTAAAGTCAGGATTTTAAAAAAAAAATACTGACTTACTTGTTCTCTCTACAAACAGATGCTGAAGGATCACTTGCTACCAGTCCAGGTCAGTCACATCTTTTATTGATGGGAATTAAATCTCAGCTGTTCTTGATTTTTGTCCTTGAACTATTTGTTTTTTCAGGTCTAAGATCACTATTTATCTAAACTGCAGGGATTTTCACACTACTGAGATTCTATTGGAAAGTCTTATTTAAAAATACTTTTGATTTTTTACATGTGATGATGGGTGTGTGTGTTTGTTAAGTCAATATTTTTTGGAGATGCTAGCAGAGTGAAATGGTGTTTCATGGCCTTTTCACATGTGCTATTCCTCTGGCTCAAGGCATCTCCCCAGCTCTTCCCATGACTAGCTCATTCTCACTTTTTTAAGAGGTGTCTCCCCAGCCCCTTCCTCTCTATTGTCCCTTTCATAGCATCCTATTTTCCCACGTTGGTCCATTTATCATAGTGTGCAATCGTGCACTGTAGCAGTGCTGCATTTGACTAGTAAATAGACTCTGGGCTCCCTGGGGACAGAAATCATATCTCTGGTTTAGAGCTGTATCATCAGTGCCTAACATAAAAGACAATCTGTATGTACTTAAAATAAAATTAAATTGACTGAAGACCCCACAACCTGCAACTCAGGAACACATGAGAAATCTGAGGAGCAAGCCTAAAGTCTGGGGAGTGTGGCAGTGGTGGACCCAGGTGGGGTTTTTTGGGAACTCACATGCTGTATCTCTGTCTACAGAGGACTGGCCGGAGCTACGGCTGATGGGCGGCTCAGGCCGGTGCTCGGGGCGTGTGGAGATTTTCCACCAGGGTGCCTGGGGCACCGTGTGCGATGACTTGTGGGACCTCAATGAAGCCGAGGTTGTGTGCCGGCAGCTGGGGTGTGGGAAGGCTATTTCTAGCCCTGGCGAGGCCCACTTTGGCCCAGGCTCAGGAGACATCTTCCTGGACAACCTCCAGTGCTCTGGGGTAGAGCACCACCTGGGCCAGTGTGCCCACTCGGGCTGGTCAGAACACAACTGTGGCCACCATGAGGATGCCGGTGTCATCTGCTCAGGTATCCTCTCCCCTCTCAGCCAGTGATTCCTGATGCTGCAATTGTGGCATTTTGAAACTGCATCCTGGGTGGAATTTTCATCCATCCATCCATGTGTCTGCCTGTTTCTCAAGTGTCTGCTTTGGACACCACAGGAGTTGCACAGGAAAGGTCTCTAATTCATTGGCAGGAGCACCAAATGGACATTACAATGCAGATTCTAGGGTCCCACCCCCAGAGATTATGACTAAGTAGGAAAGGGGCCCTAGAATATGCATCTTAACAAGTAGTCTAGGGATTCTGCATAAGAAGGGCCAAGGGCAATCCAGCCCTGGCTGCTATGGGGCAGAGTTGACCCAGCTGCTGTTCCCCAACCTTCTAGGCTAAGGAATCTGCCAGAGGAGGGTTGAAGTTGCCCAAGGGGTAGTTCTGGCATTCTGGGTTCCTATACCTTGTCGCCCCAAATAGAGTAACCTCTTACCATTTTTTATGCATTCAGATGCAGAAGACCTACCTCCAGCCACACCTCCAGGTATGTCCATATTTTTTTCTAATTCAGGCATCTTTCCAATAATAATAATAAATTATAGCAGCAAATACTTATAAGTGCTAAGAACCAGGCACTGTTCTGAGCCCTTCATATATATAACTCTTACAATCCCCACAAGAACCTTTTGAAGCAGATTCTTGGATTATTTATATATTCCAGATAACCTGAGACATAGAAAGTTAGCAAGGTGCTGAGGCCTAGCCAGGGTATCTGAACCTAAGCTGTCAATGCTCTTGGCCACCAATCGCATTTACCCATTCATTGACCCAGCTACACAAAAACCAGGGAAAACTAGAGTAAACATGGGGAGATATTTTGCTCAGGTCATTGCTAATCATCAGGACAATCCTGAAAAAGGCATTATCTATTATATTTTACAGAAGGGAAAATTGAGACACAGAATCGATAAGTAACTTTCTCAGAATCACTCAGCAAGTTAATGACCCAAATTTTGACATTGATCATTCTGGCCCCAAAGTACATGCTCTTAGACATCGATCATTCTGGCCCCAAAGTACATGCTCTTAGGGTTCTTATGACTTTCACCCCTTTTCAAAGATCTTATCTGAAGTATTGACTAATATTCATCTGTAATAAAGACCAAAAATTAGAAAAACCAGACCAACCACAGGCACTGTGAATTCTGAAATGATGCTAAGGGTGATTTCACAGTTGAGGATTAGGGAGAGCAAAAAACCTGCCCAAGATAACTTGATTAGAAAGTGGCAGGACTGGAATTTACAAGGCCGTCCCTCCCCCTTTGAATGCACCTGGCTGATCCCTACACAGCCTCAGTGAAACCAGACAAGCTACCAGCCATTGGCAGAAGCATCTCTCTTGGACACTTGCCTGGAAAAGACCTCGATGTGTCCTGATGTTCTTGGGGGGAAGGCCAGCTTTACCTATTGGGACCATGAGTGAGAAGCGAGGGACTGTCTAAAGTTAAAGGGCCATGGTTGGTGTCAACAGTGGGTTTTACAGTGAAGACTCATCTGTAGTTTTCTTATTTTATGGATAGCAGGGAAATGAGAAAAATGAGATTGAGTGAAAGGAGCCATTCTGGTTATCTGTTGCTCTCCAATATTTAGCAATTTAAAACAACCACCATTTAGATGTATGTCATATCTTTGAGGGTCAGGAATTCAGGCAGGGCTCAGCTGGGAGACCCTTCTGCTCTATAGAGCATTGAGCAGTGTTGCTCAGTGGAGTTCGTCTGGTGACTGGTCTGGAGAATTCAACAGAGCTTCACTCATACAGTTGGTGCCTTGGTTGGGTCAGCAGGAAAGACGGGCTCAGCCAGAAGTCTGACTACCCTGCCGAGAGACCATGCACACTCAGACTTCTTTTTCTTGTTAGTTTTTTTTCCCCAGTTTGTTGTGTGTGTGTGTGTGTTTTTTTTTTTTTAGACAGAGTTTTGCTCTTTTGCCCAGGCTGGAGTGAAGTGGTACAATCTCAGCTCACTGCAACCTCCACCCCTGCCACCCTGGGTTCAAGCAATTCTCATGCCTCAGCCTCCAGAGTAGCTGGGATTATAGGCACCTGCCACCATGCCTGGCTAATTTTTTGTATTTTTAGTAGAGTTGGGGTTTCACCATGTTGGCCAGGCTGGTCTTGAATTCCTGATCTCAGGTGATCCACTCGCCTTGGCTTCCCAAAGTTCTGTGATTACAAGTGTGAACCACCACGTCTGGCCACACTCAGACTTCTTGTAAGGGGGCTGAGGGCTGCGGGCTGCAGGCTGCATGAGCAAGCCAGTGTTCCCAGAGATGAGAGGTAGAAGCCACCAGTCTCTTAAGGTGCAGAGCCTCTCCTGCCATATTCTGTTGGCAAAGCAGTCACAGAACTCACCCAGGTTCAAGAAAGGAAACCTAGACCCCATCTTGTGACAGGAGGCATGTCTAGGAATTTGTTGTCTTCTCCAACCTGCCATAGAACCATAGAAAATATTCACTCAGCACCTTCAGTGCAACCTCTCCTCTGTTTGCACCAAGTAGATTGATGTTTCTGAGGAAACCCTTTATATTTCACTGACTTTATATTTCTACAGATAAACCCTTTTTTTTTTTTTTTGAGATGGAGTTTCGCGCTTGTTACCCAGGCTGGAGTGCAATGGCGCGATCTCGGCTCACCGCAACCTCAGCCTCCTGAGTTCAGGCAATTCTCCTGCCTCAGCCTCCTGAGTAGCTGGGATTACAGGCATGCGCCACCATGCCCAGCTAATTTTTTGTATTTTTAGTAGAGACGGGGTTTCACCATGGTGACCAGGATGGTCTCGATCTCTTAACCTAGTGATCCACCTGCCTCGGCCTCCCAAAGTGCTGGGATTACAGGCTTGAGTCACCGCGCCCGGCCCGATAAACACTTTTTTTAAATATATTTTTTATATTTCTACAGAAACCCTTTATATTTCTACAGATAAGACTAAATATTTTCACGTGGGTGTCATTATTTTCTCCCTTCATTCCGTTTCAGGTTCTTCTGCAGCTTCTCAGGATCACATAAAAGGTAGTCATTTATTTTAAATTGAAATGGTCATTCCATGCCAAGAGAACCATCATGGCAGACTCTGGGTAGTGTGCCCAGGACATAGCACAACAGAGCCTGACACGGTGTGGGCAAGGGTTCTGTTTCTCTGATGCCACTCTGTGTAATAAACTCTGTAAAAAAAAAAAAATACTGACTTGACAACAAGAGGAGCAGGCTGGGAAGGGGGATGTGTATCTGCCCAGGTCAGACATGAGGCCCATGCTCAGCCTGTCCTCTTTGGGTATAGTCCTGCAGAAGGCACCAGTTCATTTTCCCCTTCCACATGTAGAGATTTCAGAAGGTCCAACTCCCTGAGGTTCCATTGTCAGCCTGACCTGGCCTCATTACTGTAGCTTACAAATGCAGTCGGTGATAAAACTACCAGATGATGAAAAGCATCATCACTTATTTCGATCCATCTCGGGAAAGACAAGGAATTTACAAGATTCTGGGAGGATCATAAGTTGACCAAGGGGAACAGAAAGTAGAAAAATTAAGCAACTTCGGGCCAGGTGTGGTGGCTCAAGCCTGTAATCCCAGCACTTTGGGAGGCCGAGGTGGGTGGATCACGAGGTCGAGAGATCGAGACCATCCTGGTCAACGTGTTGAAACCCCGTCTCTACTAAAAATACAAAAAATTAGCTGGGCATGGTGGCGCATGCCTGTAATCCCAGCTACTCAGGAGGCTGAGGCAGGAGAACTGCCTGAACCCAGGAGGCGGAGGTTGCGGTGAGCCGAGATCGCACCATTGCACTCCAACCTGGGTAACAAGAGCGAAACTCCGTCTCAAAAAAAAAAAGAAAAATTAAGCAACTTCACAGTTTAGAGGTAAGGTCAATAAAGCATATTGTGCTTCTAGATTTCCTCCAAAAATAATTTGATGATTCAAGGTTTTCTGCTTCTTCATGTGAAATCTTGTTTTAAATACATACATGTATGTGTCTCTATCTATGCTAATATGACAATGTACATGAAACTACTATATCTCACTGTTATCTTGTTTAAGCCTTATAAATCCCAAATCCTGCAAGTTCCAGTCTCATACCAAATATGTGAGTTAAAGGAAACATAGTCTACCCAGCAAAAGTGGTGAAGAGTAAGGAAGGTGTCAGCCATGACATCCCCCAACAGATCAGTGTCCCTTTATCAGAACCCAGAGTTGTTCTAGAACCTCTTGCTCCCCAAACCTCCTCAAACTCTCCCCTTTCCCAGGCACATGTGGCCTCTGTTTCTTCATCTCTCCTTCCAATCTCTTATTATTTAGATTTACTCTGTCCCTCCCCAGCAAGCAAAACTCTTACTTTAGAGAAGGGGAGAAAACCTGTAAGCAGAAAGGACAAATAGGACATTTTCTTTATCAGGTGCTGAGAGAGAGGGAAAAGCAAGGAAATTGCACACATGAATACTTTTTGCTTCATCGGAATTAGATTGAATGGACTCTCCTTCCCTAAGCCAAAGGTCTGTGCATGCCCACCCAGGCCAATGAACTGCATCCCAACGCCACCAGACCACTGTATGAGCTGGTCTTTTTAGGGATTACACAATAATGCCAGTTGGACACATTCTAACACCATTTTTCCTGTTGTTTCAGGAGGAAGTAACTCTTGTGGAGGGGTCATCTCTAGATTCTCTGGCTCATTTTCTAGTCCACAGTATCCAGAAAACTACCCAACAGACATCCAATGTGTTTGGGAGATCCACGTGGATACAAAATTTCGCATAGAACTCATAATTCCAAGTTTGAAGTAAGAAAACTTTTAAAGAGAAGATTCTATGTAAATAAGAATATTGATTTGTAAAATCATATTAAAAGTATTTATTTTAGTGGGAAAAATTTAAGAGTGAAAGCGGAAGAACCCAACGTTCTGTAGTTTTTTTCAAGTCAGATTTTGGGTTAATTTTGTAGCACTATAAAGTGAGTTACTTCCAAGTTGAAAAATTCAATAAGTGGTTTATTAATATATTTTGATACTGTTTCTTTTTATCTTTTTTCTAAAAATATCACAAAAATTCTCAACAGCTTTGCCCTTATTATACTGGATACCAATATTTGTCCTCATAGACTTTCTTATTTGAATCCAAATTTTAAACGGTAAGAAAATTGTCATACACACATTAGCCATCTACTCCAGCCTTGGGCTTTGTATCTTTTAAATGTTCTGCAAAGCAAGAGGAGACACTAGTGTCATTGTCTCATCTCTGACATAGAGAGAATAAATATTCCAAAGTCACTAACATTTTAATCTCCATGACATAAAATAACAGCTGATATTTTACTGCTGCCCCAGACTTTGTGTGCTTTGTCATATTCCAGGCTTATACAGCCCAAAGATAGATGTCTTTGTCATTTCCATTAGAGATGAGGAGCCTGAGGCTCAAAGAGGATAACTAATTTGCCCAAGTCCAACCCATTGATATCTGTGTGATGTTAATGTCCCATCTTCTCACCAATATGTGGGTCTGTAAAAGAGTCTGCATGAAGCCCTTCTTCTTGTATATGACACACATCATGTTACAAACACAGCCAGACTATGGAATTCCATGATCATTAGCTCCAGGCATGCACTGAATTGTGTTCCATCATGACTCTACCACAGCCATGGATTCAGATATGCACTAAGCCAGAAATGCCCCAGGACATGTTATCTTTGTTGACTAAAACCCTAGGGATACAACTAGCCACAATGAGGTAAGAATCTTGAACCCATACCTCCAAATTCTATTGTGTTTTTTTTTTTTTGAGACGGAGTTTTGCTCTTGTTACCCGGGCTAAAGTGCAATGGCGCAATCTTGGCTCACCGCAACCTCCGCCTCCTGGGTTCAGGCAATTCTCCTGCCCCAGCCTCCTGAGTAGCTGGGATTACAGTCATGCACCACCATGCCCAGCTAATTTTTTGTATTTTTAGTAGGGACAGGGTTTCACCATGTTAATCAGGGTGGTCTCAATCTCTTGACCTCATGATCCACCTGTCTCGGCCTCCCAAAGCGCTGGGATTACAGGCTTGAGCCACCGCGCCTGGCCCCAAATTCTATTATGTTACCCATTGTCTGTTCCTTCAAAATCACTTCCCCTTGCCTCCCTCATGAATAATTGCCATACTACAAGTACTATTCTGTATCCTGCCTTGATTTTATTTTAAAATCAAGTTTGTTCCTGCCCAAGAATTTGAATATGGAAAATATTGTGAAATATAGAAGTAGGAAAAACCTGACTGTGATGTCTGTTACATACTGATCATTGGGGTGATCTGTTAGCAATTTAGTTGCAGTGTAAATTAGTATTTCCTCATGTCCTATGTAGGCTGTGATTGGCCAAAACCATTATAATTTAAAAACTTCTATTAAGGGATTGTAGGTGAAAGCCCCACACATTCCTTAGCCAGAGAAAATAGAGTTGTGATAGGTCATCTGAAAAAGTTAATTAATATTTTACATTTCAGTTTGCAATTTAAATATAATCCAAATATTTAATCTCTATGATTGTCACACTTTTTTTTAGCATTAATATCTAGGAAGTTTCTAACCTGCCATTCCCCTTCCATGTCTGTTCACTCCAGGCTGGAAGATATCCTTGGATGTCCCTATGATTCTGTTGAAATCTTCGATGGTCCCAGGATTGCCTCACTCTCCATGGGGAAGTTCTGTGCCCCTGCAACTGTGATCTTCTTCTCCTCCTCACACATCATGACAGTGGTGTTCCAAAGTGATTCTATAATAACCAACACTGGCTTTTATGCTATTTTTAATGCCCTTCCTCAGGGTGAAAGGCAGTCAGGTAGGAAATTTCAAGTAGTTTTTGGTGGTTAAAAGACAGAACAGTTTCTAACTTCAGAGACTCCCTTACTAGTACAGGCCTGTGATTCAGTCTTTTAAAACCCTCACACTTGACTTCATTAACGCTGCTCCATAGCTGCTAGATTTTCCCACCATGAAAGCCACATGGGAAGTTACAATGAGTCAGTCATGTGCATTCTGTGTGTGAGTGGCCAGGCTTTTAACTGCCTGCAGGGAAAACCTGGGTGCTATGAAGGGTCTTAGGGCTACATCCGCTATCTGCAGCCTCTTGGGAACCGTCCAGCGTGCTGAAATGTGGAAGTTCAACACTCCTATGACAAGACTCCACTTCCTCCACCTGCTGGGCTGTTTTATACCTTGCTTACATTGAAACCTAGTCTCATCCAAATGAGAGGCTTCGGGATTCCTGTTAGCCATGACCCTGCAGGCAGTCATTCCAGAGCCAGGTACAATTTTCACCCTGCAAGCACACTGCCTGCTAGCTATGTCTGATGCTGAGGAGCCCCTGCAGAAACCCCAGTAATTCTTTTAGGCCACCAGAAAACCAGGTAGTAAGTCCCTGGATGTGGTTTGGGGTTTGCTTGTATCTGAGTAAGGGAATTCCTTGTATATTTCACCCTCGAAGCAATGTTTGAAACTCTGCGCTGAAGAAGCTAAGTAAGCTCCAACATTTGAAATCCAGACACTCATTAACTCAAAACCACCATTTATCCAATCAACAATAGTTACAGAGGTCCTGCTATGTACCAGGTCTGGTTGTAAGTGTGGGAGCATAGTTACATGAACTCCCTGCCCCCATGTTGTTTATATTCTAGTGTGGACTTGGGTAAGTGAAAGAGGACCAAAACACAAGAAACAAGAAAATAAACAAACTGGTTTGGGGGTAAGGATGATAAAGGATAGAGATGAGGGCTGGGTATAAGAGCCAGGTGGGAGAGTAGAGGGTGCCTGGAGTGGAGAAGGTACTACAATGGACTGGATGGAACACATGGCATCTCTGAAGAGGTGGCATGTGATGAATGACAAAGAAAGTCATTCCAGGGCAGAGGGAAGAGTTGGGCATGTTGGAAGAGCAGAAAGAAGACCAAAGTGACAGAGCCAGTGGACACAGTAAGGGAAGGTTGTCCTTACAGTGTCTCCACATTAGATAACTCTAACTAGCCACAGACCTTCAGTCCAGATAGAACATTGCCACTGTGTTCTGTGAAGTCACAGTCACCCTTGTTGTCCAGGTGCCTTTCAGCAGATTAAATCTACCCTTATCCAAGACACATATGAAAAGGCAGCTGGGAACCTGCCCTCCCATAACCCAGCATTGTGACACAAAAGCCATATGGCAAGATCTGCAGTAACCCTGATGTGCTGGGTGCTGAGTGTACTCTCATTGGTAGCATCCCCTCTAGATGCTGCTGGAGTCCCCATTTTACAGATGAGAAAACTGAGGCTCAGGGAGACAATGCTACAGATAAAAGTTTACACAACTAGGAAGCCATAGAACAAGGATTCAAATCCACTTCCTGTCTCACCCTGAAGCCCTTAAGCCTATTATTAAATCAGTCAGCTTTAAGGTTTGGCTTTCGTGTTGTCTTAGCCACAAACACAGAAGCTAGAAATCACCTGCTACTTAAAACTTAACAAACTCAAAAATAAAATCTTGCTCTGTTTAGAAGATAGACAAGAGTTGCAGCTGGTGGGTGGCTCCGGCCAGTGCTCAGGACATGTGGAGGTCCTACACAAGGGCTCCTGGGGCACTGTGTGTGATGACCTGTGGGACCTGAATGAGGCTGAGATTGTGTGTCAGCAGCTTGGGTGTGGTCGGGCCATTGCTGCTCCTGGAAATGCCCACTTTGGCCCAGGCTCTGGAGACATCCTTCTAGACAACATTCAGTGTTCAGGAAATGAGAACTATCTTGGCCAGTGCCCCAGCTCTGGCTGGTCAGATCACAATTGTGGCCATGATGAGGATGCCGGTGTCATCTGCTCAGGCAGCTTGCCCTTCCATGATAGATTCTTTCTGATCTTTCACCCAAAGACATCCTAATGATGGATGAAGGCTATGCACAGAGTGGGGCCAGGGAATTTTAGGGTAGTGGCCCGACAGATAAATGTCCCTTCAGCCAGGTAGAGAGAGAATGCTGAGAGCCTGACTTCATTCTGAGGACAAACACAGCAGGGCCACACAATTGGCTGCTCCTGATTTCTGCACCTCTCCTAGTTCTGGAGCTGCTTTTCCAGAGTCTAACCATGGCCTTGTTTTTGCTTATGTGACATGGGACCTGCCTGCTTGAGACTGCCCCGCACTAGAAAGCCACCATTTCTTTGTCTTCATAGAATGTCATTTAGATTTTTCTAATTTTTTCTTGTATGCGTGCAGATTCTGGGGACTGGGCTCCGGTTGTGACTCCGGCATCCCCAGGTAGGTCCAACACTGAATTTCTACTATCTTGGCAAGTTAAAAAGAAATGTAACCCCTGTCCTGACCTAGACACTGGTAGGCAGTGACTAGGCTGGTGATTCCCCATTCTGGCTGCACACTAGAATCACTCAGAAAGCTTCTGAAATCCCTGGTTTCCAGGCTGCATCCCTGACCTGTCATGCTACCATCTCTGAGGTTACTCCCAGTCATCAGTGATATTTGAAGCTCCCCATGTATTTCCAACGTGTAGCCAACGTTGAGAACTAGTGCTTAGGCAAAGGAGCTAAGGAACCACATTTCCCAAATGGAATCACATCCAAAACTGTCTTCTGGTGGCAGAGCAAGGGAGGGCGGGAGGAGAAAGATGGAGAAAGACTGAGTCACTATGGCTGAGAAGGTCAGTAGGGAGAAGAGAGAAGGGGAAAGTTTTCTCTCTTAGGGACATGGGTTAGAAAATGAAAGTATGCAGGAAAGAAAAGATACATTAAATGCCAGACTGTCTCCCGGTGGGTCAAGAGCAGACTGCTGATGAGAAGTAAACCATTTAGGGCTCTTCAGTGGGCCTCCTGGCTTAGCTAACACAGCAGAGTGGACTGGTAACCTACTCAAAGTCAATGTGCAACAGTGACCTTCTCCCAAACTCAGGATTTCGAAGCATGTGTGGTCTTGCCTCCTGCAGCCTCCTGCTTCCCGGGGATGCGTTCTCACCTGCCCCTTCTCTGCTCCCTAGGCCTCTGGGCCCTGCCCAGCCTCTTCTCTGACCCTGCCCAGTGACTGCTGCCACATTCTGCCCCCAGCAGGGGCCTGGACACCAGGAAGTTATTGGGGTCAGGGGTGTATTTTGTGGTGTTTAAGAGCCTAACAAGCAGCTGGCATCCGTCCCTGCCCTGGGCTGGCAGAACCATGGCACATTTGCTAGGACACTCTGTGGAGGTCTCTTGTCCATTCCAGTCTAGGTCCCAACCACATCCCAAGACGGAGACCTCCATTCCTTGTGGGGTACCCAGCTGTCATGGGTTGGGGCAGTAACCTGTAGGAAGGGAAAGCGATTTTCCCATCCCCAGCCAGGGCCCCACATTTCCATTTTGCACTGAGACCCACAAATTATGTAGCTGCTCTGGAGGGGAGGCAGAGCACACAGAACTCTTTCTGGGGTCTAACAAGCAGCCATAATCTCTTTGATTCCCTCTGGCTTTCCTCTTCTTCCCCAGTAAGGAGTCTGTTCTGGCCTGGGCCCTGGGAGAAGAAAAAGACAGCAGGAGGAGAGGGAATGGCTTTCAGTTCATCAACAGCTCTAGGCCCAAGTCCTCTTGGAGCCTGGGGCTTCAAACCTCAGAAAGCCTTTCTCTTCTCTGCTGTAATATTCATTTTCTATGGCAGAGATGCATAGCTGGCTGGAAAAGAGAATGGGTCATGGAATTAAGGAAACTATGAAGGAAAATGCTACCACTTATGTCTAAATAGTATCCCATTGTAAGCACAAATCCAAAAAAGTGCTTACTGACAGAACATTATATACCTACCAAGACACGAAAATATAAGGCTTTTGTCATTTAATACTCTGAGATAAATATGGCATACCACGCATGTTAACAAAAGAAAATTGCTCCTGAGCCACTTTAAATTCATGAAAAATATATTCCTGTGACATACTACACTTCCTCTGGCAAAGGACTAACGACAGGTAAGTTGACTGCGTCCATCACCTTCACTGTTCTGCAGCTTGCTGGGGTGCTGGCCCAGGAGCAAGACAATGGGGATAAAGAAGTTCTCAAAGACATCCGACCTGTTTGCTTCAAATTCCTCCCACACCAAACCCTTGGTGTAAAACCCAAACAATTACCAGCACTCCATGAGCAGGCTTTCATAGCTGCCCTCCCCTCAGCATCTGCCATACAGTGGGGGATTGAGGACATACATAGAAAATAAACATACAGCAGGCCTTCTGTCTCCGTGATTACACATCTGTGGATTCAACCAACTGTGGATCAAAAATATTCAAGAAGAAAGATCAATAGTTATATCTGTATTGAACACATATAGATTTTTTATTGTCTTTATTCCCTGGACAATACAGCATAACAGCCATTTATGTAGTGTTATAATACATTGTATCAGGTATGATAAGTAATCCAGAGATGATTTGAAGTATACTGGAGGATGAGCATAGGTTCTATGCAAATACTCCTGTGTTTTATATGAGACTTGAGCATCTGAGGATTTTGATATTCTTAGGGAGTCTTGGAACCAACCCCCTCATGGATACTGAAGGAAAACTGTGTGCCACATAGAAATCAAAGCCAAGAAGACATGATAAAGGAAAAAGAAGGGACCTTACACACTCACTGGAGCTCCCCATTAAGGTCCATCTTTCTCCAGTGGAATACGTATCCAACCTGCCTTGCTCCACCCTGGCTCTCAGCTTTCTGATTTTTGTTTTTCTGAATTTCAGTGCTTGGTAAATCTCTACAGGCTTGGTGGTATGGTCATAAGCCCAATGATGTTACTATAATTCCTAGTAACTGGTCAACCCAAGAATAACCCTTGGGTTGTGGAACCTAGAATGTGAGAAAAAACAAGTCATGTAACTGTGTGTGGTTTGTGATTTCCTCACCAATCAGCTGAAAGACAGACAGAGGCTTAATTCCACATCAGGGAGAAATAAGCGTATACACCATTTATTAAAACTCAAGGGTAATAACAAGCTCATCCATTTGTGGTTAAGTATAAGATGGTTTTAGAATGCTAAGCTCTCTCCTGATTTTCTTTGGTTTTTGTTTTTGCAGCTACCATTCCTCCAGCCCCTATACCACAAGGTAACTCTTTCATTGAAAGTATAACCTATACAGTATTAAGTTGCAGAGAATCATTTTGATAATTCATAAAAGCAGAATGAACTTATGTTTGCCCTTGTTACCACAGGGGCAATGGGTGGGATGGAGCCCTCAAAATGGGTGGGTTGTCCACATATGAACTGACCTGGTTTGAATGCAGGAGACTGGGAAGAGCATTAAAGAAGTACAGGCTATCCCCACTACACACATGCTACATGCATGTGTCCAATCCCATTTCCAATATCGCTCACAATCAATTGTAGGGTCCTGCCTGTGGATGAGAGCATGCATGTTCCATCCTCCCTCATGCCCTCTCAGTGGCACAATCACTCATACCTCCAGTGGGTGGAGGCCAGGGATGCAGCTAAGCCACCACTGTGTCTACGCCAGCATGATCTCTCCCCATTTAGTGACTGTTGAGCTTGATGGAATTCTGGATTCCACATCTGGAAAAATGCAACATGTGTGCCTAAAGAAACCAACCATGGGTCTCTCATCTGTTTTTTCAGGAGGAAGTAACTCTTGTGGAGGAGTAATTTCAAGTCTATCAGGTTCCTTCTCCAGCCCTTGGTACCCTGCAAACTACCCTAACAATGTGGAGTGTGTCTGGGTGATACACGTGGCTGAGAAATTCCACATAGAACTGATGATCCCAAGCCTGAAGTAAGCAATTTTTCTTTCTCTGCTGTTAAGGCCAGTTTAGATTTGAATCCATTCTTTCCTCAATGAGGTGGCCTTTTGTGGGATAAATCCTTTTACATTTTAGGCGAGAATTGCTCTGATCATCTGAGCTAGGGGGAGTCTTTTAATCACTTAGCTCAATTCCCTGAGCATTGAGAGGATACCCCATGGGCCTCCCTGACACACGGCTGTTGAGCTGCAGCTTGGACAACCCACCCATGAAGACCTCACCCCTTCACTCTTAACCAGTTCCGTTTGAGACACAGGCTTCCTCCTCCATCTGAACTCAGATCTGTTCTTCCTCATCCTCATGGTCTGATCTTCATTCTTCCCTCTGATGCTACAGAAATCTGCTTCCTATTCTCTTCAAGAATTTCTATCTACAAGAGTTTTCTTGTATAGATTAAATAGTTCATTCATTCCTCCCATCATGCACCTCGTGCCTCCTACTTCTGTCTCCAACCATCACTCATTTTTAAGGAATTTATTCTATTTTAATGTATATTTATATGCATGTAGGTATACACACACAAACATTTTCACATATACATATATGTGTGTGTGTGTGTGTGTGTGTATACATGAACAACATTTTAACAAAAATATTACTTTTCCTGATAATGTTTAACCCTGGTTTCATCTTGCTATCCTGGGTTACACCTGGGTCATTCTCTCTTCCTGACTGTCCCACAGTATGGCCCAGACCTCTGCCACTGCTTTCCATCTGTCATCATTGTTGTCATTCAGTTGAGGCTCTGAATGGTTAAATGCTACTTTTAAAAATGTAAAATGGTACTCAGTGGAGGAGGGGCTTTACTTGGTGACTACATAATTTGTGATAGAAAGGACAGAAGCTAATGTCGGGGGCATTATGAGCAAAATGCACTTATCATTCATGCATTCAACATACCTTTATTCCTTCATTCAACATACATTCATTTGTTGAAAGCAATGTGAGAAGAGTTGGTACCATGTATTTCAGATCTAGGAAATTCACAGTTCTCATGTTTTAGGGCACAATTTCTTTGATCACTTCTGGGAAATGGTTATTCCAAAAAGTTGTAACAGCCCACGTCCCCTGTAATGTCAAAGTTATTATTCTAACATAAGTTTCCTACTATAATTTTGGAGTACACAAATTAAGGAGCTATTTAAAGTGTTGTCCAAAGCCAGACCAAACTGGCTGATTTCTGAATTTTGATGTTAAAAGTCTAGATTTATTAAATTTGCTTTTTTTTGTTTCTAAGAACATAAAGTTATTATTTACACTAGTGGTTCTCAACTGGAAGTGATTATATACCCCTATGAGACATTTGGTTATGTCTTGAGACATTTTTTATTGTTCCAATTGGGGGGGCACCACTGCCATCCAGTGGGTGGAGACCAGGGATGCAGCTAAGTGTCCTGCAGCGCACAAGACAGCTCCCTCAACTCCCTGTCCAGAAAAGAGTTATCCAGGACCAAATATCAATAGTGCTGAGATTGAGAACCCTGATTTACACTGATGCTTTCTTTTTTTATATAGTTCAGCACCTACGGGACTTCGCTTCCCCCTCAGTTATATCTATATTTAAAGTATCAGGCAAGAGCAAAAGTAACTGCAGCTTTTGACATTACTATTAATGCTGTTTCATTCTTGCTAATTAACATATTGTTTTCTGATGAAATGATTTATCAGGTTGCAGTGTCACCTGCTATTGCAACACTATTGTCACTTTACGCACAAATTCAGTCGCTTACTTTAAAAAAATAAAAATGGGTTATTTTGAGGTACTTGGCTTTTACTTCACTGGAACAGATGTGTTCTGCAATAAGCAGGTTTTTAAATCCCGTATTTAGTTTGTATACAACTGTAACTATGTCTATCTTGTATATATTATGCAATGAGAATTTATGTCGGCATCAAAGGCTACTTACTATTGCTTAAATGCAAATATGTACATCTCATACTTTTATCATATTAGATCAGTATTGGTGTTCTTTCACCATGTATTTATTGAGACTCCACTCAATTGATTGAGCAGGCTCTAGACTAGAAATAGGCTCATAGTGCCAACCAAGACAGACAAGATCTCCAGCCTCACAGAGTTTATATTCTATATGAGGTGACAAATGGTACTCAAGTCAACGAATAACTCAATGGACAATTTCAACTAGTGATAAGTTGAAAAATTCTATGAAGAAAAAAATACAATCATAATAATGGGATAGAAAATAAAGAAGGAGAAGACAGCAGTAGGTGGGATGGCCAGGGTCAGCTTCTCTGATCGTCCAGGTTGGATGAAACATGTTATAAAATACTTGGTTTGAACAGGGCAGGTCAGGGCATTGGTGGGAGGAGTCAATAGACCCATGGAGCTCTTACAGCTGTAACCATTTCTCCCTTGCTCTGGGTCTTCTGGAGAGTTTTACCCAGTGAGACATTGTTAGACATTTGCCACCACCCCCAAAGAGTGGTGATATTTGAATTAAAGAGTTGGGGGACATTCAGGAGACACTTGGTAGAGAGAAAGAGGAAAGGAGAGGCTGAAAGCCAGAATAGCAGGTGGGAAGCTACCGAAATAGACTGGGTGGAAGATGAGAGCCCAACAGACCTGGGGTAGTCCCAGCAGGAAAGAGCAGGAGGGTGGATTCAATAGGTCAGATGATGAGTGGGGGGTGTAGCAGGGATGACTGCAGTTTCTAGCTGGATGCTATGCAAAAGATTCCTCTATCTAAAACATTTTGCGGATTTTTTTCCTTGGAGATGTTAAGTTTGCCTTCATGTCCTCAGATTAGAGGACATCTATGGGTGTCCTTACGACTTTATTGAGCTGTTCGATGGACCACAGGGTGCCTCACTCTCCATGGGCCGGTTTTGTGCTGGGGCAGAGCTCACGTTCCTCTCTTCTTCAAACATCGTGACTGCAGTGTTCAGAAGTGACACCATGATCACCAACACAGGGTTTTATGCTCTGTACAACGCAGTTCAGCCAGATGAAAGGGAGAGTGGTAGGTACCCTAACACACATACCTTGGGAGTTAGGTCTGATTTATGCTATTGCCCTTTAAAAAAGAAGATGCTTTCTAAATCCAAGCTTCATTAATGACATCTGGAGTGACATCCATGCCCATACTAAAAGCCTCTGACCTCGCTCTCACCTTGCTCTGCCACTCCCTGTCACTTTTCTCCAGCAAAGCTTCCTGGCTGAAGAAACAGATGGCCTGAAATCTCATAGATTGCATTGACCGTGTATGTAGATGGATCCAAAATAAAGCCTCCTTCTTCTCCAAAGTAAAGGAAAATGCAATAGAAAAATCATTCTGGCACAAAACTATCTCAACTAGCCACCTGCTTCAAGCTGAATTTGATATGAAAACCGTCTAGAACACTTAGAGAGCTCTTAGGTTCTGCAGCAGGATCTGAGGAACACTTTCAAGTTCCCCATGGCTTATGCTTAGGGTGACCGTGTAATTTATCCTCCAACTGGAATATTTTTGACAGCTTAGGAAGAAGTCTAAGATAATTAACAGGTATTAATTAATATATGACATTCATAAAAAAGGACTATTCCAGGCAAATCAGAACCCAGGGCCACCCTGCCTAGAGCCCAACAGCCTAATACAGGAATAGGTGTCCGAGTGCTAGATAACATTTTGTACTTACAGAAGTCCTAAAGTCTGGAGACATTACCACAGTTCAGAAGGCCCCATTTGCTTTTCCACCAGGTATGTCCCTGCGACTGGTGAATGGTAACCACAGGTGTGAGGGCCGGGTGGAGGTCTCCTACAACGGCACCTGGGGCACGGTGTGCGATGACAGCTGGGACCTGACGGATGCCAGGGTGGTGTGCCAGCAACTCGGCTGTGGAGAGGTCCTGTCAGCCCTGTCTCAGAGCTACTTTGATGGTGGCACTGGCCACATCATTCTGGACGATGTGCAGTGCACAGGAAGTGAAGCCAAGGTGTGGCAATGCATGCACAACGGGTTGTTCTCCCATAACTGCGGACACCACGAGGATGCAAGTGTCATCTGCTCAGGTGAGCACCTGGGGGCACAAAGCACCCCTCAGGGAGAGAGTCTCCCCACTAGCCACCTCTGGGAAGGGAGATGTCAACAGCAGCAGGCAGTAACTCAGAAATGAGCCCTGGCTTCAATCCGACTGCTTAAGCAATTTTGCTTAAGAGTTAGTGTTCTTTCACTTAAAGTGTTGCACCTGTTCGGGATCCCACCTGAAAAGTTGTGGTACTTAATTAGAGGGTTTGCCATCAGCCATCCTATTCCAGCATTGATAAGCCGTGGTGCCGGTGACAGCCAGCACCTGACTGCGAGTAGTAGCTGATGTACTCTATGCTAAAACTGGCGCATTCTTATTCTCATTTAATCTCTACCACTACTACTAAAGTAGAGACTATTAGCATCCTCACTGTACTGATGCAGCCACAAAGGCATATCCAAGATCACACACAGGTCCGGACTATGTAAGTATCACACCTCCCCAAGGTACTGTGTTAAAGACAACTCAGCTCTGTGTCTGAAGCTCAATCAGCCCAGTAACTGACCAAAGCAAAGAAATACCAGGTTTCACTTGCACCATCATGAGGCTGAAGAGGAAAGTGTGCTACCTTCCCTGTGGGCACTGCTAGAGGCTGTCAACCTTGTAACCAACATTGATGGGGTTTGATACTACATTCCCAACTGCCCAGGAAAGAACATGTGTGATCCTGAAAAAAGAACCCAATATTCGTGTGAGTTATGTAACCGCCTTACTCAATCCATCTCTCGTTCGTTCTTCTGTCTTTGGATAGGTGTTGACGGCAAACCAAACATAGAACCAACAGGTATGGCTTTTCTATACAGTTCTACCTGTTGCCAGGTCCCTGACGTAGTGAATCCTGGCGACACGTACATCCTGAGGTTGGGACCCCATCCAGTTAAATTATCTGTTGCTAAATAAAAAGGGCAATTCAGCCCAGTAGAGTTGACAAAATGGTGAGGCCATGGGACAGTAGAGGACAGCAGAGTGGTAGGAGGGAGGGAGAATTCAGATTCACCAGGAATGCCATCCCCAGTCATTCAGTATCTGCTGTGAAGAGAAGGGTAACTGCTTGCAGGGATGTTTACACTGTAGGATGCTGGAGGGAAAAAAAAGACATCCCAGGTCAGCCCTCAACAAGTTTATCTAATGACACTCATCCACGCGTGGAGTTTGCAAGTGTCTGAACCCTGGAGGAGCCAGAGGAATATCTGTCCATTGGGCCACAGAGAAATCACAGCATTATAGTGTCAGGGTTTCTGAGTATTTTCAAGGAACATTCTGGATAAAAGTCCTTGCTCACAGTGTCACTTTTTCTCTGTGTCTCCACAGACTCCACTGATGACAACCCCCCTACAGGTACGTCAGCTCTTAGAACCTCTTCACATGGTTTTGTATTCACTTTGTTCTCCATTTGGCACACATTTCTCAACAGATCCAATATTTCAGCTGTAAATTGGATATCTTAAGCGATCTTGGTGTTGATTTCAGCTGAGATTTGCATACAGTACAAGCAGGAGTTTTCTAACCCCAGCTGTTTTATAACATGCGATGCTGAGGAAGGTGCTGTGGTCTCCTTGTCTTTGCTCCTTTATCACTGACACTAAAGCTTAGACCTATTGGGCACATAGCTTCACAGAGCCCTTTCAACCATATGTCGCATCACTTGCTCCTCACAAAAACACACTTGACCATCTTCATTGCCCACAGGACAGCACTGGGAGCTCGGGGTACTCTCCAAAGCCAACCTTTCCAGCTATCGGCCAAAGCAGCCCCTAGAACAAGCCTTCCTTACCTCTGTCCTCACTCTGACCCCTCTTGAACCCCCTGAAAACACAGGCAGCCGTCAATGCCCACTTTTGATGGGGTTTCTTCACTGTTTGTTACAGATGAAAATTTGCACTGTGGCGGTTTGCTCACAAATAATTCAGGCTCCTTCTCCAGTCCTCGGTATCCTAAAAATTACCCCACAAATGTGGTGTGCACTTGGGACATACAAGCGGATGTCGGGGCTCATGTGAGACTTACGTTTGAAGTGGTGAAGTGAGTAAATATTTCCTACCTTTGCTTTCTTCTTGATTCAGTTATGCACTCCAGTTTTACTACCTCCCTCCCCTTTCTTTCCAAAAAAAAAAAAAATTCCATATTTTCAAAAGTGGGCTAGGCCTTGAGGGTCCATTGTAATATTGATTAAAATTTTACGTGCGCAGATCTTTTCACCCAGCAATTCCAGTTCCAGGAATTTGGTCTACAGATAAAGTCTCATGTGCACTCAGGATAATCATGGCACATTCTCAGGGTAGCAATAGATTGGAAACAATCTAATTGTCCATCCATAGGGAATTAGTTAAACAGATTTTGGTACATCCACATATTGCTGTACACTCACAGTATGTATTGCTATGGAATGAGCTATAAGAAAATGGACGATAGTACAGAGCGTTGCCATTTGTGCATAGACTATTTCTGGAAGGAATACGCAGAAACTCTTCACTGAAGCTGCTTGCAGGAAGGGCAGTGAAGTAAGAGGGGACCAGTAGTTACAGCTGGAAGAACATTTTCCTTTTCACCACATGCCATCAGTACCACTTAAATTCTATCCCACATGTTTGAAATACATATTCAGAAAACACCATCGAAGTAAAACTTTAAAAATCAAAAGATTTTTAGAAATAGGAGGATACTTACTACCCACGTCAATAGGGTCATTATCTCCTGCAACCTGTTTGAAGAGATGTAGGTTTCAGAAAGTTTTTCCCTGATCACTTCCTGAACCAATCCGGGCAGTGCTTACTGGGAAGAAAGCCCCAGTGGACTGAGTCTGAATGATACTGTTTTACTTCACAGAGTGGAAGATTTCTACGGTTGTCCATACGACTTCATTGAAATCTTCGATGGCCCACAAAGTGAACCTTTTTCGCTAGGGAGATTCTGTTCCAGGAAGATCCCAGTGTTTACCTCCTCCTACAATCGCATGTCAGTGGTGTTCCATAGTGACGCTCTTGTCACCAACACTGGCTTCTATGCATCTTATGAGTCTCTTCTGCAAGAGGAGAATGATACCGGTAAGTCCTGCAGTCGTTTCAGCCCCGGGCCCTGTGTGGTGACAATGGCGAAGCTGAACAGCTGCCTCAGCCGGCGGGGCACTAGGGATTTGAAAGGGGTTTCCCAAGCTTCTTAGTTTATTTCCAGGACACAGCTTGGAGAAGCTGGTAGAACACGCAGCACTGCCCTACAATAACATCACGTGCATCTTTGGATGACAGAGGCACTTCACGCTACGCTGAGAAAGAGACTGGACCTACCCTCTCTTGGAGGCTGTTTTATTCAAAACCATGTGCCACTTCCTTTCACCTGGTCTAAAGAACATTATTCTACACTATGAGCAGCAACAGGGTTTGCATGCTTGGTGATTTTCACTTTACACAAGACTTCAGGGGTTCTCTTTGACCTCTATGAAGTAGATGACCTGGTCGGGGAAAAGGCTTTTAAAAACACCCCACACACAGGCAAAAAAAAAAAAATCAACATGATGTGAGAGGTCAAACCTGAAGCACCTTTGCAGCCAGCTTTAACCAGCAATGGTTCCCTCCCCAAGAAGAAGGGGGAGCCCTCAAAGCTCGACGTCTCTAAGGAAATGCCCACATTCCTCTACAACACAGCAGCAAAGGGGGAGCCCCTGGGTAGTTACCGGCCTGTCTGTCTTTCCCAGATGTGGCTCTCAGGCTGACCAACGGCAGCCACCCATGCGAGGGCCGTGTGGAACTGCACTACCATGGCAGCTGGGGCACAGTGTGTGACGACAGCTGGGACCTGTGCGATGCCCAGGTGGTGTGCAGGCAGCTGGACTGCGGCGAAGCAGTGGCAGCCCTGGGGCAGGCACATTTCTCAAGAGGTCAGGGCCCCATTGCTCTGGATGATGTGGGGTGCATGGGGACAGAAACCAGGCTGTGGCAGTGCCTACACAGCGACTGGCTCACCCACAACTGTGGTCACCACGAGGATGCCAGCGTCATCTGTTCAGGTGGGCCCTGATTCTGAGCTAATAACATTCCCTCTGTCTCCATGAGTCTCCACCCCACTTCACTCAGAGCCATGGGGAAATCCCAGACAGTCCCCAAGCCACTATTCCCCAAGCATCAGCCACTCAGGTCCCCTGCATGATTCCAGCCATTACCCACCTGTGGCTCTCACTATATTTTCTTAATACTTTCTTAACTTGACTCTTCATTTTTTACATAAGTGAATTCACTTTACAAGGGAAGTTGATATCACACCATAAATGGAGAACCAGGACCACTTGCCACACCTAGGAGGTTAACAGTGAACATAAAACAATGTTTAAAATGTCCAGAAATTAAACAGTGAACATTCTAATCTAATCAATTCACACCCACGCATATCTGAAAATATCCTTAATCAGAATGAAACTAAATGTGAACTTTTAGATTTTAACACAATAAATATGCAACCATTAAAATAGAAGATGCTGTACCTCAAACCAACTCATATCCCACCAATGATGCGTCGCACCTTTGGGAACCATCTCTTCGGTTGGATCCCTTCATTTTAAGGGCAACCTTGAGCACTTTCCTCACTGCTGGGAGCCCAGGTTCTAGCCCAGAGCTCTTATTCCTCAGTTTTATCTTGATTGACTTTTGGCAAATAAATTCAGTAGTTGAAGTCGAAAATTCCCACCTATCTCTGCATCCTTATGGGTTTGGCTGGAAAGAGGCAAACTGACTTATCATCTAGACCTGGCAGCATTCACCTGAGATAGCATGAAGGAGCAAGGAGCAAGTGATGGTACCGGAACCTTCTGAGCAGAAGAGGTCAAGGGACAGAATCAATGCTCTGAGCAAAACAGAAGCTGGTGCCGCACGCCAAGTGACATCAGAGGACAGGGCTGGGGCTACAAGGGCCATGCGGTTTGGAACCAGGGCCTTGGGCAGAGCATGGGAGTGGGTCATAGGTGCCTGGATGGATCACCAAGCAGAAGCTCTGAGCTTTTTTTCCTCCTGGCCCTGAGCTCCCAGCCCATTCAGGGGCCTTTTGGCTCCCTCCCTGCACTGAGGTCACTGGCATATGTCCTTGAGATAAATGCGGTTCTGCCCTTTATGAGCTGACACTTACTCCCAGGCAAGACTCACACATACACCCAGGAAGAATTACAAAACCAAACTGACTAGCAAAACCAGTGCTCCACGCCAGGGGCCATCCCTGAAGCCACCGTTTGCTAAAAACAAAAAAGGTAGGAAGGGAGGGAGGGGAGAGGAGAGAAGGGAAGTGAAGAAAAGGGGAAGGGAGGGGAGGAGAGGAAGGAAAAGGGAGGAAGGGAAGGAGTGGGAGAGAAGAACGGAAGGAAGGAAGGAGAGAGGGAGGGGAAGAGAGAGAGGAAAAAGGAGAAGAAAAAGGGAAGAAGAAAGAACAAGAAGGATGAAGGGAAGGAAATGACATTGCAGTGTCTGGCAACAGGACAGACACAGACTCGGTGATCCAGGACATCTGGCGGTTGTAACCAAAGTAACTCAGGGCCATTTTTAGATGCCGGATTGTATGCGATTTCCCCGTGAGACAAGGCGTGGTACCTTTCTGTCTGAAGTAAGCCAGCCTACCTCTCTTTCAGGTTCAGGTGGACTGAAGGGAGAGGAGCTACCCACGCCGTCTATGCCTTCCACTACCTCTCTGCCTCACCTAGCAGCATCTGGGGCTGTGAGTCACGCAACCTCGGGTAATTTTGGTTGCTTTGAATTGATGAGCTGTAACTTGCCCTACCAAAGCCCCCTGAAGCAGTAGGGTAGTTATTTAGGATCCAAATGCCCTGGGCTTGTCTTCCCAACCTCTTCATTTACTGGCTGTGAGGCCTTTAACAAATCTGAGTTGTTTCCTGCCTCCATTTTCTCCTCTGGATAAGGATGAGGAAATCCAGGGGATTTCACTGTGTGAATATCCAGGCCAGGGCTTGCCCTGCAGTGGGCAGGGCATACAACGTCAGCCACTCTCTCTGACCCTCACCTGGTCCAAGGTCAGAGCCCAGCAGAGGTTTATCTCTGGGTACTGCCTTCTACTTGACAGAATTGTTAAGAATGGAAAAGCTGAAAGCATCACATTATAGTTTGCTCCCAGCTCTATTTGGCCAGTGGTCTTTACAGTTTCAACTCAATTCAGCCAGCAGCTCTTCCAGGACAGGTCCTCAGAAGAGTGAAGTACAACATGCAGAGAGAAGCTGGGAAAGAGAGAAATTACTCCAAGCATTTAGAAGCGGCACCAGGGTAGCTGATACTGAACAACAGAGGTCCCCAAATGATGCTTTTTTGAATTTAAAATGTATCCATTGGCCAGGCAGGGTCATTCATGCCTGTAATTCCAGCACTTTGGGAGGCCAAGGTGAGCAGATCACCTTAGGTCAGGAGTTTGAGACCAGCCTGGCCAACATGGAGAAACCCCATCTCCACTAAAAATACAAAAATTAGCTAGGCATGGTGGCGGGTGCCTGTAATCCCAGCTACTCCGGAGGCTGAGGCAGGAGAATCACTTGAACCTGAGAGGCCACAGAAAAAGGGCATGAGAAGGAAATCCCATCCAGAATCAGAAACTGTCTGTAGATCATCCACAGGGTGGACAGCCCGCCCAGGATGGGCCGAAAGTTCAATGTTTGATGCTCACCCAAGACGCTGTATGATTTTCTCCATTTGCAGCATCTTTTTCTTTTTTCTTTTCTTTTTTTTTTTTGAGACAGAGTTTCGCCCTTGTTACCCAGGCTAGAGTGCAATGGCGCAATCTCGGCTCACCGCAACCTCCGCCTCCTGAGTTCAGGCAATTCTCCTGCCTCAGCCTCCTGAGTAGCTGGGATTACTGGCACGTGCCACCGTGCCCAGCTAATTTTTTGTATTTTTAATAGAGACGGGGTTTCACCATGTTGACCAGAATGGTCTCAATCTCTTGACCTCGTGATCCACCCGTCTCGGCCTCCCAATGCAGCATCTTTTTCAAAGCCAACAGAGGTGCCCACGTTGACAGGTAACCCTTCCTTCTTACTTCACTGGGCCTCCCTCTATGGAGTTTCAGTTCACAAACATCTCAGCACCATGGGAGGAAGCGTCCAGACTTCCACCCTCCCCCATGGCCTCAGGCTGCCGAGGAAGGGGCTGCCAATGTCCAGGGTCACCTGGAAAATCTGTGACTAGAGAGTGACAGGAAAGAAGAGGCTGTGAGATGTAAGAAAGGCTTTTGGGGTCTGATTTGGAAGAGGCCCCCAGGAAGGCCAGGTTGCCTGCTTACCCCACATCTTTACACATCCCCACCTGTGGGGTCACCTTGTCTGTGTTCCAAGCACAGCCAGCTTCGGCTCCCTTTTGTAACATTGTCCTTTGAACATAGGGGGCAGCCTGCAATGATGGCTCTTTCCAGTTCCTGGAATATCTTCACATGTAGATAACTGCATGATCCTGGGAATAACAGAGATGGGAGCTACTGTTACTGTCTTTTGATCAGCGTGTGCAAGAGCACACAGAAACTTACACACACACACACACACACACACACACACACACACAGCGTATGCATGACAGCTTCTTGTGAAAAATCCAACACAGCCTGTGAAGGTTAGAAACCAAGACTTCACCACACACAGGGAAGGAACAGCTATGCCGTGGGGCAGGCCAGTTCCAGCCAATGGCAAGGAATAATCATTTCTTAACCAATTGCAAAAACTACATGGAGTAGTACCAAGGCAAACTTGAACAAAATGAAATAAAGAAGGGAGTGAATTCACGATCCTCAATTGTCAGTGCACAATTCCCAGGAAATAGTGGCTTCTCTGGTGGCCTTTGTGGATGAGAGTTCATGAGGTTGTTCTTTGTGATATCCACAAGGTCTGGAACTGCGGCTGGTGAACGGGTCCCGCAGATGTGAGGGCCGAGTTGAGCTCTACCACGCCAATGTCTGGGGCACTGTGTGTGATGACAACTGGTCCATAGAGGATGCCCACGTGGTCTGCAGGCAGCTGGGCTGTGGCCTAGCTGTTTCTGCCCTCCCAGGAGCCAGCTTCAGCCCTGGGTCAGGCAGCATCCTCCTCGATGATGTCAACTGCACAGGAACGGAGTCCTCCCTGGGGCAGTGCCCTCACGGCGGTTGGTTCACCCACAACTGTGGGCACCATGAAGATGCTGGTGTCATCTGCTCAGGTGAGTGACGGTCCCTCTTGGGCCAGTTTTGCATCTGCCTGAACCAAGCTCAAGATCCTCAGATGGAGTCTGGAAATGCCTCTGTGCCTTAAATCTTTCCCCAGGTGTAGGACAGTGGATTTCTGCTCAGACTCTGGAAAATACACCCAGCTGTTCAATACATAGGAGGTTCATGTTCAACTTGAGCACCTGCAAAGTTCAATCAATTGTAAAAGAAAGAAACTCATGGCATTTATTTCACGGAGTTATTGGGAGGATTAATTGAGGCAACCCATATAGAACATTTAGTCAAGCATCTGACAAACCATAAATACACAGAAATATTACCATCTTGTTGTTATTGTAGTTACTAAGGCAAATTTTATCAGCATCACTGCTCAACGTTTGTAGCCAGGTTAGACAACCCACAACTCTCACCTGGCTGTATAAACCCAGAGGGGACAGCCCTGGATGCTTAAGACTGAGAGTTTGTGCCCAGCTTCCCTGAGTCACATTTAAACAGAAACAATGATCTTTAAACCATTCTACCATTCCAGTTTCTATTATTAAACCACCCTCATTTCCTTTATCTCTGCAGATTCTGCAGCTGCTGGACATCCAGCTATCTGTGAGTTTATGTCCTTTTACTTGCTGACTGGTGGCTAGACATCACCTCTACTTGGTCTCCGGACCCCAGGCTATGCTGGGTCTCCCTTCTGAGCTTTAACTTTCCTTGATGATGCTCTGAGCTTCGGACCCTTCCACCTCCCAGAAGGCGAAGACCCATTACCTAGGCTGTTTCCCAATACCTAGGCTGGTGTCAGTAGGTTGATATGTCATCTCTTCTACAGACAAGAGCGTTTCAACAGGACCCTAAGATACTTGCTCTAGAACCAAAGGGTTGGTTCTTGCAATGGAGGCCATGGCAATCCAGAGAAGACAGGAGGGCATAGGGGAAGGAGGCCTGGGGCAGAAGGGCCTAGGGGCAGGAGAGCCTGGGGGCAGGAGGGCCCAGGGACAGGAGCTGCTCCTCTACCTGCAGCGCCACCTGGGTCCCAGCAGCAGCTGCTGAACTGTATGGTTCTGACAAGGTGCCCCTGCCTACAGGGCCATATCTTCGCAATCCCAACATGAATTTTACTTCTTTTATTTTCATATTCTTAATCAGAATAGTGTAAACCCATGGATGAGGTAGAATCGCATTTTAAATGATAACTATTAGATTAGAGCCTGGATAGTGTTGATTAAAGGCAGACTCAAACATGAGATTTAGATGGTAGTTGAGAAGAGTATGAAATATCATTGTGTGTGTGTTTGGAATGTAATTATGGTAACTATTTTTTTTACCCCATAGTTTCTTCAACTTCTGGGGAACGTCCAAGCATTTTTCATCTAACAGGTACTTTCCCCATTCTTATATTTTGCAACTGTTTTTCTGAGGCTGAGATCTGATCATTTGTGACTATTGGAAATACAGCAAATGTGGTTTCTCCTGGCCCTTGTGCTGTGTGCAATCAGAGCTGTGTTCATGAGAGGCAAGCTGGTGACATGGAAGATTCTCGTGGAGTAGAAGTCTTTCCAAGGAGAAAGCCCACTCGGCCACCACCCCTGGCAGCAGCAGCAGCAGGCCACTGCTCCTGCAGTTCCTTCTACAGGGGCCTCAGGAACCAGCCCCAGTCCCTGGGGATGCAGATCCTGAGAGTTAGCTTCATCTGCTTTGGGCACAGGGGTCACTTCCACTTGGCCAATTCCTTACTTGCTTGTCACAGTGATGTTCTGTCTTCTGCTGCTTGGTTTTCTAATCCTAACGACCTCCATTATTTCTCAATCAATATATTACAATTTTCTAAATTCAAGTAAAACAAAATTAATTTTGTACCAAGAATTCACAATGTTCTTGGAGAAACCTGAGTTAGAAATGCAAAATCTGAGCTCCAACCATTCGACTGCATCTCTTGGAATTTTGAGAAAAACCACCTGGAAAACGACACTCATTTTTTTTTAAATCTGAAGACTTAGTGTTCAGTGTTTCAAACAGTCATTGTGTGTCAGCATAAAAGCTCCGGGTCCAAATGGCATCAACTGTTCATCTTCCTTCTTTGTAGCCTCAAATCTCCCAAGTGACCATCAATGACACTATCCTGGCAAAGTTCAAATAGATGCTCCAATTACTGTCAGACAGTGAGAACCACCCCCATGGGAGGGAAAAGTGGTGTAGAGACATTGTCTAGTTTGAGCTTAATGTTTTAAAGTGCTGATGTGCTTGTGACGATGCCTGGGTTTTCCCTTTCAGCTGCTGAAGTTGCCCCAGCATTGACAGAAATGGTCCCAAGCATTGGTAATCCTTCAATTGTTTCCCTCAAGGCTTCCTGATTATTGAATCTTCCTAGGGGATTCCCTGTAATGTCAGTGTCCACCCAGATTCGTGTCACCCCAGGACTGAGAAAATATATAGCTGATACAGAAGGAGAGGTTACAGAGCTGGCTGCCACTTCTCTCGTCTCTGGATCCTAAAAATGTTTTTAACTGTGAACCTGGGCTACAGTAATAATGAAATAATGAAAGATTGAGTTGGATATATCCCCACACTATTGCCTAACTGTTTGATGGCTCTGTTTCAAAACAGATATTTATTCTTATCCTTATAGTTGCCATATTTCCAATCCAAAGATGAGGAGAATAAGGTAACAAAATATTGGAAATCACAGATAGCCTCAAAAAAACCAGTCACTGAATTTGCAAGCACAAGTTTGACTTAGACCTGTGAGACCTAGAAGCAGGAAGCAAGAGTGTATAGAGTTTTAGAACTTAGAACTTAGGGTGTGTATTATTTTAAGAACTAAAGAAAAGTCCCACCAGCATCTGCCGGAAGAGCTGATCACATTCCAGTGGTAACCTCTGGGTCTCCCCAGACTTCCCATTGTCAGGTTGGCAGATGGGAGGAGCCAGTGCAAAGGGCACATGAAGTCTACCACGGTGGCACATGGGGGACTGTGTGTGACAACCTTTGGGGCATTGACACTGCCCACATGGTGTGCCAGCAGCTGGGCTGTGGGGAGGGCATTGACTGGCCCAGGGAATAGCCACTCTGTGGGGCGGGGGGCACAGGACACATCCTCCTGGACAATGTGCAGTGCCAAGGCATGTAGACTTTGCTAGGCCAGTGCCACCATCTGGGTCTGTCCACCTACTACTGTGGCCACCTTGAGGATGCTGGGCTCATCTGCACAGATACTCATTTCCAGCTTTCTCTTGGGGCTGCCTGAGCCATGACTTTCAGTGGAGGACCTGAAAATCAGCGTGAGGAAGTTTGGGTCTTACTGGCATCCTCTCAACAAATGCCCAAGGTCCACTGTCAACACTGAGCTCCCTGGGGCAGCATGTATTATATAATGACATAAAATACAACCCTGGGCCAGCCCCAAGTCCCTCAGCCCCACATTGTGCCTTGATGTTGGTTCTGGAGCCTGTTGTCTATTCTCAGCCTCCCTTAATTTGTTGGTCCACCCAGTGTTTGACTCGAGGCCCAGTGAGTTCACCTTAGGGCCCTCACTTTCTGCAGTCTTCAAGGAATTGCCAGATCCCTTCTGTGACCCACCCACTGGGGTAATGGCACTTCCTAGACTTTGTCCCGAAATTGTCTGCTTTGAACTTTAAAGCTGACTTTGTAGTGCAGCTCCAGGAAATTCCATGAACAAAACCCAGATCTTCTCATCTACATCCTGTGTGAAATCTTTAGCGCTACCTTCTTTTGGCCTCTGTGGTTTGAGATAGTTTGCTTTAAAAAAAAAAAAAAGCCCAGTTTGTGCATCATCCTTGCTTCTTTTTCTTGCCAAAAACGTAGAATAGAAAAGGAAATGAAATGCAATATTCACTGCTCAGTTTTTCTTAATTTTACAGGACAAAGACTAGACTAAAAGGATTTAATTCATCCATTTATTTAACAAATATTTATTGGGCACTTTATATGTGCCAGGCACAACTCTAGGTGCTGAGGATGTAGCAGTGAACACAACAATCCTTCCTTCGTGGAGCTTGCATTTCAGTGGGAGGGTTAGAGTCATTTGCGCATCTAAACAGTAATGGATAATTAACAAAAGTAAATGAATGCTGAATCAAGAGTCATAGTATCATGTTATGGAATCACTCTCCTTTAGTGCTCAGACAACTTGGTATTTGTTGTAAAACTAGTTTGGTGAAAATGGGAAATCAACATTAGAAACCTAAAGTCAGAATTAGGAAGGCTCCTAGTACTTTGCCATTCTAGAAATGATATCCTCTTCAGTGCCTCAGTGAAACAGCCTCTCTGACCCATCCTGGGGTTCTCACAACCAATGGGTATTTCTCGCTTTCTGCCTTCTTGCATCCCTGTCTCTCTTCCAGTCTCAACTAAGAAACGTTTCTTATTTTTACTTTTACTTCTCAAAAGTTGTTCTCGGGCCGGGTGCTGCGGCTCACACCTGTAATCCCAGCACTTTGGGAGGCCGGGGCAGGGGAACACAAGGTCAGGAGATCGAGACCATCCTGGCCAGCATGGTGAAACCCTGTCTCTACTAAAATGCAAAAAGTTAGCAGGGCATGGTGGCTCATGTCTGTAATCCCAGCTACTCGGGAGGCTGGGGCAGGGGATTCACTTGAACCCGGGCGGCAGAGGTTGCAGAGCCAAGATTGCGCCACTGTGCTCCAGCCTGACAACAGAATAAGACTCATCTCAAAAATTTAAAAAAAAAAAAAGAGTTGCTCTGTATCTAATTGTAATGTATCTGAGATATAAGTTTTTAAAATTAAAAAAATAAATTCCTGTTTGTTTTACAATTTCAGCATCAGCTACAGAAATGACCTCTTTGCCTGGTAATTTTGGTTTCTTTCTTGCTTTCTATAAATCAGATATGTGTAGATTACTTTGCATATGGTTAGGGTTGGAGTTTATATAGCATATAAAATTAAACATCAAGTTCATATCAATGTAAAATGTGAGTGCATATTCATTAAATGAAGAAGTACATTGAACAGAGATTGTGTGCCTTCCATACAGTGCACACAATATGTCCAGTTTGTTTCCTCCCTCTTTGGTGCAACAGCTGGTCTTTGAAATCAAGTTTTAGTGATATGGCTTCACTTACATCCTCATCAGTGTCCACACATTTGGGTGTTCAGTGAATCTGGTTTTTTTTTAGCTCCCAAAAAACTTCGGATATCTCAGGCAAAACTACTTTAATGTGCATTTTCAGAAAATAAAGGACTAGCACATCTCTCAAGTGTGTTTCTAGTACAGTACGTTAATCTATTGATATGCAAATCTTAAAGAAGGATTTGCACTGCTAAGTAAGTTAGGGAAATGCCGTATCCCTCTCTTGAATATTTACAACCTATTAACACATTACAGTCTCTGACAAGTCCTATAGTAAGGGATCTTTTTTTTGAACTTGGTTTCATCTAATGATTCTCAAACTTCTTTGACCACTGAAATATTTTTTTAAATATATATATATATTATTGGACTTTAGGTTTCGGGGTACATGGCAATGTGGTTTGCTGCCTCCATCCCCATCAATTATATCTGGCATTTCTCCCCGTGTTATCCCTCCCCAACCTCCCTACCCCTGCTATCCTCCTCTATTCCCCCTGAAACAGACCCCAGTGTATGATACTCCCTTCCCTATGTCCATGTGTTCTCATTGTTCAACACCCACCTGTGAGTGAGAAAATACAGCGTTTGATTTTCTGTTCTTGTGTCAGTTTGCTGAGAATGATGGTTTCCAGATTCATCCATGTCCCTACAAAGGATACAAACTCATCATTTTTTATGGCTACATAGTATTCCATGGTGTATATGTGCCACATTTTCCTTGTCCAGTCTATCATTGATGGGCGTCTGGGTTGGTTCCATGTCTTTGCTATTCTAAACAGTGCTGCCATGAACATACATATGCATGTATCTTTATAATAGAACTATTTATAATCCTTTGGATATATACCCAGTAATGGGATTGCTGGGTCAAATGGAATTTCTATTTCTAGGTCCTTGAGGAATCGCCACACTGTCTTCCACAATGGTTGAAGTAATTTACACTCCCATGAACAGTGTAAATGTATTCCCATTTCTCCACATCCTCTCCAATATCTGTTGTCTCCAGATTTTTTAATGATCACCATTCTAACTGGTATGAGATGGTATCTCAATGTGGTTTTGATTTACATTTCTCTAATGACTAGTGATGATGAGCATTTTTTCCTATGTTTGTTGGCCTCATAAATGTCTTATTTTGAAAAGTGTCTGTTCATGTCATTCACCCACTTTTGAGTGGGTTTCTTTGTTTGTTTCTTGTAAATCTGTTTTAGTTCTTTGTAGATTCTTGATATTAGCCATTTGTTGGATGGGTAGATTACAAAAATTTTTTCCCATTCTATTGGTTGCCAGTTCACTCTAATGATTGTTTCCTTTGCTGTACAGAAGCTCTGGAGTTTAGTTAGATTCCATTTGTCTATTGTGGCTTTTGTTGCCAATGCTTTTGATGTTTTAGTCATGAAGTCCTTGCCTATGCCTATGTCCTGAATGGTTTTGCCTAGGTTTTCTTCTAGAGTTTTTATGGTGTTAGGTCTTATGTTTAAGTCTTTAATTCATCTGGAGTTAATTTTAGGGTAAGGTGTCAGAAACTGGTCCAGTTTCTGCTTTTTGCACATAGCTAGCCAGTTTTCCCAACGCCATTTATTAAACAGGGAATCCTTTCCCTATTGCTTGTTTTTGTGAGGTCTGTCAAAGATCAGATGGTTGCAGATGGGTGACATTGCCTCCAAGGCCTCTGTTCTGTTCTGTTGGTCTATGTCTCTGTTTTGGAACCAGTACCATGCTGTTTTGATTACTGTAGCCTTGTAGTATAGTTTGAAGTCAGGTAGTGTGATGTCTCCAGCTCTGTTCTTTTTGCATAGAATTGACTTGGCTCTGCAGGCTCTCTTTTGGTTCCATATGAAGTTTAAGGTGGAGTTCACAGAAGTTCACAGTTCTGTGAAGAGGGTCATGGTAGCTTGATAGGGATAGCATTTAATCTATAAATTACATTGGGCAGTATGGACATTTTCACAATATTGATTCTTCCCAACCATGAACATGGAAGGTTTTTCCATCTGTGTCCTCTCTTATTTCCTTGAGCAGTGGTTTGTAGTTCTCTTTGAAGAGGTCCTTTATATCCTTTGTGAGTTGTATTCCTAGGTATTTCATTCTCTTTATAGCAATTGTGAATGGCAAAAACCACATGATTATCTCAATAGATGCAGAGAAGGTCTTTGACAAAATTTTGAGTGGCAATGCAGCCTAGCAGGATTTGGAGCCAGAGAACCTGGGATTATGTTCTGGCTCCAGCCTCAACCAACTGGGTGACAGAGGTCAAGTCCCCTCACCTTTCAGAGCTTCAGGTTCTTCATGTGTAGAACGAAAGGATGAAAATAGTCACCTCAGAATCTTGTCCTGGGGACTGAGTGTTCACAATTATGTAAGAACACAGTGATGGGAGCTTCACAGTCACATCCTTGGGGATGTGTGTTCTGCTGCCTGCCAAGATCTGGCTTGGCTTCCTAATGGAAGCAACCCATGTGTGCTTTTATAAAATTGCCTCCTCTGGATACTTTGGGGTCATCCTAAGGCTTAAGCTAACCATTGTTTGGCTAAATCAGCCAGAGAAATACCATATCAATTCCAGTCAGCTCAAATCAACTTTGTTCTAAACTGTCCATATTTCCATGGTCCTTATTTTCAAAAATCTCAAAGCCTTCTGCCAGGATTGGTACACACTAACCTCTAAGGAAAACTGAGCAAGGAAACATGTAGTTCTTTTGGTGACTGGATCTGTGAAAATTGTCCACCAGTTCTTTTAGGTGAGAACAAGTCATGTGGCACCATCACAGTGTAACATTTTTCCAAGAGTTGGCAGAAACTTTAGAGACTGCTCAGACTGGAAGTCACAAGAGGGCAGTTTTGACCTGCCATGGTGTTTGGATGCAGACACCTCAGTTTTATCCAGTCATGTTTGAATTATTTTTAATCCCATCTGTTAATAATGGAAGATATCCTATAAACATCCAGATTTCCAGCTTTGATTGAAACATCTGAGAATGGTCAACAGTAGCATGAATTTCAGCAGGGCATCAGTTGGCTGGGGCTGAGTAGGGAATGGCTGCTCCCTTATATGGCATAGGCTCTCTCTCCCATTTCTTCCTGGCCCCTATGCGTGTCTAATGCTATCTCCATTTGTGTGCTTCTCAAACTTTACGGTGTACATAGCTGTCATGGAAATCTTGTTAAAATACAGATTCTGGTTCAGTGAATCTTGAGAGCCCGTATTTCTAACAAGGTGATACAGATGCTGTTCCGCCATGAAACAGCCCTTTGGATGCAGCGGCTGAAGCTCAGAGATGCAAAGGAGCTTGTCCAAGGTCACATGCTGTGTTCCACAAAGACTAGAGACTAGAACCCATCTCTTGGGTCCTAACCCCATGTACCACCTGCCCCATTATTAATCCCCTTAGCTTAATAAAGAGAGAATAGGAGAATCAACCAGGAACATGGTTGGGGCATAATTTGTAAACAGGGTAATTTTTAAAAATTCTTTACCAATGAACTTGATTGATAAGGATGGCATTTAACTATAATTTTCTCTTAACTTGTGCTTGTCTTGATAGTTCCTGCTTCAATTTCAGCCACAGATTTGGCCATTACACCTGGTAAGAAGTTTTTTCTTAATATCTCCTTTACTACCTATATAAGGGATATTGCTATGTTGAAATTTACCTAGCTGGTAAAATTATACCACTATTTGTCCAGGACTCACTTGGCTAAATTAATTTCTTGGGAAATAGACTAGAATCCAGAAATAGACAAAGAGTACCTCATGAGGCCACATCGAGATGCTAGCATTCAAGCTCAAGTGCTTGAATACCCACAGAAGTGTACCATAGAGCCTGTTATTCAGAGCCCGTTCTTACTTTCTACACACTCATAACAACTAGCTATCTGGTCTCGCTGCTGACTATATATTACTGGAGACAACAGGTTGGGAGGGAGTGCGGGGGGCTAGGAGGTATAGACCTAATAAAGAGGCTACATTGGCAATGGCAGGAAATGTTAACAGATGCTCTGATAGCCACAGAAGGGTTCAGAGAAACCGTTCAATGTCATTTTCCAAGTGGGGCAAAAATGCCCGATTACCTTATATGGAGCTATATGGAGCAAATGCCCACTTAACATCCTTTGAAACACCTGCGTGTTGCATCCTTGAACAACAACGATACTCTTGGTGACAAGGCTGAATTCATGCATGTTCAAGTGTGATCAATAGCTTTTATTTGAAAGGACAGGGAAACCTGTTTCAGTTCAGGAAGGATTTAATTTATACCAGTGCATATGTTTTTAATTTGGGAAGATGGGAATTTGAGAGGGTGGAAAACAGCTAGTCATCATACGTGGATTTTTGCAACAGCAAAGCCTCCTACTAAATGAGACCATAGTAAAGGCAGAATTGTGTATAATCAGAAAATGAATAAAATTTTTCTGATCAAAATCAAAGAAAAAGAAAAAAATGAAAAAAAATTCTGATCAATTGACTAATATTTTTCTTGTGTTTCATATTCAGGCATAACTTCTACTTCAGAAGAAGTAACTCCTTCATCTGGTAATGCCCCCTGGCCACTGCACTGCAAATGTATGCAAATGGGACACTAGGATCACTCTGTCCACCACTGGGGCCGAGAGTAGGCAGGATTGGGGGTGGTGTGGTATCAAGTTGTCATTGTCCTTGAGCAAGGTGACTCATCCAGGCCGGACCCTCCACCTGGCATGAGGTGGAAGTGGGAGGTTGGTAAGATGGAGAGAGGACCTTCCTGGCTGGGTCCTATCACCTGCCATGGGTTCTGGTACCCTCATACATCTCTCCTTCGTAGCACTTGCTACAATTACAATTGACATTTCTATGTATGATCGTTCGACCTCATCTGAACTTCCCATGACACAGTCCTCTCTTTGAGGACAGAAAGAGCCATATGTGGTTTACTTGGCTGTTTTACTCCAGCTGTGGCACAGTGCCTGGCACAGAGGAGTGGGGAGTCAATATTTGTCAAATAAATGAAGGTCACGTTTTCTGTGTTCTAGGGACAGAGAAAAGAAAACAAACTAACTATGAAACACAATTTGTTTGCCATCCGGGAGGTTTTGACCAATTAACTTTTCTCGTTTCCAGAATCTTTGAATACCGCTCTAACTACCTCAACAGGTAATTTAAGTGTTATTTTGGGTTTCATCTTGCTTGCTGTACTTTATGTTATTTTGTTTCCCAGTGAATTTATTAAACAACTTTTTATGTCCTTTAATAATAAATTAAAGAATTTATTGTTAAATTCTTTAATTTTTAGTAATCTTTGAGTTTTAAAATAGGGTCTGTATTGACTTTACTCTTAAAGACCATCTCTGATCCCCTGGTGAATTCTGGGCAACTCAGCTAAATGCATAAGCCAAGGGAAAAACTTGTCCAACCCATTAGACCAAGTTGAATACGTGAGCACATTCAATGACTGACAGGTGGTCTAAGGCAGGAGTCCTCAACCCCCAGGCCACAGACCAGTAGGGCTCCAGAGCTGTTAGGAACTGGGCCACACAGCAAGAGGTGAATGGCGGGCAAGTGGGCATCACCACCTGAGCTCTGCCTCCTGTCAGATCAGTGGCAGCATTAGATTCTCATGGGAGCGCAAACCCTGTGTGAACTGCAAACATGTGAAGGATCTAGATTGTGTGCTCCTCATGAGAATCTGACTAATGCCTGATGATCTGAGGTAGAACAGTTTCATCCTAAAACCATCCCCCATCCTCCCTGCCATCCGTGGAAAATGTGTCTTCCACAAAAACAGACCCCTGGTGCCAAAAAGGTTAAGGACCACTGGTGTAAGTCAATCACCTACTTGAGTCTGTGGAGAAAGCTTCTCCTGGAGACCGGCCACCAACCAGTGTTGCCAGAATGGAGAGAAGTCAAGCCGTGGTTTTCCCTGATCCTCCTTGACTTTCACCAGCATTCAGTGAGGAGGACCAAGGCAGTGAGGGATGCAGAGTCGACCAAGACAGCAAGTAACTCACCTCTTACACAATAGATTTTGAGTGATGCTGGTTGGAACTACCCAAGGAGTCTCTAATGTGACTCTGGGTTCAAGAACTTCACAAATAGAATGTAGAGAAATCTGTGGGGTTTTTTGGTGAAGGAAGGGGGATAATAAGGATGGTGGTCTTCCCTGTTGTAGATGCCGACGCAAATGAGGTATATAACATCAGATTCAGCACCAAAATGAGGCCTTCACTACTGAGAAAGCTGGATTGGCGGGAAACAGTACAAAAGACAAATGGACCTGCCACCCCTCCCCACCCTTAGCTAGATCTTGAGACAGCCCAGCTAGGGAAAATTCCAGTCTGCAAAGCTGATCTTTCCTGGGTCACTGACACCAGCCATTTGAAAAGAGGAGAAAGGCGGGGAAAGCAAGTCCCCACTCATAGAATCTTTGTTAGATTAGCACCATACCACTGAGAAACCTGGCCCGAGGCTGTGGCTCCCCAGTTACCTCTACCTCCATGGGAAGAAGTAGCATTTTGGCAAGAGGAATGGAGACCCACGGGAAGGAATGGAAGGGTGGCTCAGAGGCAGTGGGGGCTCTGGAGATGCCTTGCCACGGCTCCTGACTGCAGAGCAGGAGGACAAGCCTGGCAGTCACTCAAATCCAGGACACCACCTTCCTGTCTCCTGCACCTTGTAGAGGTGCATGTGCCTGATGAGACTGTCTTAATGCTGCCTTGTCCTCTCTGTTCACCTTGATGAGGCTGTCTTAATGCTGCCTTGTCCTCTGCGTTCACCTTGATGAGACTGTCTTAATGCTGCCTTGTCCTCTGCGTTCACCTTGATGAGACTGTCTTAATGCTGCCTTGTCCTCTCTGTTCACCTTGATGAGACTGTCTTAATGCTGCCTTGTCCTCTGCGTTCACCTTGATGAGGCTGTCTTAATGCTGCCTTGTCCTCTCTGTTCACCTTGATGAGACTGTCTTAATGCTGCCTTGTCCTCTGCGTTCACCTTGATGAGACTGTCTTAATGCTGCCTTGTCCTCTGCGTTCACCTTGATGAGACTGTCTTAATGCTGCCTTGTCCTCTCTGTTCACCTTGATGAGACTGTCTTAATGCTGCCTTGTCCTCTCTGTTCACCTTGATGAGACTGTCTTAATGCTGCCTTGTCCTCTCTGTTCACCTTGATGAGACTGTCTTAATGCTGCCTTGTCCTCTCTGTTCACCTTGATGAGACTGTCTTAATGCTGCCTTGTCCTCTGCGTTCACCTTGATGAGGCTGTCTTAATGCTGCCTTGTCCTCTGCGTTCACCTTGATGAGACTGTCTTAATGCTGCCTTGTCCTCTCTGTTCACCTTGATGAGACTGTCTTAATGCTGCCTTGTCCTCTCTGTTCACCTTGATGAGACTGTCTTAATGCTGCCTTGTCCTCTGCGTTCACCTTGATGAGACTGTCTTAATGCTGCCTTGTGCTCTCTGTTCACCTTGATGAGACTGTCTTAATGCTGCCTTGTCCTCTGTGTTCACCTTGATGAGACTGTCTTAATGCTGCCTTGTGCTCTCTGTTCACCTTGATGAGACTGTCTTAATGCTGCCTTGTCCTCTCTGTTCACCTTGATGAGACTGTCTTAATGCTGCCTTTGTATTCACTTGCAGCTTCAATCTCCACTGCCGAGACCTCCACACAAGGTAGAACACTCTGTCTGCTGTTCTGTCAGTGCCTCTTCTTGGAGTTCTGTTTATCAACTTGGAATTCAAAACTTTTGTCCCCAACATATCCTCAGTAAAAACAGAAACCCAGGAGTCCCTTCCGCCAGTATATGTCTCTTCTTCCTTTTATCTCTAGAGATCTCTTCAACCTCAGTGGAAGGGACCTCTCCATCTGGCAAGGTCTCTCTCATGGTACTAGTTAAGTTAGTGAGACTAGCTTCTTGTATGTCATGTTCTATTCAGAAAATGAGCCTCAGTAATGATCACTTTTGCTGCAAAGTTAACCTCATTGAAAAGACACAGCCGGCCTTTTCCACTCATGTTTGTGTCCTGCTCTCTTTGTTAATGCACGGATGCAGCTTCAACTTCAGCAGAAGTGGACACACCCTCTGGTAATGTTTTCTGCCTGTCGCATTTCTAAGGTTCAATATGATCAACATTTTTTTCTTTCTCTGTAGCAAATGAGCATATATAGGTACTGGCTGTTCTGTCTATGGTATGAGCCTCAATGTAAACAGAAACTCCAGCATCCTTTTCACAGAAACTGAGGTTCATATTCTCTTCATTTATCCATAGACACAGAAAGGGCCCCTTCACCAGGGCACGCCTTCTGCTTGCTGTACTGGTCTTGATCAGATGTGCCCATGGGAGGCCAGGGCTGGGGGTCCACCCTCTCCTGCTTAGCCATGTGTGTCAGGTTTCAGGTGATGCTCTGAGCCAGCCAGCACACCTGAACTCACAGGTGGAAACACTGGGTTGTGATAGGGTTAGTACTATCCATCTGCTCTTCTGTTTTCCACCATGTAGTTGGTCAAATCAAAACATTCTTCTGCATTTGCAGATGTGACTTCCACTGCAGCTGAAGTATCTTCTTTACCAGGTATGCTCCCTGCTCCTTGAAGCAGCCCTGATGAGTGACTTTCTGAGAATGCTCAGCCCAGCAAGAGTTTACGCACCCAGAATAAACACTTCTGTTTCCCCAGACGAGGTCAGGGGACAAGAGAAGAGAGGTCAGGGGAGAAGAGAGGAGAAGTCAGGGGAGAAGAGAGGAGAAGCCAGAGGAGAAGAGAGGAGAGGTCAGCAGAGTCCACTCAACTCCCCAGAGGATTCCAGGACACTCCTCTACTGAGAGTCATGAAACTGAATGCAGTGTAGGTGGATGCTGGGGAGAGGATAAATAGGATAAAATAGCTTAAAATGTCAAGACTTTAGAGATGGTCTAGAGTAGAAATTCCCAAATGTGCATACATGCGTGAGCCTCATGTGGAACTTGTGAAATGCAAATTCAGTGGCGCCAGGTGGAGCTTTTCTAAGGCTCCCAGGCGATGCCACTGCTGCTGGTCATGGACCTGGTTGGGAGAGTAAGATGTTGAACCATCACCCTCATTTTGGAGGAAAATGAGGCCCAAAGAAGGAAGAGATCTGCCTAAAGTCACAGAGCTAGGGCGAGGCAGAGCCAGGTGTCCTGACTCCTGTCCAAAGTCCTTTCTGCTGATGATTCCATCTCTGTGATTCTCCCAAATCCCTATGACATTGACATCTTCAGTAACAAGGCTCTGCTGCTTTCTTCTATTTTATTTATTTTCTTCTTCTTTTTTTTTTCTTCAAGACTTGGGTACTTTGAAGACATGGGGGTAAAATTCAATGAAACCAAAGTTCAGCACTTTCTTTTCACTTATGTTTAAATTGGCCATCAGCTGGCCTTCCTGCCTTCCTGCCTGCCTGCCTCCTTCCTTCCTTCCTTCCTTCCTGCCTGCCTTCCTTCCTTCTTTCCTTCCTTCCTGCCTCCCTTCCTCCTTCCCTCCCTTTCTCCTATTTCTTCTTTCCTTCTTCCCTCCCTCCCTTCCTTCCTTCCTCCCTCTCTCCTTCCCTTTCCTCCTACCTCCATTCCTCATCTCCTCGCTTCCTTCCTTCCACCCACACCATAACTCTACTTTTGTCAGAAGATTCCTTTGCCTGTAATTCTCACTGACTCTTGACATCACATGAGGCAACCTTTTCTTTGAGAATCTGGTTGATGATAACTGGGTTGGTTTGGTGACAGATTAGGTGACACTTGCAGGTTTTACATCCTTTGTGAAGGCATGCCAGTGAAATCACTTCCTGTTTGGGAAGGGCCACTGGAGTGGGAGAAAAGGCGTGGTGACCATTAAACCCTTCCCTTCCTTCCCGTTCACCTCTGTTAGCCACAAGGAGTCTGGGTAAAGGCAACTCCCACAGCTATCCTCCTCAAAGGCAAAGTGCTTAGATTACATGCTTTGGGGCCTCATGGGCTTGAGCTGTAGATAACCTGAGCACTCTATACAACCCCTGAGTCTCCATTTCCTCATCTACAAAATAATGACAATACTTACCTGAAACATTTGTCGTGAGGATTAGAGATGCAAATTATCTGATACACTGTAGATGTTCAAAATGAGAGCTGTCAATCTCCCTCGCAAAATGCCAACTTCTCATACTCCAGTTCATGCCTGAATGTGTGATTCCACAAGATAAATGCATGGGGTGGATTTCTATTGCATATCACTTACGAAATAGGCTTATTTTCATACGCTTGTAGTCTACAGTGTAAAATTTCAATGAAGCCAAACTTTAATGCTTTCTTTTCAAGAGATTTTTTTGTTTGTTTTTTGGCAGCCGCAGATCTAATTTCAACCAAAGTGACACCATCACCTGGTAATGATCTTATGCCTGTTGCTAGATTAATGCTTCATTTTATTACTTACACTACCCTATTCTTTCATAAACGCCATTGTTTATTTTTCTACCGGGATTTCCTCTGTATATGTTACTGTGGAATTACATCTCTCAGATATGGCTTTTCTCTTATCTAAAAATATTTCTGGGGAAACTCACTTGATTTTCTTGGCTTTATTTTCAACCCCTATAAAACTGTTTTCTACAAAATATAATTTTTTAATTCTTCCTTGCAAAATTCAGTATATTTATAAAGCTTCTTTTCTCACCATTTAATGCATTATTTTATATCTGGGAAATAAACAGGATACAGCACCACTTACTACTTCCTTTTTTTTTTTTTTCTTTCCTGAGACAGGATCTTACTCTGTTCCCAAGGCTGGAGTGCAGTGGCCTTGACCTGTTGTGCTCAAGTGATCCTCCCACCTTCGCCTCCTGAGTAGCTAAGACTGCAGGTGTGCACCACCATGCAGCTAATTTTTAAATGTTTTATAGATGCTGGATCTCTCCATGTCACCCAGGCTGATCTTGAACTCCTGAGCTCAAGTGATTATCCCACCTCAGCCTCCCAAAGTGCTGGGATTACAGGTGAGCAAGCTGTTATTTGGTACATTTTGATGGTAAGAAAATAAAACTTAATGGATAATATTTCTGCACCCAAATCAGAGTAGGAACTTAAACAATGTATTAGTATCTGAAATTAGAGCAAATGTTTCATTCTTTTTCAGCTTTGTATATAAATATGAATACACATTTTTAAAGTTTTTTTTTCTTATTTATAATGAAAATTTTAGTTGATGAAAAGCTGGCCCCTGTACTTGGTAATTCATGTTTGTTTCTGAACACTAAAATGATCATAATTCTATTAATACTGTTAGGATTACATTTCTTTTTCATTTAACTTCCTTACTCTTTACAGGAAAATTTTATGAGCTTGTAGGTGTATGTGTGCACACAGGTGGGTGGGTGTGGATACGCGTGCACTTTGTGGGTAGGGATCCCAAAATTCACTTTCCAAAACCTTACCCAGAAGATATTTACTCTTATTCATAGTTCAAACAAGGATGGTTATCTTGCTTCCAATATTACAGCAATAAATAAGATGAGGAGAGGGCAACCATCCTAGACCAGCATGCTGCAGTCACAGAGAAACAGAAGCCCGTGGTGTTTAACATTCACTAAGCATCTTCGATGTGCCAAAAAGAGCAGAAAATTGAAAGATGCAGTCACAACATACCAATATAAAAACAAATCATTCTACACATGTCTGTGGGCATGACACCACCAACAAAATATAGGTTTTATTTTTTATTGTTTTTATTTTTCAAATCAACCTTTTTGAAGTATAATTTGTATATATAGTGCATGCATCTATGAGTTTTGTCTAACCTACACAACTGTTCACCACCACCATCAAGATAGACAGCATTTCCGTGACCCCAGAAAGTTCCCTGATGCCCCTTCTCAGTAAATGTCTCCCACCTTCCCCAGGCCACCACTGCTGTGCCTTCCATCGCTGTAGAACAGATTTGCTTTTGTATTGGTCATTTGTTACTTTTTACTGCTTAGTAATATTCCACTGTGTGCCTGTACCATGATTTACCCTCTCTCCTGCGGATGGGCACCTGCATTGTTTCTGGATTTGGGCTACTGTGGATGCTTCTGCTATGTCCAGATCTTTCTGTGGTCGTGGACATTTGTTCATCTTGAGTAAAAACCAAGTGGAAGAACTAGGTTGTATAATATGGTTTTTAGAGTGAACATATGAGCTCTTATTCATCCAGAGTAAAAGTAATTTCACTGGCGACATGTTTGATGAGTCAAGGCAGTGCCTCATTTTAGAACAACTGTCTCCTAAAGATTTAAAACTGTTTTCTGGTTTTTGTTTTGCCTGTTTGCTTTGTTTTTTGGGGTGTTTTAATTTTTGTTTACAGATTAAGTTCTTAGGTATGTGGAAAACTAGGCTTTTCCACAGGGCCATTCCTGAGGGCTTCAGATAATGAAGGCTTTACTGTATGAAAGAAAGTGTGTGTGTGTGTGTGCGTGCGTGTGCGCGCACGCACACACAACAAAACCAGAAACAGTTTGTACTGCAAATAGCAGTGGCACCCTGAGGTGTGTGTGTGTGTGTGTGTGTGTCTTTGTTAGAGAACAATAAAACCAGAAACAGTTCGTATAGCAAATGCCAAGTGGCACCCTGCAATGCCGTCCAGAATGTTAACCTGACCACCTGACCATTTCTCTCGCCACACAGAGCCGCCCCTGCGCCTGGTGGGCTCGCGGAGCCGCTGCGAGGGCCGGGTGGAGCTGCGGCACCAGGGCATGTGGGGCACGGTGTGTGACGACCACTGGAACATCAGGAACGCCCGCGTGGTGTGCCGCCTCCTGGGGTGCGGCCACGCTCTGGGTGCCCCGGGCCGCGGCCGCTTCGGCCAGGGCACCGGGCCCATCCTGCTGGATGACGTGCGCTGCGCCGGCAACGAGGATGCTCTGGAGCACTGTGCTCACTCGGGCTGGGGCCGGCACAACTGCCAGCACCGAGAGGACGCGGGCGTGGTGTGCGCAGGTACCACAATCCCTGCCCACCCTGCCTTGTCTCTCCTCACATTCCTAGAGTCAAAGTTCACCATCTGGGGAAGTCAAGTGTGGCCGGGGTCCCAGATCCGAGGCTACTGAGGGCATGGTGGTTATGTACCCTTGGTGGTAAACATTTTAATCATCCAGGCTTAGGGGCGAGCGCACTCCTCACTTTTGTGATGCCTGATCAGCGCAGTATTGGTTCTGAAATGCAGCTAAACGATGATGGGTCAAAGGAAGGAGTGGCGGTGTAACAAAATGACTAAGGCCGTCGAACTTGCTGCTGTTCATCTACAGTTTGTCCAGTCCCTCTTTCCATCTCGGAGGAGAGCTTCAAGAGCACAGTTCTTGGTGGACACTCCTCCTCCCCTGGACCCAACCCTCAGAAGTCAGAGAGACACAGCACGGGCGTCCCGGGCTCCTCCAATGTCCCTTTCGTCCAAGATTTGGCCTATACCTTTCCTGGAATGCATTTTATCACCTAGCTTCTGCCTGGCCATTCTGACTTTCAGAGGTTGACTTCCCTCTGGATGGAGCAGTGCTTCCTTACATGTGTCCTAAACTTACTCTAAATCTCAAGGAGTTCTGGAATTCTAAGATTTGAAACACAAGTATGAGCTCACCTGGTCTATTCCATTCTTAGTTCTTTACAGATAAATCAAAGGAAGTGTTGCCACTGCTTTTGCCCTTGCAGGTGTTGCCTTGTTTTGCATAGACATGGGACCCAAATAGAAAAGCTGCCAGAGCCCCCTGAAGGCAGACATGAATCACACCAAGCCAAGGAGTATGAGTGTGTGCTAGGGTCCCAGGGCCCTCACCTTCCAGGTCCTTGTTTTGATCATGTCAGTTCCTAGTTCTAGTTATTCCTATTGCTGTCAGGGGGCTGATTCTAAATGACAATCCATTTTCCATTCTTGGATTGTATGCCAAGTGGGTCCTTTGGACATTCACTGAGGAGTTGAGTGAACCTGGCTGGCCATGCTTCCTGGGCTGGGTGTTGGCCCTGGGTACTGCCCATCCTTGCTTCAGAACTATAGAAGCCTTTGATATCTACCAATTACATTTTTCCCAGCTTGAGGCCCCAAGCATGTCATGCGCTTGGGAAAGGACACGATTCAGTGTTCATACACAGGATAGCATTACGACCTTAGAAGGCATGTGTCTACTATTCTCTCACTCCAATAAATCTTGGAATTGATGATACGTGTATTCTCAACTCTACTTCATAAATGCTAGGCTCCAGCTCCATCAGGAGGCCCTGGGTCCTCCTTTCCTTTGCATGCTGGAATATTCTCATGCCACTGTACCCCAGCTTTAGTAGCAAAATCAAATGAGCCCATTCCCCTACACTTCATGTCTACTACCAGCTACATCCTCCTCTTGCAGTGTTCTAACACAGTTGACATTGGTTTTCGTCCTTCTCCTCTCACCAGGTCCGGCTGACTCTCTTGTGCCTAAGGACAATGGTAAGGTCTTCTCCCCTCTAGGATCTGAGGCTAAGGATGCTGATGGGGGAGCTAAGAGAGCAGCCTAGTAAGGGAGAAAGAACAGGCTGTGAAGGGGACCCACTTCTGTGTTCTCACTGAGGTCTCTGGATTTCCACCCACTCTCTGGGTTTTAGGAGGTTGGGAAGAAGCCCCTTTGCACCCAGGCTCCCTTTCTCCAACTTATCTCTATACGAAGACCCAGATAGATGGTGTTCAGGCACAGAGTTCTCAACATGAGAAATGAGCCATCCATAGAACACGGGCTCTGGTTAGGATTCCCCATGGGTGTGGCATGACCTCAAAGCCTTCTTGGAAGAGGGTAGGTATAAGTAAAATTAATGAAAGTCAAGTCAAGGATTGGGTGTGAGGAATGCTGAGCCAGCCCCAGCTGATGGTAGTTTTGTAAAGTAAAGGTATACCCACACCCAAGACCTGTGTGGCCAGTGTACCAGTTTCTCTTTGTGAGGGTTTCTCCATCTTCCCCTCCTGCAGCCCAGCTATCCTGCTTGCCTCACCTCTTCCAAGCTGTCATTGACCGAGGCTACCTCCGGAGGCTGGGCTACTCCTCCTGGGACATCCACTTAAATGATGAGCTATGTCGTCCCCACGTCATGGGGCGCTACCTGATCTTCAATATTCCCTATGGCCACTGTGGCACCATCCGGCAGGTAGGACACTTCCCAGGTGGTGCTACCCTTCTGTGGATTATGCCAGGGTGAAAAGTTTGGGAAATTCAACCACCTATTAAAAAACTATGTAAGGACGGAGGGAAAGTGCAAGCCATAACTTCATTTCTGAGTTTGGTAAGATTGAGAGTAGCTCATTAGTTTGTGTGAAACTTTTTTTCCTTTGGGGAATCTCGGATACACAATAACAAGTGTTGAGTGCTGATGGGTGGATGGATGTGTGGATGGATGGATGGATGATATATTCTTTTCACTCTAGAGGCAATGTATTTTCCACACATGCCTCTTGATTGAGCATTGGTGCACACCTACCATGTGTAAACTATGGTGCCAGGCATGTGAGAAGACAGATTGTCCACTTGCCCATCTGACTGCTAGGTTTCTAAGTAGTTAACTACATTCCACGATCAAGAAAGCAAACCTTTAGGACATTGACGAATAATGACATATATATGTTTATTAAATTTTCCTTGACCTCTGGTTTATTTCACAGAACAATGGCATTGAAGTTAAGGAAACAAGTACACCAGAGACAGGGAGAGTGTATAACCACAGAATTTTTTTTTTTTTTTTAGACAGAGTTTTGCTCTTGTTACCCAGGCTGTAGTGCAATGGCACGATCTCGGCTCACTGCAACCTCTGCCTCCTGGGTTCAAGCAATTCTCCTGCCTCAGCTTCCCGAGTAGCTGGGACTACAGGCATGTGCCACCACGTCCAGCTAATTTTTGTATTTTTAGTAGAGTCAGGGTTTCACCCTGTTGACCAGGATGGTCTCGATCTCTTGACCTCGTGATCCACTCTCCTCGGCCTCCCAAAGTGCTGGGATTACAGGTGTGAGCCACCACGCTCGGGCAACCACAGAATTTTTTTTCCCTCAGTATTTAAGCAGGGTAACCTGTTCCCAAGCAAGATCTCCATATGGTTCCTCTATTCCTTTACATCCCCTGATTAGACTCAAACATGAGGCCAGGAAACCCCTGACATTGTTAGAATTCATTCACATTTTGTCTATTTCGTTGTGCAGATCATAGTCATTCTTATCCTTTTTGCTTTGAAAATTCTACTTTTTACCTCAGAGGTTTCTGCCCCAGGATCTATACCCTCTGTGTCTGCGAAGTGGGCACCCCCAGGGAAGCTTCTGGGCCATCAGGGAAGACCCTGCACATGTTTTCTCTGTCCTTGCTGGCTCAGCTTCCCCTGAAAACCCCATGAGCTGACCAGGGTGCTGGGGCCAGAGGTCAGTAGAGTCAGGGAGCACTGAGAAGGAAAACACTGCTGCACAGCGGTCCTGTGTTTGATTTCAGTCAGTGGATGAGTTGCCTTCTAGGTGCTGGGGCCACAGCAGCCGCAAGACTGAGAGAATTCCTGCTCCACGGCTCTTAACGTTCACGAAACATGGGACAGGATCAGACCAAACAAACAACCAGAATTCTTTTTACACCAAAAGAGGTTAAGGAGATAGGAAAACGAGGGAGGATAAAAAAGTCGTTTGGAGTGGAAGAGTAACTGGGTTGAATAGCCTGGTGACTGAGAAGCTGAGCCTGCCCTGGGCTGGGGCAGCCAGGCAGAGGATGTGGGGATCAGCCAGGGCTGAGGTCCCGAGGCAGCTGCAGCCTTGGGGCTTGGAGGAAGAGACTGGAGACAAGGAAGCCCAAGATCAGAGTGGAAGTGGGGGCAGGACCATGTGGGTGAAGAATTTGACTTTTATTATAAGTTGACATTGTCAAGGAGGGTAATATCACCCTTATGGGTAGGGGGGAGATAGATATTCACTCTTAGAGGAGTTAGATAGATAGATTGATAGATAGAGATATCTTTCTGGCTCAAGCACGGATAAACAGCCTATATAAACTGTATCTTGTATTACAATTCATGGTCAGAGTTTGAGAGAGGGCAGGATGAGTAAGATGTCTACAGAAGCTCCTTAACAGGGCCATGGTGGAAAAAAAGGTTGAGATACGTTGGCCTAAGCTGACAGGGCAGTTCTCAGAGGTTCCAAGAAGAAGGTCACAAGATCTGAGTCCCGCAGACTAAGGCTTCCTTGAGCAAATGTTCCCAGGCAGGATGAGCCTCTAGGCATCTACACAGGCTATGAGAGGCAGCGACCCCTGCCTGTCGGCCACAGCACAACCTTACCTCCTGCAAGTCATGTTGGATTTCAAGACTGAGAGTGAAGTTCAGCAGGGCCAGACCCACAGCTCACGTGGAGCCAGTACTGGTCTGGAGTCAAGGGCAGGGGAGAGATTAAAGAGAGGACAAGAGCCCCAGGGATGGGGGTGGGGGTGGCCTTCAGGAGCCTGTAGGAATGGAGCTTGTGGAGGAACTCAGCAGACAGCTGGACCTGCCACCCCAGCTCATAGCTAGCACAACAGCTTGGTCCTTACAGGATGGAAGGGGCAGTCCAGACTTGCCCACTGGGGGCTCCCTGCATGCACCTCATATGGCATGTCACCCCTTTGTGGTGTTAAGTACCACAGAGGTCTGGCCCTGAGAGATACTCCCTCCAGCAAGTCAGCAAGCTGGCGCCAAGTGGGGTGGGAATGAGAGGTCTCAGCTCACAGAGGCAGGTGCTTGTCAGGAGCCAAGAGTGCTGCCCACAACTCTTCTCTCATCCTCACAGGAGCACCTTGGTTCCCTCAGCTACTCCAATTCCATCAGAGGCCGGACATGGGGCCACCCTGGCCGAGTCATTGTGCGGCACAAGGTGCCCGAGCTGAAGTTCACCTGCAGGGTAGATGGCCCAGCCACAGTTGAAATCATTCATGGGGATGACACCCTGATGGAGGGTGCTGGCTACACCATGTCCATATCCTTCCTCCAGTCCCCCGAGTCCCAGCATGTGGGAGGCATGGTGCCCTACTATGCCAGCCAGAGGAAAGAGGTCTTCCTCCAAGCCACCCTCCACAGCCCTAATCCCAGCCTGATGCTCTTCGTGGATACCTGTGTAGCTTCTCCAGATCCCAATGATTTTACAACCATCAAGTATGATTTGATCCGGCAGGGGTAAGGAAGATGAAAGGCCCTCTGGGGTGGACTACTGTATTCACCTGGCATGCCTTTAGGGAATCTGTGGCTTCTCAACTGGTATTTCTACATTAGAAATTTGTGCAAAGAGTCCTCCCTGTGTCTCAGAGGCAGAGTGGGGGCCCTCACCATCCTCTGATCCCAGTTGAGGACAAATGGTAATAAGCAGGCAGTTACAGACAGCTTCCCTTAATTCCCCACAGTCCTGGGGAGGGCCCTTGTGGCGCTGGGTGGGCTCTGCTGCATCACCCCACCCTTTCATGTCCATGCCTCCTTCCCTTCTAGTCGTATGACTTCAGTGGGCTCCCCATTCATGGTGCAGGCCTGGGACATTGGCCTACACTGAGGAACTAATGGGCTATCCCAAACGAAGATCTTAGTTATACTTGGGAGACTTATTCTGGCTCCTTCGGTTAACCAAAAGATTTGCTAAGTTAGAACTTTGGCCAATTGCTTGCCATTATAGCTCTCTTGTCCCCTAACAGGGGCAAAGTACAGTTGGCAACAAATCTGAAAACAACAAAAATCCATCACTTACTACTCAGTGGCAGCTTTAGAGTGGTGGGAACCACAGCAGCCTGAAGTCCGTGGAGAGCACTTTGCTGCCCATCTCCAAAAGCCAGGGGAGGGACAGGACACAGCACCTTTCCATGGGCAGTGTGAGCCATGGTGTGAGAGGTGCACGGAGGTGGCACTAAACTACATTGAGCCACAGAGAAAGAAAGCTCTTCCCTTTCAACCCCCATTATAAATATATCACCCAAGAGGCTCAATGTGGTGCCAGAATTTAACAACGGACACTTTTTTTCTCCTGCTTGCTTCAGTCTTAATTTGTTCCTCTTTCTCTAGTTTTCAAAGCTTGGAGTATAGATTTTAGAGATTTCTTCTTTTCTAACATATGTATTTTATAAATTTCCCTCTAAGCACTGCTTTAACTGCATTCCACAAATTTTTGATAACTTGTATATTCATTTTCACTTAGTCCAAAATACATTTCAATTTATCTTGAGATTTCTTTGACCCATCATTACTTAGGGAATTTTCCTGGAATTGTTCTGTCATTAATTTTGAGTTTAATTCCACTGTGATCTGATCGTGTATTTTGTGTTATTTCTGTTCTTTTAAATGTGTAATGGTATCTTTTATAGCCCAGAATGTAGCCTGTTCTGATGAATATTCCATGTGGACTCGAGGAGAGTGTGTGCCCTGCTGTTGCTGGATGGAGGGCTCTATAAATGTCAGTTGGATGTGGTAGATTCAGAGTGTTGCTTAGGTCATTTTATCCTCACTGAGTTTCTTCCTGCTGGATCTGTCAGCTACTGTTGGAGGGGTTTTGAAGTATCCAACTTATTACAGTGGATTTGTTGATTTTCTTTGCAGTTCTGTTGGTTTTTGTTTCATCTATTTTTGTCTCATGGGTTTTGTCTCAATGTATTTTGTCCCAAAATACACCGTGTTACGTGCTTACACATGAAAAATGGTTGTGTCTTCTTGGAGGAGCAGCCACTTCCTTGTTAGGTAATACCCCTCTTGCTACCTGATAATTGCCGTGCTCTGAAGTTTATTTTTTTCTGAAAGTAATGTAGCTACTCCACCTTACTTTTGATTAGTGTTTGCATGGTATATCTTTCTTCATCCCTTTACTTTTAACTTGTCTTTAAAGTAAGTTTCTCATAGACAGTAATAGTCGGGACTTGTTTTTTAATCTACTCTGTCTCTAAATTGATCAATTTTGACCATTCATATTTAAAGTGATTCTTGACATGTCATTGGATTAAAATCGATCATTTCTATCAGTTGCATTTGTTCTTTGTTTCTCTGCTCACACTCCTGTGAGCCTTCTCTGGTTTTAATTGAACATTTTGTATGACTCATTTTATCTCATTGCATCAGTTCTTTTCTTAATTTTTTTTTTTTTTTTTTTTGGTGATTTCCCTAGGGTTTACAGATTTGCATTTTTTAATCATCTAAGTTTGCCTTAAAATAAAACCACTAACATTTTTAATCTCTCTTTGCACAAAATAGAATAGGCCTTTTGAAGGCAAGAGTTTTACCTAGAATTTCATTACTTTGTTTTGTTTTTATTGTGTTTGTTTTCTAGTTCCTTTCCATTTATGGCCAGGAATAGTGGTTTTTCCACTCATAGTAGTGTTAAAAAGTTTTTTTATGAAAGAAAGAGTGAGTAGTGGGAAGAACTCCATTGCAATTCAGAGGTCTGGGTCCATGCCTGATTATCTGGGTTACAGTGAACTCATATCATGCTTTAAGTTAATCATTTTGTTGTGGGGTTTTTCTCCCCATCAGGTGCATCAAAGACAATACCTACGTCAACCTCCACCCCCGCCAGAAGAACATCGCTCAGTTCAAGTTCAACGCCTTCAGCTTTCTTGACAGCTATGATGAAGTATATTTACAGTGTTTGGTTGCAGTGTGCAAAGTAGGGGACTATGCCTCTCGCTGCTCCCAGGGCTGTGCAGGGCAGAGTAGGAGAGGTGCAGGCCCCGTGGAGGCCAAGGAGGAGCAGACTGAGCATTTCCAAATGGTGGGGCCACTGAAGATCCACAAAGCCACTGCTCAGAAGGAGACTCTTGAGTGATTCATGTGAATCTGTAGAAAGAAAATCTATTCCTTTTCAATAATGTTTGAAAAATCAGAAGTTATCCATGTAGAGACAGGTCAAAGAAACAGCCAGAGGGGATTGCTTCTCTAAGGTTTGTTACTAAATAAATCTCTGATTACTAAACTTCTAAGACAATTACTCTTTGCTGGCTACAAATGTTGCATTTTCTAATTCTTTACTCTCAAGAACTTGATCATTGTCTTAAAGTGTACAAAATGTTACAAAGAGCAGGGTTATCTCTCTATACACCATTTCCAATTTAAAAATTATTTTTTGAAGTGGACTGTTTAATCATCAGATGCTATTAAGTGGATCTGTTTTTGTCCTCTGATGGTATGAGAATTTATTTTCAGCTCTTGGCAAGAGTCTTATGAAAAATAAACTGTCAGGAAATCACTTCTCATTTTTTTAAACTCTAACTGGTCAGTTGAATCAAACATGTCATTTACTTATCATAACAAGCTTTAATCATTTTGTTTCAATGGGAATAAATTGGGCCTAGGCTTTTGTGTTTGGATTGTAGCTTGCAAATGAAAGGCTAAAATGAAATCACAGGAGCCACATGTCTGCTGTCTGAGCTGCTAATGCAGGGCAGGTGAGCCCCAAAGAGGAGCTTAACCTTCGAGGTTCTTTGCTTTGCCCAGGAAAGAATTCAAGGGCAGACTAGAGGTAGGAGAAAACAGTTTTATCAAAGAGGCAACATTATAGCTCCAGCAGTGTTATCGTTCCATGACTGCTCCTGCAGAGCATGGCTACCGCGTAGGTGAAGATTAGCAGCTTGGGGCACTTTTGCAGTCATATTAATATTCATACTCACTTTTAATAGCATGCAGATTAAGGGTTGGTTTATGCAGAAATTTCTAGGGAAGGAGTAGTAACTTGAGTCATTGGGTCACTGCCATGGAAAAAGGCAGTAACTCCCAGGTGCTGCCATGGCAACAGTAAATTGACATGGCAAACTGGTGGGCATGTTTGATTGAAAGCTGCTTCCAGCCCAGCCCTGTTTTAGTTAGTCCTCAATTTGGTCCACTGCCTGAGCTCCACCTCTGGAGTTGAATGCTGCCTCCTGCTTCACACCAGACGTTTGTGTGTCCATGTTCTGAATCCGTTTCCCAAATCCGCACAGCATTTGGGAAATCTGAGAAGTACACACAAAACGTGAAAAGCACACAAGCAAAGATTAGCTTATTCCAGCATCCTTCCTGAGGAGAGCAGTATCCACTCTCCTCTCTCTTTACCTTAACAGAAAGAGAGCTGTGCTAGACTCACTATCCTTGAAGGTGTCTTTAAAGAAATACACTTGAACATAGTCAGATTTGTATTTTTGCTTATCAAGAAATATTCAGTAACTATATATATATATATATATATATATATTTTTTTTTTTTTTTTTTTTTTTTTTGAGATGGAGTTTCGCTCTTGTTACCCAGGCTGGAGTGCAATGGCATGATCTCAGCTCACTGCAACCTCTGCCTCCTGGGTTCAGGCAGTTCTCCTGCTTCAGCCTCCTGGGTAGCTGAGACTACAGGCACGCACCACCATGCCCAGCTAATTTTTTGTATTTTTAGTAGAGATGGGTTTCACCGTGTTGACCAGGATGGTCTCAATCTCTTGACCTCGTGATCTACCCGCCTCGGCCTCCCAAAGTGCTGGGATTACAAGCGTGAGCCACCACGCCCGGCCAGATTTTGCTTTGTAAAATATTCCGAAAATCCATCCTTATTAGAAGGTGAGTAGAATGACTGCTCGAGAGTCATGCCCAGATTTCCTCTCAGAGAAAGTCACTCATTCTCCAGGCTGCTGGGAGCATTGGTGGCTGGCAGCTCTCAGTGCCACTGCTCACCAGGAATTTCCCTCAGCTCAAGATAGTTTTCTAATCTGAGTTCACAGCCCCACCACTGTCAATGACTGATTCACAGAGGTGCAGAAGGGTCTGAGCATCATGCCTCAGTGTGGCATCTCTAAAGGGCAGAGCAGCCCCAGGACACCCTGGGAGAGTGGCTGGCTCTGCTACTGCAGCTGCTTCATCCTGCACCGCCTGGTCTTGCTTCCCTCCCAAGACACAGAAGCTGATCCTGAGCACACCCCCGAGGAAGCCTCCCGTACACCAGCCTCTGTATCAGAGTCCATTTCCCAGGAACCTGACCTATGCCAGGTGAGGCCCAAGCATATTAGAAACAGATTCTAGAATGGGATTTTGGAGCTGGCAGTGAGAACTTGTCACTGGTGGTAACTGGAACATGGGTGGCTCCTGACTGGAAACACATTATTTTTTTTAAATCCTCACCACATCCCCGGGAGAGGGGGTTGGGGGGTGGTAGCTGCTACCAACCCATTTTAAATTGTGGAGGCCAAGGCTGAAGATGACCTAACTCATGTAAGCCACCAGATAAGTGGGAAGAGCTAGAACCAGGCCACCCACTCCAGATCTAGGAACTTGTATCACCTTTCTGGAGTCCTTCCTAAAGAAAGAAAACTTAAATAGTAGCACACATACTGATAATGCATACACACTGATATCGGAGATATACTTCAATAGCTCCACTACAAATGACTTTACGATTCATGGTAATATGATTTTACACCATCTAGTGAGTCACAATATGTGATCATTTTCTTAGTATTACACTTTTTTGCCTGATGTGCCTCTGAATCCCTACCATGTTGGCCAGCAGAGAAGATCCAGTCAGTTCCTGATGGCTGAAGGGATATAACCAGATCAGACTGTTTTTAAGCACTTACCCCAATTTACCCATTCTAATTAAATGTTTAGGGGTTTTCATGTTAGATTAAAAAATAACTTTGCAGTCATTCAACTTAGACTACCTGGATGAACATAGAAGAGCATCACCGCATGGCTGCCTGAGAAAGTATTGATACTTAGGAGATCGACATGGAGATATTGAAAAGAATATGGGGAAGATCTGTTGTGATTTGGAGCTGGAAAATAGTCAGTGTCCTAAAGGCTTGTTCTGTGAGGGTAGAGATTCTCTCACATCCATTGTGCATTCTCTTCAGCATCCTGTAGATGCAATGCTTGTTTAGAAGGAAGGAGAATGCCTTTGGGCATTCAGGAATAATATGCTGTTTGGATGCATATAAGAACCTGAGACTATGTGTGTTGTTAGATGATGAGAGAAAATTGTGTTGATCATCTAAGGTGATTAGATTCTGTTTACATGAGTAAAATCAGTGCACGCTGGGGTCTTTAATCATATTTGTTCAGCCACAGTAAGTGGAAAAGTATAAACCCAAACTGGATACTCCTTGAGGACAATGAACCTTGGGGCTTTTGTGCTAGATGGTGAAAATGAAGAAAAATGTTATCTCATTAACTGAGAAACGGTATGAAGCCTCTCATTTTATAGTCACATTTGTGTATCTGAAGCCCTTTCCTGAAACGCCTACAGTGAGAAATGCTGCAGCTCTGCATGAAAACAGGAAGGCACGTGAAGCAAAGAGTCTGCAGGTCTCCTTCTCATGCTTTAGTTTCAGAAATGCTCACTTTTTATGTTTCCAAGAGTAGCATATCTGAAACACATCTAAAAAATAAACACATCTACCTTTGAAGGCTACTTTTCTTAAGTAAAAATAGCCTTTACCTTTCCACCTAATATTTGGTTAAAATGTTCTGTATTTATAAAAAGAGGTGTTAATTTCTAATTTTTTTTTTTTTTTTTTTTTTGAGATGAAGTTTTGCTCTTGTTGCCCAGGTTGGTGTGTAATGGCACAATCTTGGCTCAATGTAACCTCCGCCTCCCAGGTTCAGGTGATTATCCTGCTTCAGTGTCCCGAGTAGCTGGGATTATAGGCATGAACCACCACACCTGGCTAATTTTTGTAGTTTTAGTAGACACAGGGTTTCGCCATGTTGGTCAGGCTGTTCCGGATCTCCTGACCTCAGGCAATCCACCCGCCTTGGCCTCCTGAAGTGTGGGATTATAGGCATGAACCACCACACCTGGCCTCATGTAATATTTTTGTATCTTTAGTTCCTAAAGTGAGAGCCAACTGACATGGTATTTATTTATTTCCATTGTCCTGTAATGAAACATGCTGACACAGTGACATGCAGGCCTGTGTGTCACTTTCAGGCCCTTCCTAATTTATTCAGAATATATGTAGCCACGAGGTAGCATTTCCTTTGGCATCCTGGAGAAATGTGTCTCACTTAGCGCTGGACCTGTTAATTAATAGTCCTGCAGCTTCTGGTATTTGTAGTCTGCCCGTTGATTTACAAAATGCCTCACTGTGATTGTGGCTACAATCACTACATTCAGAGCCAGAACCATGAATGAAAATAGATGCAGCCTGTTGAAAGGTTGGTTTGGAGTTTCTCCCGCATATGTTTCATGCTGAAATCCTGTAATTGGAAACAAGATGAAAATCAGGTTTTAAGAAGTAGTAACATTATAAAATGTTGGTAATATATTATATTATAATATCTCTTATATATAATATCTTTTATATCTCTACATATGCTATGCATCTTTTTCTTAAGTCTTTGATTTATTTATTTTTTTAATTATTATATTTTAAGTCCTGGGGCACATGTGCAGATCATGCAGGTTTGTTACATAGGTATACATGTGCCATGGTGGTGGTTTGCTGCATCTATTGCCCCATCATCTACATTAGGTATTTCTTCTCATGCTACCCCTCCCCAATCCCCCTATCCCCTGCTATTCTTCCCCTAGCCCCCCCACCCCCAGGCCCCAGTGTGTGATGGTCCCCTCCCTGTGTCCATGTGTTTTCATTGTTCAACACCCACTTATGAGTCTTATATATGAATTAATATATAGTGCATAATGCCAACACAATATAGAGGAACGATTATCAAATATTTGAATTCATTTATATTTGTATTTAATTTTAAACAGTTTGAAACAAGTTTAAAATTAAATATAAATATAAATGAATTCATTTCTTTTCTTGATATCACATGAAAAATGTGTAAAACTCAAGCGTAATAGTTAAATGGAAATGCAGGTTCACTTATTGATAGTGACTGTTGCTCACTGTTGCCAAAATACATTTTGCCAACAGAAAAAAACTTTGTTCCTTCCCTTGAAATGGAAAAAAATATTGATGGTATTTCCATAACAACTTCCATTTATACATTTTTAACTAATTTCAAACCAGTGTCTATAGATACACTCTGTAAGCCATTTAGTGAATGCATTTATAAAATTACTAAATTTAACTTTTGTTTTTTGTTTTTTGCCATAGAAATATTTTGCCACAAACCAGAATCATACTCCTGTGTAGTGCTCATTATAATGAATACATACAGAGATCATAAAGGTCCTTTAATGCCATTTACAACTAAGATCACTTCTTACAGTTTTTCTTTCATTATGGCTTATCTTAAGCCATTTAATTGCAAACTATCCTTG